ATCTCTGAAAATCTTCTTCTCTGCTCCTGGATATTAAATAAACTAACTAAGTACATAGTTATGATGAGCAAGAGTGCCTCTTCCAAATTTGTGAATTTCTTGGCCCCAGGGTCAGGGGTTCTAGTGCTAGGGCGGGGCTATATAGATTATTCAGTGAAAATGCATTATTTTTAAAGAAAAATTCTCCTCTGATCTTGAGTATTAAATAAACTAACTAAGTACATAGTTATAATGAGCAAGAGTGCCTCTTTCAAATATGTTAATTTCATGGCCCCGATGTCAGGGGTTCAGCTATGTGGTGTAAGGAGAGGGAGGCTCTACATTACATAAATTCTTTGAAAATCTTTTCCTTTGCTCCTGGGTATTATGCCAATGATCTAAGTATATATATATATTTATGATGAGGAAAGGTGCATCTAGCAAAATGGTTAATTTGATGCCCCCCTGGGTCAGGGGTATCGGGGGGTGGGGGTGGGGGGTTACATAGTCTGAAAATAAATGAATGCTTTGAAATTTACTCATTAGTATTAATCAACCATATTTGATGAAATAACATTTATGATGATAAAATTTTGAAATATGTGGCCCCAGGGTCTATGGTTTCTGTGGGATGGGGTGCACAATTGCATGGTTTAGAATGGAAGTGCATTTTTCTCTTAGTTACTCTGATCTACTTATGGGTGTTAAGTGACTATCTAGTAAGCATTGCTAAGTGTATAATTATGATAAGCAGTAGTGCCTCTTTGCAAAATTGTGAATTTCATGGCCTCTGGTTTAAAACACAAACCAAATTCTATTGTTGGAAAGTTGCATGAAACTCAGGTGACCTATAAGGCCCGTGGGCCTCTTGTTTAATTTTATTTTTTCAGAATTTTATAAATTTAAAATACGTATACGACTGAGAAAAATGTACATTTTAAAAATGAAAGATCAATGCTGAGATTACGAGTGGATGTATCAAGTATTCCAATATATATATTCCCATGATTTTACAAGATTAACATGTCCAATTTGGGCCCCGGAGGATCCAAATAGATTTACAAAGATAATACAAAAGGAGGGGGGTCCAAATGAAAGAACAAACTTGATCTGCAATGTATAAACATAAATCAATACAAGGTATGCTGAACAAACATACTGTATATTAATTATGCTATAAAAATATAAATCAAGTAACTGCAAAAACCATGCATGTATATCAAGGACCAAAAATCCACAATGCATTGTGTTACATCTCTCTCGTAAATTTACTTACCTATTACCTAGTCATTGGTCCTTTGCAAAACTATTGGAATTCCCTACGATACCAATTGCGCCCCGTTATTAGCAGGCCTATTTTTTGTATTCATATGAAGCAGAATTTGTCCAAAATCTTACAAGGAATATTTAGGAACGAGTTGAAAAATATAGGAAATTGATAAATGATAATAGACAGAATGTGCATTGATACTGATTAATGCTGTCTTGTTCGAATTTCATCCATATACCAGGGTAATCTTTACTTTATACTTGTTTATTTCCTTCCCGTTTTATTTTATTGTCCTTAACTTGAGTAGAAAGTTTTTACACACAAAATAAATGTTTTATTATATAAAATTGATTAAACTTAAAACATAAAAACAAGCAAAAAATGGGAAAAAATATAGCCTCAGTGTTAAGCGCAAGCTCAAATCAACCTTGATATTACATGTATTGTAAACGAAACAGAAACCAAGATGAGCTGGTTGTTAAAATAACAATTTTACAAACCATAGATTTTTTCAGTGCATTTATAGTACATTTGTATTTTAAATAATTATATAGTTTGACAATTAAAATACACTTATAAACTAACGTTGAGGACGACACTCTATATACATGCACATTTTGTATAAAATGATACGTTTTACAATTTGTTTATTTTGTTATATAAAGGTTAATTAGGGTGAATTTATTTTGTATCGGACACCTACCTAGCATCGTACAACTTCGAAACAATGATTACAACTTTTCGCATTTTGTTTCGTATTGCTATTTTATCGAATGTTAAAATTTATAATGATGCTGAATATTATGATTACGTGGTGAGACTTTTCAAGTCAGTGCCCTTGAAAATGACGTCAAGAAAATTCATCATCAGAAGGTGAGTTAGCCGATTTTAATGTCATTGTAAAAGTTAAGAGTTATCCCTCTTTTAATGTGTTAGAAATAGGAAACTTCATTATTGTCTGAAATATTTTACATATATAAAATTATAAAATTAAACAAAAACTAAACAAAATAAATTTGCAAGTTAACTGGGGCATAGGCCCTAGGCCCTAATTTAAAACATTTATTTTCTAGCATGATCTGTAAAAATAGTTTCTACACAATTAATGGCAATAAAAGTTTTCATATTTGACCATGCTAGTATTTAATTGAATCTTTCCAGTACATGCACTGGTACTTTTTTTTAATCTGTAGTAAATGTTTAATAATTTGGTAATTATATAGTTGAAAACTTGCACGTAGCTAGCTACAAGTATCTCAAGGCCTTCTCGTGTGCAAGTTCGGAGGCCATAAAACAGTCGAGCCCCCTTTTGATTTAAGTTTCACATTTCCACGATTAAATTTTCTTTGTAAACATGATTTAGAAAAAGAGGTCGCTTTCGTCTGTTCTTTTCTTGTAGACTTTTACTTCCATTTTTGCTTTAGGAAGATTCTAAAATAAGTACATGTATTACTTTTTGTTTTCGACATAAAAATGACTATCGTTAAAACTAAACACAGTCAATTTCAGTTGCATATTATTAAGATATACGTTAATTGTTTTCATCGGATTATTAAGAAGTTTGATTATTGAAATTGATGATATTTGTAATTTTTAAAAAAGTCAAATTTTTTTTAAATATCTTGAAAAGATGATAACACTTTTCATTAAAAATAATATTAATGATAATAATAATGATAATAAAACAATCTTTTAACATTTTAATTTATATACTGTGCAAAGGCTGAGGCTTTAAATAAATTTTAAATAACGATTACTGTAAAGGAAACAGAAACCAAGATGAGTAGGCTGCTAATTAAAATAAAAACAATAAAAAAAAACATAGAATTTTATTCAAAAACAAATGAAGAACCGATAAGGTGTCGCTTGTAATGTACACGTTTATTTACAATAATTGTATTTTGATTGATTTTATATGACAATGAAAATGCACTTGAAAACATACATTAAGGACGACACTTTATATATGTATAAAATAAGTTTAACTTTTGTATATTTCTTTGTTTATTTTGTTTTAATTAAGCTTAATTAATTTCAAACGTTTATTTTCAGTGAAAATAGTTCCTACTCAAGTTAACAGCACGGCAATATAAATTTTAATATTTCACCATGATGGAATTTATTTGAATCGTATAAGTACATATACAATACTTTTTTTTAATACGTAATTAATAATTTGGTTATTTTAAAGTTGAAAACTTGCATGAAGCTAAATACAGTATCCCAAACCCTTCACAATTCCAGGCAGGCTCCGGGGCCATAAAACTTAGTCGAGCTCCATTCTGATCTAAATTTCACATTTCCACGATTAAATTTCTTATGTAAATTTATGATTTTAAAAAAAGCAGAGGTTGCTATCGTCACTTCTTTTGCTTCCATTAGAACTTGAGAAAAATTCTAAAATTAGTATTACTTTTTCAAATCCTTTTCCGACATAAAAATGACTATTGTTAATGCTTAGCACAGCCAATTTCGTTGCATATTTGTTTTTAAGAGTGTAAATAGTTTTCATCAGATTATTGAGAAGGTTGATTATTGAAACTAATAAAAATTGTAATTTTAAAGAAAAGTCCAGTATCTTTGAAATTGCTTTAAAATACCTGCAAAAGATGATAATATTTTATTTTTATAAATATAAAAAACAAACTATCAACATTTCATTTATATAAATTGTGTAAAAGATAGGGCTCTTTTGATCATTGCTTAAAATAAATATTTCTTTTTTGTTATATTACTGTAAACGAAACAGAAACCAAGATGAGTTGGCTGTTTTTACAAACCATAGTTTTTTTTCTTTAATAGATTAAGTACCGATAATTTGACGCTTATTATATACAAGTGCATTTACAATGTATTTTAAATAATATCATATGACAATTAAAATACACATAACTGTCTTATAAACTTACATTAAGGGCGACATTCTATATACAGTGTATGTACAAAATATGTTACTTTTTGTTATTTTGTTTATTTTGTTTTAAGTTTATTTCATAATTAAAAACATTTTTTTCTTTGAAAATAGTTTCTAATCCAGTTAACGGCAATTATTATACTTTAATATTTATTTGAATCTTTCCATTTCATGTACCGATACTTTTTTTTAAACTTTAGTAAATATTTAATAATTTAGTTATTATAAAGTTGAAAACTATGAAATTCCTTCAAGATACCTTCAAAAGATGAAAGTATTTTCATTAATAAAGAAACAACAACAACAAACTATTAACATTTTAATTTATATATACTGTGCAAAGGCTAGAGCTTGAAAAAAATATTTCTTTTAATCAACGATTACAGTAAACGAAACAGAAACCAAGGTGATTAGGCTGTTTAAATACAATAAATTTTACAACCATAATTTTTTTTTTTCAATATAGAAAGTACCGACAATGTACAAGTGCATTTACAATTGTATTTATTGATAATTCATATATTATATGACAATTGCTATACTCTTATAAACTAACATTAAAGACGACATTCTATACATGTATAATAATAATTTTTAAAAGCTTTTAAATAGCCTTTAGTAAAGTATTTCCAGTTTATTTTTAGATCACAGTAAACATGGAAAACACCTAATCTTTAAATAGATAAAAGTAGATAAAGTTTACTGTTTTGATTAAAAATAATATTGCACTCTTAACTTTCAATATAAGTTCCAAAAAAGTCTACAATGCTAATGCAACTCAATTCATCTTCACTTTGAAAGTTGATATCATTTATTTTATGAATTACAAAAATGTACAAACGATTACGTATTTCTAAAAATAGATTGCGCACATGTCATAAGAAATCCTAAAATCTGCCGACATCAGTTTTTGTCTCTTTGCAGTCAGTAGAAGGAGGTGAGTTTATCGATGATTATTATCCATTCCTATTGTGTACAGGATTAAAATGTGTTTGATAGCTGTATGAAACAATAATTTAAAGTAATGCGATAAAATCTGTGTGCTTTCTCCTGACTTAAGTCAACAGGTGAATCAAAATGTCGGTCGACTACAGCACCTCAAGCGGGTCGCCAAAATGTGCCTTTAACCAACGTAACATGCATATAATCTGTATTTTTATTTCAAATAAACAGCCAAAATATTGTCGTGAAATTGGTTGTTCTTGACAGGTAAAATGTTGAACACAGACTTTAAAATGGATATGGAGATGTATGAGGCGGACCCAGTGTTTAAAAAGGCGCGTGAAGAGTTGAGTGAACACGGCGTCTCGCCTACTCTCATTAAGGACGTCCTAAAGAGTAAGATACAGCTAAGGCGTGTCTCCGCGGGACAGGAGGAACTTAGAGTTGAAGATAGACCATCTTTAAAACATCCAGTACGTAGCTTTTATTTGGACACACCAACATTCAAGTGCTACATGCACATGACACCGACACCGTCGATGCAAAATCTGATTAATCTGATTTTTTTCATTCTCATTTTTAAAAAAAAGTTTTGATTATTTATATTATAAAAGATTAATTTCATCATTCTGACAGACAACGTCCGAGGTTTTGATCTGCTGTGATAAATGGGCGTTGTCTTGAAGTATATTTTGCTATATTATAAGAAATAAATTGTTTTCTACATTCAAAAAATCGATTAATTCTAAAGTAACAATATGAACACACGATATCAAGGTAATAAGGACATGTTTGGATCAATACATTATAAAAAGTAATGTATTTGACTGGTTTAACTATGCACTGAAGTATCTTTCCCCTTGATCGGCATGCATGAATTCATAGAGTGTTTTCCAAATATTTCACAAATTTCATCCTGATTTGTACAATTCATTTTCACATATGATTTTTTAAGGAGGAATGCAACGCATTTTATAGATCTTTGTCCCTGTTAAATTGAAAGGCCGATATAAGCTCTATATTATTTTTAAACTGATTTTCCCCCAATTTTTCATTCATGAAAAAAAAAGTTTATTTGCCAAAAAAAAGGGCTAGAGTTCAATATCTGCTGTTCATAAATGCATAATCTGAATATCTTATAAAATATATAAGGAAGATAGACGTTTTTAGCTCACCTGAGCCGAAGGCTCAAGTGAGCTTTTCTGATCACATTTTGTCCGTCGTCCGTCCGTCTGTCTGTCTGTCTGTCCGTCCGTCTGTAAACTTTTCACATTTTCGACTTCTTCTCAAGAACCACTGGGCCAATTTTGACCAAACTTGGTACAAAGCATCCTTGGGTGAAGGGAAATTTAAATTGTTAAAATGAAGGGCCAAGTCCCCTCACAAGGGGAGATAATCAAGAAAAGACAAAAATAGGGTGGGGTCATTAAAAAATCTTCTTCTCAAGAACCACTGAGCCAATAAGGCTGAAACTTATGTGGAGGCACCCTGGGATAGTGTAGATTCTAAATTGTTCAAATCATGACCCCCGGGGGTTGGGCGGGGCCACAATGGGGAATCAAAGTTTTACATAGAAATATATAGGAAAAATCTTTGAAAATCTTCTTCTCAAGAACCACTGGGCCAGAAAAGCTGACACTGATGTGGAAGCACCCTGGGGTAGTGTAGATTCTAAATTGTTCAAATCATGACCCCCGGGGATAGGGCGAAGCCACAATGGGGCATCAATGTTTTACATAGAAATATATAGGAAAAATCTTTGAAAATCTTCTTCTCAAGAACCACTGGGCCAGAAAAGCTGACACTGATGTGGAAGCACCCTGGGGTAGTGTAGATTCTAAATTGTTCAAATCATGACCCCCGGGGGTAGGGCGGGGCCACAATGGGGAATCAAAGTTTTACATAGAAATATATAGGAAAAATCTTTGAAAATCTTCTTCTCAAGAACCACTGGGCCAGAAAAGCTGAAACTGATGTGGAAGCACCCTGGGGTAGTGTAGATTCTAAATTCTTCAAATCATGACCCCCGGGGGAAGGGCGGGGCCAAAATGGGGAATCAAATTTTTACATAGAAATATATTGGAAAAATCTTTGAAAATCTTCTTCTCAAGAACCACTGGGCCAGAAAAGCTGAAACTGATGTGGAAGCACCCTGGGGTAGTGTAGATTCTAAATTGTTCAAATTATGACCCCCCCCCCCCCCCGGGGGGTAGGGCGGGGCCACAATGGGGCATCAATGTTTCACATAGAAATATATAGGAAAAATCTTTGAAAATCTTCTCAAGAACCACTGGGCCAGAAAAGCTGAAACTGATGTGGAAGCACCCTGGGGTAGTGTAGATTCTAAATTGTTCAATTCATGACCCCCGGTGGTAGGGCGGGGCCACAATATGTATTACAAGAGGGAAATCTGGTAAAGAACAATATGACAAAAGATTCTCAGGTGAGCGATGTGGCCCATGGGCCTCTTGTTTATTTATCATTTTTTTAAAAGAAAATAAAACACATTATCTGTTAATATTTTCAAAACCTATGAATAATATATTTATAAAACAAGTCTAGGCTCTAAAGGATATGTTAGACAATCATAATTTAATTGAGAATTGAAACAAAATTGCCAATTTGAGAGAAATGAATATTTTAAATTTTGGCCGATCCCGATCGAATAAAAAATTATCCAACCAGAATTTTATAATTTGAAATAGATACCATTTTATATGAAAAAATAAATCTTATACAGGTTAAAAATTGGTGTTGAAGTTGAAAATCAAATATAGATTTCTTAGTGTTAAATACATGTATATTTTAGTGTCACATTGACCCTCCAAATATCACAGAGAAAATATACTGTTTCAGGGAAAAAAATGTTTTATAGAAAAAGAGAATGAAACGGAGAAATCAATTCATATATTTTTTAAAACGGTCTAAAAATAGTTAATTATTTGAAGGGTCAGTGTGTGATACTTTCATTAAGAAGGCAATACATAAATATATAAAATATCCTTTGTTTATTTTGATCGAAATTGGTTCTAATATTAAAATAATAATTTCCCTAATGGCAGTTTCATTTCAATTTTTATGAAAATATGATTTACTAAAATGTTCTCCCAAGTTGTGACTAGTTAAAGGAAGATTTTATTCAAAAGTTAAAAAATATTCAAAAATAATGTTTTTGTCCTCATAAATAATTCTATATCCAAAAAAAAAAAATGTCTACCAAGACTTTCTTTACATATTTCATTAGATATTCACATAATACATTTTTAATCGAAACTATTAACCATAAAGCAACTTATCTGCGAATAAAACAATACTTTAATTTTCTCCGTAAAATACAACAAAGCAGTCTTCAATGCTAAAAACATAGTTTAAAAAGGACGTCCTAAAGAATCTGGTGTGGGATCCATCCTTCAAAAGGGGAAAAACGATGTCTATTTTTCAGACTCGCGAGATGTGTAAATAAATCTTCAAACCTTATTTCTTTTATCACTTACATCTTGGATATCTACTTTAATTTAACAATTTTAATGGGATAACATTGAATGATTAATCTACCAAAATTAGTTTTATTATTACTCTTCCTGTTGATTTTATCATGAGCCGCAGGAGAGTATTCTATTTTTAAAAATGCACCTTCTCAACATGAACTTAAATTGTTATACATGTAAACCAGTTGTAAAATATTTGTGATGGATTGAAATGTTAACTGTTTTTCCTTGAGTACAAAGAGAGATTAAATTTCTCTAAATTAGTTTGTAAAAATGAAAAATATTTGTGTTTCTTAAAATCTAGAAATACATGCAAGGATCAATTCTTATGTGAGACAAAATAATTTAAAGTTTCAGCTAGGAATCATTTTGCTTTGGCTCATTCAAAAGATTATACAATATATACTAGTCTCTCGTCTTTGAAGTTAATATTCACTCCTACTGGGTCCGATCCATGGCTGTAGTTAAGTGAAGAAATTAATAAAAGTCTGCATAACTACATTCCTCTTCCAATTTTGTGAAAAAAGATCGGTCCTTATTCTCAATGTTTAGTCCTGTATGTCTATCAAGAACAGTTTACTCATTGTAGTTGACAGAAGAAGAACAAGAGAAAAATGAAGCGAGAAAGAAGTGTAATAGAGTATCAGCCAAAAGATGCAGGGAGAAGAAAAAACAGGAAAATCAACAGATCTTTGACGTAAGAACGGATACTGTTCGTTATCATCATATTGCATTTCACATATATAGGTCTACTTTTTGTTTCGTGCCCTTTATATAAACTTCCGCGCGTTTTCACATGTGGCAAATCTATTGTTCAAAGCTTGTTTTTGAGAATTGTTTAGGCCTAATTATCTTATCTTGACTCGAAGATGGTGGGGTTGGGCACATGTACAGTAGTGTGACATAAATGAGTTCGCAAAATGGCCGCCGTCATTCATGCGTGCGGTGCGCTTGCGGTATGTAAAATCAAATTTCTATCAATAAAATAATATTACCACTTACCTTTTTGTGTTAGTACTTTGTTATATGGCCTCTAGAGCGTAGAACACTTCGAATTCTCCTAGGAATGCTTGCATATAAACTCTGAATATAGTGCAAAAGGAGGCTACTCCATATTTCATGGACGATTCGCTCCAGATCATTCGCGTTTCTGACCTCATGTGTCCTACTTTGTACACGGATTTTGAGCACTCTCCAGACATTATTTTTATTATATTTAGATCAGGACTTTGTGGGGGCCATGGTAGAGTGTTAACGTTATTGTCTTGTTTCCAACGATTTGAGAAAGAGGAGACATGATAGGGGGAGTTGTCTTCTTGGAAAGTCCAGCGTCGGTTTGGGAAATGACGAGCGATCACAGGCCAAAGACACTCATCAAGAATTGCAATATATTTCTCGCTATTCATGTTCCCATCCACAGTTTTTAGGGTACCAACTCCATTATAACATATGCAACACCAAAACAAGGGAAGCCCGACAGTTCGTTTCCCAATCACCACGCAACCCGACACATTCAGGACGTATTCTTTCCTCACTCTTCCTCCAGACATGAACTTTATCGTTATTTCCAATAACTGTCTTAGTCTCATCACTGAATATTATGGATGACCAATGATTGTTTACTGTCCAGTGCAATTTCTGCCGACAAAATCGGGTTCTCTTCTCTCTATTCACGCGTGAAACAGTTGTTTTCTTAGAAACTACGCACCTCTTATAACCTTCCTCTGATAATTGTCTGTGAACTGTTCTGAGTGACACATTAGATCCTGTCCTGGCATTGAATCTGGATGTTATATCTTTTAAAGTCTGACGACGGTTGATTTTAATGCTTCGGAAAAGAACCCTGTCATCTCTCTGTGAAGTTTTTCGTTTCACCCCACTTCTCGGTAAATTTTCTATGTTACCCCTTTCCCTCACACGTTTGAGAAATTTTTGGAAGATACGACTGTTAATTCCGGTTAGATTTTCAATTTTATAGCTTGACAGACCTACATTTGACATCTGAATGATTATTTCTTTTAAGTCACTCGTCAATTCTCGACCATGGGGAGCCATATCTCCAAGCAGACGATAATTGTTTATCAAAGGGGAATAATCCAATTTTATAACAATGGACAGATTTAGTTAAGTCGTACCTAAATTTCAATTAAATATTTTTTTTCCTTTAGGAGAAGTGATTACGTTATTTCAGCAACTGATTCACCGCCCTTCTAAAATACTAACGATGACGGCGGCCATTTTGCGAACTCATTTATGTCACACTACTGTAGTTTTTGCTTTGTCCATCCGTCATATTGTCTTTTTGTCCGCAAAACTGTAAGCTTCCTGGCAATAAAAAAACTGTCCTTTGCCCCTTGAGTTTGGCTATTGTTATAGAATTTTACTAAATTTTAAACCAGCCATAATTTTTACAGGACTTTCATTCTTGATATGAATATTCTTTGTGATAAGACCTCCATTTGGGTACCGATTTTTTTTTAACATTGTAGTTTGACTAAGTTTAAAAAAAACCTTTCAACTTGAACATCTTTTCAATAGTCTGAGAAGGAGATTTTATATTTCACATATGTCTTTGCTGTACTTTCCTTTCGTTTGTTTGTTGTTTAACGTCCGTATCGAGCGTTTTCTTCATACGGAGACGCCACCACTGCAAATTTTGACCTACCCGGTTTGCTCGACACTAACTGCTCTTGACCAGTACGGATCTTTTTCGTGCCAGCACCCACTGCGCTATGGGACCTCAGTTTAAACGGTCCTACCTGAAGGACTTCTCTCCACCTCTCACAGTGAGATTGGAACCCGCGACGTAAGGATCAATTTCTTACTTTGTGATTCTAGAGCAGAGGCTCTAACCATTGCGCCACGCGCGCTATCCTTTCCTTTCATACCAAAAATTTTGACCATTTAACCTTGTCGTTTGATCCACTTTTTAAAAGTCTTAAACTTGGCCATAACATTTAAACGCTAGAGCTTTCATTTTTTACCCGTGTTTTTTTTACGTGTTTTCTTGTGACAAGACCGTTTCTGAAGTACTACTATTTAAACCTCTATATCCTGACTTTGGTACATGTAAAAAGATATTCCCTTTTGGTACCAACATTACTTTTATATCTCCTTCTTGCAGTTTGACTTGCATTTTAAGATTTCAACTTTGATTATGAACTGTCATACGCGGAATCACCAATTACAAATACATCTATATTTGAAAATAAGCATTTTTATAATAAGAAGATTTTGTGATGTTTAAATACAGATGCTGAAAGACCAGGAACAAAGAAATGAGGATTTAAAACAAAAGATATCCGAAATGGAATCGGAAAAATCTAAGATGTTAAAGACCCTCAGTGAAAAGTACTCACAATTAAATGGATATATAATCACACCAGAGAATGTAATGGACATTGTGAATCTAGGAGTTCAGAGTGGAATAGAAATCTCAGAAACTACGAGTGAAAGTACTACCGCAAACACGCCAAATGATCAAAATAATCAGGAACATTTGGACCAATCTAACCAAGCGATTCCAGCAACTACGCCGCCAAATTCTGTAAATAATTCAGGTGAAATGAATTTTCAGACAATGTTCGATTTCACAACACAAACCGAAAATGATCTTGGTGTTCAACGGTCAGTCAACTCCACGCCGTTGGCATCACGGGAAGAACAATTTGAAACTGAAGACTTTTTGGCTTGCATTCCAGAAGAACATTCTGTGCATTGTTGGGGTGAATGGAATGACTTATGCAATGAGTTCAGTTTTTAAGACGAATAAAGAAAATTGCTTCTTTTGGTTGATTTTTTAAAGCATTTATTTGGTTCACAAATGAACAACTTTTTCATATTGACATTAAAACATGGTGTATAAATAATACATTTTGCCACGTTGGCTATTGTAATTAAGTTAAAAACAGAATTTAGTTTTTTTAGTAAAATTGTTATTATTCTGTGTCTAGGAAACAGCCAAAATTTTATTTTTTATTTTTTTTTAATTTAAGTTACGTTTAGTGAAGCATCTGTAATATGATTTGTAATAAACATTTTGCAAATATGTACAATTCAGTTTCAATTCAGAGAAAGTGATAAGTAGAATCATTGTCTAATCATAGATTATAATGATTAATAAACGTTTCTTTAACCACTAGATTATTTCGGACACTGACCAAAGATATTAACAAGAGACATAAAAAGATACCAAATACAGAAATATAATGTATCTGGAAAGTTTTTTTTGAGGTATTCAAATCGAAAGTGAAGGCTTTCATAAAGAAGTTCAAATATACTAGGAAAACAATGCTAAAGAGTACATGCGTAGATCTACATAATTAAAATAATTTGTCAACAAAATTGTGTTTGCTGCATTTGTTGCATAAATATGTTACTCAAGTTAAAGATAAGGCTTTATATGCAAAATTTAAATAAAATATGTGAAACCTGAATTACAAAGTGTAAATTTAAATTTTTTTTTTTCAAATCTTGACCCCGGGGGAAGAATTGGGTCACAAAGAAAATTACGAGTATTTTACATAGGTATGTGTAGGAGAAAATATTTTTTAAATTCTTCTCAAGATCTGTAAATCCAATGACAAACTGATACATGTATTCAAGCATTCTCAAATGTGTAAATTTAAGTTTATATTATACAATTATGGACTGTTTAGAAGGGAGACATCACCAATTATCAGGTCTGAGTAGGGTTGTCAGCCGAGGGCGCTTAGACCTGATAATTGGTGATGTCTCCCTTCTAAACAGTCCATAATAGTTTTATTATCCTGAAGAATAAATAATTATCAATTACGTAGAGTAGAAAATAGTAATCAAACCTCTTGTTTTCTTCTACTCTGCTCCGATTCCATACTTTTAAAATATGTCAACAGACAACTTTGACGTCATCGTTAGAATTTATTGTTTACCGATCCCGCATATCTATTAATTGTACTTATAAATAAGAGTTATCTCGCTTAAATCACTTTAGTTTCATTCAAAGGGCGACAACACTGTTGTAACCCTGCATGCTCGCTTACGCTATTTCATTGTCATCTGAAGGGAGATAACAGTTGTCACCCTGCGCGTGAGGGAGACATCACGAGTTGTCTCCCTGCACGTGACCTGCTCTAAACCAATCAGATTGACTGTATAATTCTGAAGGATAATAAATAAAATTATTACCTGGAGGAAGATTGAGCCACAATGGTTGAATGAAATTCGAACAGGATTAGATAGTAAAACAATGTGTATAAATTAAATTCCTGTTCTTTAAAAGAATTACAAAGCAAGCATGGTTATGGGCTTGACCAAGTGAACACATTACCAACGCGTCAGGATAGGACTTTAGACCTATTTATAACATCACATCTAACCCTTGTTGAAAAGGTCTATACCTGCCCACCAATTGGATTGAGTGATCATGACATCCTAGCCATCCGTACAGCACTCAAACCAACAAAGTCTATCAAGATCAATCGAACAGTTTACAATTATAAGAAAGCTAATTGGGAGAAAGTAAAGAGTAACAAGTCCGATCTGTGCAATGAATTTAATCCAGAAGATAGAGCTAATAAATCGGTAGAGGAAAACTGGAACTACTTTAAGGAAGCGGTCTTCAGAGTCATGGACACATGGATTCCTAAAAAGGCAGTAAAGAGAAAGGCTGATGTACCGTGGATGACAAGGGAGATAAAGAGAAACGATACTAGACCCAGAAGAGGATACAACATCAAAAAACTTCTGGAAATACATCAAAGCCCGGAAACAAGACACTATGGGAATTGGAACACTGAAAGCTAAAGGGAAGATAGCAGAAACACCACTGGAAAAAGCAAATATACTAAATGAACAAATATACTAAATGAACAATTTACATCAGTATTTACCAAGGAGGACAAAGCCAACATCCCAGAAAAGGGACCTTCCCTATTCACACCAATGAGAAATATCACCATCTCAGAGTCAGGTGTAAGAAAGAGCATTCAACGCCTGAACGAAAAGAAAGCAAGTGGACCAGATAAGATACCCATCACATTCTTAAAGAAAACAGTTGATATCATAACACCTGTAATATCATATATATTTCAACAATCATTGGATAAAGGAGAAATACCAACAGATTGGAAAAATGCGAACATCGTGCCAATTTACAAGAAAGGGGATAGAACAGCACCTGCAAATTATAGACCAGTATCACTTACAGCCGTTATATCCAAAATGTTAGAACACATCATTTTCTCTCAGATCATGGACCATCTTGACAGAGAAAACATTTTACATGAAAACCAACATGGATTCCGAGCTAAACGATCATGTGAATCCCAGCTGCTGATGACGACTGATGACATCGCCAAACACTTAGACCAAGGCAGGCAAGTCGACATGGGGATACTGGATTTTTCAAAGGCATTTGATAAAGTCCCACACACTCGACTATCGAAGAAACTACACTATTATGGCATCCAGGGGACAACACAGAGATGGATCAATAACTTTTTGATGGACCGACAACAACAGGTAGTAGTAGATAATGCAACATCCAGCACAACATTGGTAACATCTGGGGTTCCACAAGGAACAGTGCTTGGGCCGACATTGTTTCTCATCTATATTAATGATATTGCAGACAACACAGCCTCAACCATTCGATTATTTGCAGATGACTGTGTAATCTATAGACCCATACTTTGCCAACAAGATCATGAACAACTACAGAGGGATCTGAATACATTAGTAAACTGGAGCGACACCCGGCAAATGGAATTTAATATCAAGAAGTGCGCTATCATGCACTTTAGAACATGAACAAGAAAGAAAACCTTCAACTACACCATGAAGGGGGGAGCCACTCCAGATAGTAAATCACCACCCATACTTAGGAATCGAACTCAGTGACAACTTGAAGTTCAACTTACATATAGATAACATCTGCAAGAAACCTTCTAGTGTGCTAGGATTTCTGAAGCGCAACCTTCGACATTGTCCATCACAGGTCAAGGAAAGAGCCTATCAGAGCCTGGTTCGTCCAAAGTTAGAATATGCAACACCTATATGGAATCCACAACAGAAAACACAACAGAAACAGATAGAACAAGTACAACGCAATGCAGCTAGATTTATTAACAACAAGCCTTATAATCCAGAAAAACCTGACAGCGTAACATCCATGATGCAGGAACTGAAATGGAACACCCTAGAACATAGACGTATATGGACTGATGTAATACTCATGTACAAAATAACCAATCAACTCATAGCAGTCCCACTATCATACCTACCCCCTCTAGCAACAGTACGAGGAACTAGAAACAGTCACTGTCTGAAATTCGTACCATACCACTGTCGAATCAACGTTTATCAACACTCATTCTTTCCAAGAACAATCTATTACTGGAACACTCTACCAGAATCAGCCATACTTTCACCATCGTTGGAGCAGTTTAAAACTTCTTTTCAGAACCTCCGACCTTGGAACACTTACCCTGCACACTAAGATATCAACAGTGACCTGTACAGTGTATATATATGTTAAGGAGCAATCTTTTTTACATTTGGACATTCCACTGCACGCATGTACATAGTCCTCGCTGATAAATGTCCATATGGATTTTCGCGAGTATACACATTGAAGTTGAAGCATATTGAAATGAAAGTCTCATCAAGCTCAAATAGCGTAAATTCAATGTTGTTTAAAATTATGACACAAGGGCTAGGACCACAATAGGCGAGTTGTTCTATGAAGCATGTTTTATCTAAATAATTTAGCTGTAACATTTTAAGAAGATCATTTAAATACACCAAATCTTGTAAACATATTTATTCATTATTTTTATAACTATAATATTTATGTAATTAAGTTGTGAATTCAGCATTTAATACGGTTCGCAAGTATCGACAATCAACCCGAGAAAACCGCCTCTTAGTGGAGTCGGTGAATTCCCAGATTTTATAATGTAGCTGGTTCTGACGTTTTCCTGGCACGTTAAATATCATAATCGTGAAAAAGCTTGGAAAACGTCAGACGTTTCGGACTACCTATCACATGGCCATATTGACTCATGTGAGCGTGTGGCTCATGGACCTCTTGTTAGTTTTCCCGTCAATTTAAGGCTTTGTGTATCGATTCTTAAAAGGAAAAGTTATCTCTTGGTGCATAAATTCATTTAATCGGTTCGATCTTTAATTGGTTTTACTTCTCTCTTAAATTCATCTGAGTTGTATCTATGTAAAGAGGGACGGGTTTTCCATCTTTGGGTATATATCCGTACACAGTCATATGAACTTGTGGACGACTATTTTTAATGTATATACATTTATCCCGCTTCAGACAAATTTGTCGATTACTGATTGGATAAAAGCTAATCACATGACGCCCTGAAATTTTCCGTATTACGTCTCCGTTTCCATATTACGTCTCCGTCGAGGCGTAATATGAAAATCGGGCACGCGATTCCGTTCGAAGCGTTGTTACACTCTCTACCATCGGCTCATACTTCACCTCTGTCGTTGGCTCGCGTATATCACAGTGATAAACACGAGAAATAGTGCGTTTGTTTTAATTCATTATAATTCAATTTATATGTTTATTTCTGACTTTTCAGATAGATATTTACTAAATTAATCCAGAACGTTTGATTTAATTTGAAACAATCCTGCAAATATTACTTTTTATACGTTATGTCAAAAATCTTGACGTGAGCCCATTGCAGAGGTGTCTGAGAGAGGAACGAACGACAACTCTGCATAGGAGATTGGCGTTGTTATTGTAAATAAAAATGGCGGCTAAGAAACGGTTATCGTAGGTAGTTTGATTACTTAAATTTCTTGTTACGATATTTTATGTTGATTGTTATTGGATTAAAACGTGATATTTTCATAATATGCACATATATTTTTTTTTTTAATATTTAAGAATTAACGTTAGGTCTTCAGCGGGATAAATTCGTTAAACAGTCAGTGACCTAATACGGAATCATACAGGGTGTGAAATGGAAATCCAATACGGATTTCCATTTCACACCCTAATGATTCCGTATAAGGTCACTAACTGACTGTGTAACTAATAGTACATGTTGTATAGAAACTGAAATGTCATGTTTTTCTACTATTACGTAATTATAGTTAGCTACCCGTCTGTCTTTAGGTTACATTTTTATTCAAATCACTTCTCCTCTGACATTTCTTGTTCTCTTTAAATTAAACTTGGTTTACAAGACTAACAAAGATACAAGAACTCTAAAGGGTGTGTTCATAGTTGCTAAAAATAGACAAGAGGCACAAGGCCCGTAACAGTCACCCGAGTTAATACAATATTGTGAAGAAGACTGCTTAATGAAGAAACCGAAAATGTGAAAAAAAGTTGGCGATCGACGCACGACAAAGTAACAGTATAGATCATCAGAGTGGCTCAGGTGACATAAAACTTCTTTCTCGATACCCGAGTTAACATAATCTTCTCATTAATGAAAATAACATTAGACTCAGTAGAGGAGAAAAGGTCATTTATTTAGTTAGTTAAATGAATGACAGAATAATCAAACAAGTCAAAAACATACATTTGTAAACTCGAAAAAAGACAAACAAAAACATACTTAATTAACACCGTTATGTTCTCAAACAATTATGCAATAATCATTATAAAAATGTGATACACATCATAAGAGTATTTCTTTATAAAGGCTATTCGTCTCAAAGATTAATTTTTTTTTTAAATGTAAGAAGACTATACTGTAATAGATAATTCACTTTACTGGATTTTGATTTTACAGAATAATGTTGAGATGCGTATTTAAAACAAAAATGAAATTCTTTTACAAGGGTTATCCTACAATTTTTCCATTTTTTAAAGCTTTCAAACATAAAAATTTTGCACTGAGATATAGAATTTTTATGCCGTTTTTCACAGAGAATTCAACAAAAGTAGTAATTTCTGTGAAATTCTTTCAAAATGCTTCTTCTCCGTTAGTCCTTATTTAATCTTTAGAAAATTGCCTGTTATAAAATACAAACGTCTTTGGGATATTGCTTTTTCAATTGTAGGATGGTTTGATCACATTGATGACATTGTAAAAAAAAAAAGGCTATTTTAAACTTCATTTAAATTTAAAAACAGAAGTATTTATCTTTAAAAAAAAAATCATGCGTAAAAATTAAGCAAAATGGCATTCTTTAAAGTATAAACCCCTGTTTAGGAAGATGCTACTTTGAATATGTATAATAGTATGTGTAATAATTTATTTAGATCATATACCCAGTTATCAACGGGCTTTCGTAGACACCTCTATCATACATTTATTTTTATATATACTTTAATGGATATTGAATTAAAATAAAATTATCTAAAATTAAATAAAAAAAATTATTGTTTATATAGAAGCTCGTACGTTTGCATATATTTTATTCGGTGAAACCATTACTCGAGTTTTTTTTATTTGGTCGCTTCCATGAGCAAATGTTAATATTCATACATGGCTTCAGAATAAATACCGGTAATTACGACATGTTTTGTGGTCATGAACTTTTAGACTTGTTTATGTATAAATAAATTAATTTATAATGTAAATTTGTCGGACTGATTAATAATCGACCTAGGCATTGTTTCTTGGAGTCCTCGTTTCTGCCCTTTTACGACAGTTTTTATAGGATTTGTCAGAATGATTATTGTCCCCTTTACGACATAGACGTAATGCTTGTTTTCTCTAACGACAGAACGCTGAATAAACAAATTCGTGTGCAACCATAAGACGCGTGAATATACGAAGGCTGTCCGTAAAGTTCGTGGACAACATTGATATATTGTTGTGTACTTATTTACATACATAAAAAATGACAATTTTGTTTTGGGGTTACCACTGTTCCATGATTTCAAAAAATTATTATTGTCTATGAAAATTAAATAAAGAAAAAGAATTGGTAGCATGTTCATAAACGATGTACATGTACAATGTTAATATTCGTGATTCAGAAATGAAGAAATCGTTTTTTCTATTTAATTACACATGAAAATAGTTTTTGTATTTGCATTAAGTACAAATCTAAGTTCGTAGAATTTTAATTTATTTGCGATCTCGTTTTTGCATTGTTGTTTTTTTCTGTTTATGAGGCAAAATAACGATTCTTAACGTTTATGTATATATTTATGAGCTAATATTAGACAAATGTGTTCCTTTTTTCAATTAATCATAAAATTGTGGTCAGCATAAAAACGTCATCATCGTGTCATGGCCAGACAAATGGACGTCCTTACTCCGGACAAATTTATTTGTAAACAGGACGACGGTGTGTATATATACATGCTGGCGAGTTTCAAAATTCAGACTATAACGGAAACTAAGGTAATGTTTTATTTTTTAAAGAAAACGACCAATAAGGTTTTTTTTTTCATTTTTGCAAAAACAAAAATTGAATTTGTTCACGGAAGTATGCTATTATTATGTTTTTTAAAACTTTTTTTTTCTTTAGAAGAATCATTTTTCTACAGTAAACTATGATGCTCCTAAAAAGTTGCCTTTTGGTTGTACTTGCCGCCAAATGTTTTGCCGGGCAAATGTCTCCAGGAGATCTGGAAGGTAAAACTGGTTTATTACAATTTTCTTACGATCCAATGTAATATCATTCATTTCGTAAATATAGATAATTTGAAAATGATTTTTATTTCATTTCAGAATTTGATAAAAATGTGCGAGTGAATTTAGCGGTAAAAGTCGCGAAAAGTTTTGAAACTCTAACTCAACAAATATCAAAACTGAATGGCGACTGTATGTCTAAAATTAACAGCACCATTGACCAGTGCAGTTCTTGTCCTAGGTAAGTCTTCAGTCACTTTGAACCTAGTAACAAGAAATTCAGAGAGAGAGAGAGAGAGAGAGTTAAAACATCGTGTTGTCTGTTGCTTTGTAAGTGTAAGATTATACGTTAATATGAGTACATTTTTACTTATTGCGTATATTTAATAGAAAAAGGAAGCAGTATACGGGAATTCTCAACTTGGAATCAGTTTTTAGTGTTCCGGTTTCTGAGGGCACAAAATTGGCAAAGACGATAGCAGGGTCACTCTCTAAAGATAGCGTGCAACAATTTCTGGGAAGCAACTTAAGAACTGTGCTGAAAACTCTAAAGAACACGTTTACTTCCATCATCAAAAGTATGTAGTAAATTCTGAGTCGTTCTTTTTATAGAAGTCTCAAAGTAAACAAAACGAGATAAAGAGTTTGAAACACATACATGTACTAGTATATGAAAAAGAGAAAATCTAAATTTTTATTAACATAATTAAAATATCAGTAGATTTTGTGATTAGTATTTTTGATCTAGATACGCTACATTTTGTTAAAAAGTATACAAATAGACGTGTTTTAGTTGGTGGGAGATTAGTCATTAAATCAGCGATCATGGCTGCTTTCGTAATATAACCTGTGATTATAATAGCAATTTATATCTCATCTACCGTGCAATTTCGTAAAAACTAAATAAAAAGTAATCCATACTTTACCTGTTTTTCTTTTAAATTTTCAGATAAGGATATAAGCGAAATCCCAATGTTATTAAATAACTTTCAGCAAAATTTTGCAAGTCTAAGGGATTCTGTTTTAAACCTTCCATCAACCTTTAATGATTTGATCGGAAATATCGGCAGTGGACTTAGTAAGTAGTATTAAATGAATACACATTGTCACATTTTATCCGTAAAAACCTATTAACATTGTATATTGTATATGTTTCCGTTGCGTCTACTGTATTTTTCATTCAAGGTTTTTCATTCGGGTAATAAAAAGACTTTTTGAAATATGGATAATTTTAACCAATGAATGAACTTTTATATATTCTTCGTTTCCATCCTCAGGGAAGCTAAAATTTTGGAGGAAAAAGCGATCAGTGGCAGCCTGCTCCGCCTGCGACCTGTTGGACTCAGATGATGCCAATGTTGTTATAGCTAATGGTATGAAAATTTTTAAATCTTTCTCTTTTAATGTTGATATATAGCTAAAGGTTAATTGAATCGTTACATCTGTACGAGGGGTGATCAAAAAGTTCGCAAACTAGTTGAATAACTTCCATACAAGAAACAATATTTGGTTTTAATGTTGATTATATTTTAAATTAATCCTCCCCGATTTTAATGCACATCAACCACCGTTCTGCGCATGCGCGAATCACGTGATAATGGCGGTCACGTGACCCCCTCCGTAGCGTTCTGTCACAAAGTTAAAAGATTTTTCCGAGTTTTATATTTCTTCCCATGTGAGTTAATTTTTATGACAAGAACAGTTAATTTGTCAGAAATGGTCATATCTCGGCAACAGAATGGGTGGATAATAACATCCTTTCCAAAAATAAGCATGGCGACCATTAAAACACAAATCTTCTGTCTCAGGAGAGACCTTTATTCAAGGTGGATAGAGAATGGGTTCATCCTTTTTATCATATCTAATATGTTTAAAATCTAAAGTAAACGATATCTTAGGTATTTAATACTTATATCATTGTTCAAATATTCAACTATTTTTCAAAGTGCTAATTGGAGGTCTTTGATAGCAAATTGCTTAATTAAAAATACATATCTTTTCAAACTTGCTTTCACTGGGCAAGATGACAGGTATCATTTTTAACCATCAGCCTTCCTTCACTAAAACGATTAATCCAATCATTAATTGAATTTATAGGAACTCATTTATCTCAATAAACTGTGTACAAATTATTATATGATACTGTAGAGGGATTTCTAAGATATTACAATAAATTGTACAGTCGTTTGTTGAACGAGTTCGACTGAGACAACCATTTTTAGTCACAAGTGACCTAAATAGTGACGTCATTTTCACATTGTGACGTCACAAACAAGGAGAGAAACTTTATTCAGCATATGCTATTTATAGACCTTGTGTAGGCTATGTGTGTACCGAATTTCATTCTAATCTGAATTGTGGTTTTGTAGATATAGAGATAGTTTGCGAACTTTTTGATCACCCCTCGTATTTAATATAATAGTGCTTTTACTTAAGAAAACTGCGAAAACTTTCTCTCTCTGAACTTTGTTTTTCATTCAGTTTCAAGGTAAAATCCCTGGGGACATTTGTATATTTGCTAATTTACAGTATGTGGTGCTGATGCAGCTAGTGGTTTGAAGAATCTTACAACGAGTATACAAAATCTAGAACTGTTGTATGAAGACGCCATTAATGGCACTATACTCACAGAGGTGTGTGTTCGATTCATTCTTCTGATTAAAATCTCCCTGTATACCTGCAAAAAAATACTTTATGTCCTTTGCAGGAATATATATTATACAATCATTTGACTTTACCGGGAAATCACGTTTTCATTCTGCAATTCCGATCCCGATCTGAATATGATGTTTTATTTATTATAGGTACTTACCGGCGCGCCTCAGATGACGATGTCACCGTCCTTATCGGTCTCGGCTGAACTTGACCACATCATATACAGCATTGGAACAACGACAAAAACACTGGCCGGGGAGCCCGGAGAGAAAATAATCTTCACTGATAAACCAGCATCGTACGCTATGCTGGCAGATAAAATTTACAATGATTTTGTGTGAAAAGACATAATATGAAGAAATCTATATACGAGTCCCTGCCTATTTTTTGTTCTTTTTTTTAGCATATACGTTTTTAAATAAATCTTGAATTCAGAATTTTGAATGTTTCATTTTTTATTGTGTGATATAGATCTTTTACAGTTCATAGTACATGCACATGTTGCTGCAGAACTAGAGTATTGCTCTCGTAAAAACAAAATTATTGAGATTAAGTTAACACTTTTTTCAATTGATGGCACTGCAGCTCTCTGGTCGTCTATCCTTTTTTTCAGACAAGTGATTACAGATATTTATTCACCATTTTCGTTGTATTCAATTTCAGGCCCATATGGTTTTTTGAAAATACCTTAAAGCTGACACGAATTCTTAAAAATGCAACATGTTCATCTCTGTACGACTTGTTTCATTCCAAAAATAGCCGTATCCCGTCATATTTTTTTCCAGATGCCTACAGAATTGGAGATGATTTTGTAACATCAAAATATTCATTTCTGACGCTGTTGTCGTACGTCGTCTAAGCGTAAAAACTTTAGAAATTGAAGGCGTAGCAAATTATAATAGACATTACATTTTTGTTGTTGTTTTCTTAAAAATGTTAACTTTTTACCGTTTCTTTTCATACAAATTTTTAATTATTTGCACATTAATAATAAAAGATTTTATCAATAACATTTTTTTCCGTTAAAAAAGAAAATACATTTTAAATCCCAATTCATCCATTTTTCTTTGGAATTATTTTAATCACAAAATATTATTGTGTGATAGATATTTTATATTAAAAAAATCTTCAAATATGTGTACACATTTAAAGTATAAGAAGCCTAATCTTTACTGCATAATGGCAGTTTTTAATTTTTTTTATTTGCTTCAGTACATAATTTGATAATTCTGCAAATCTGGGGAGCCCCCCCCCCCTCCAATCTGAACGTACTCTTTTTTTCCTTCAGCGGGGACACGGATTCTCTGAATTAGCTTGTTTAGTCAGCAACAGAAGAGAGCGCTTGATTCGATGCTAACTGAGCAATCTAATTCAGAGAATTTGTGTTCCCCGCCTAGGGAAATAAGAAGAGCATGCGCAGTTCAGGGGGAGGGATTCGGATGCTCCGTGAATTTGTAGACTTATTAAATATTTAAATTTTATTGAAGCAAATGTCAAATGGATTTAAATATTTATTTGCAAAATTATTCTTTATCATGTTTTTAAAAGATTCTTTTAATAAAGAATATTTATCACGTTGTTATGATGATTTTATGAATTGTACAAGCCAGACGTCATAACTTTTTTTATTTCACATGTTAAAAAAGGGGGCATAATAAAAACCTTGATCGTCCGGATTTCGAACCCGGAACCTCTCACCTGCTATGACGGTTTCATGCCCCTACTCCATAGAGTCACTTGATTGTTTCGTAAATTATATGCAAACATTAGGTCACATGTATTACATGCATATATTCAGGTTCGATATTGTCAAAATTTTACACAATACATGGTGTCTATTTTAGTCTTTACTAAAAAAAAATTCTAATAGATGTAATAAGAATAAAAAGTCCGCCGACAGCATGTATTATACGTCATAACTCTACACATGCCCCTGTGCTAAAAATAGTGCCATGCGACATTAATAAATACTAATAAAAAACGGGACGGGATACTTTGAGAGGGGTGAGAGAGGCCCTAGGGAGTTTTGGTATAACATTTTATTTCATGAGCTCAAAAGCTTCTTGAGATATCGCCCGGAAACGAAAGTGTTAAAACAGACAGAATTTATGACCTTGACCTTTAACCTCAGAATCAACAGGGTTCTTCTTTGGGTCATATGGATTTGCTATGCAAAATTTCATTGCAAAAAAGAGAAAACAGAAGCGAAGTTGTCGTAATTGGCATCTCTGGGCCTGTATACAACAGGTGTTTGTAGACAGGACCCTCCTTTTACGATGCACCCTACTTCTATGATTGTTTTTAAATACTGCAGTATTATAGTTTAATCATGATTGTTTCCCCTTTTTATCTTTCTTTCCTTCATATACACGTTCCTAATTAAAAATCACCTTGAAATCCGACACATTACCTTTATGATATTTATAGGGGTGATAAATGTTAATAGAATTTGAATCTGCCTCGGATTTCAATGTGATTTATAATTGTATCATCTGTCCTACTATCTTTATAGATAATTCATGTTTTTAGAATATAATACAATGTAGTCTTAGTTTCATGAAATTTTTATGTCGAACGAATGAAACTTCCCCCTCCACCCCCTCTCCCCCGCAACAACATCACATCCACACCGACTTTATAATTTAATCTACCGTTAATTTAAAATATGTTGACCTCCGCCTTCTCCATAACTTCAGTACTAAACAGAATGACTTGGAATTTAAAAATACCTCTATAATTGATTGGAGCAACTACCAACCAATTGATACCCCATTCAGAAAAACCCGCAAAGGCGGCAGTGTTACGCCAGAGGCGATTTAGTGAACACCAAATCGTCAGTAGCTAGAGTAAACCATATACTAGTAATACATATATTAAATCCTTAGTGACCAGAAATATGCACGCCAACGATGAAAATAATTAGAATCATTTAGTGACATATTTAATATCGATATTAGTCTTTCATTTTATGTATATAATACATTTTCATATCATATCGATAAATTACAGTAACATAAATTTGCAACCTATACGTGAATAAGTATGTTGGTTTGTATTATAATTATTCAAAGTCTTTTTAATTATCAATAAAAGTTGCAAAACAATTTTAAAATGAAAATCTGACATACACATGCAATATCTAAGTAGGATTAGGAATAACATAGCACTGTTTAGTGGTTAAATAGCACTATTTTTAGCGTAAACGTTTTGTATTCGTTGCAAATTTTATGGTTTATTTCGTGATTATAAATGAACAGATATGGTTTTTTTTTGAAAATTGATTTTTCAAGAATGTTCAAAACATAATGAGGAATTATTAATCTTGATTTAGTGTGTATCTAACTAACCAGTACCGTAAATTTTGGCGATAATAGTATTGCCAGGCTTAAAACACTTTTAAATTTTAATGATGGTTTCGTATATAAAGTCTTCTACGACGAATATGTGGGGAAGTGTTGTAAAGCAGAAAAATACAAAAAAAAAAAAAGAAGAAAAAAGAAAAAGAGGGTAAAAAAGAAGGGAGAGAGTGGTGTGAGAGATAATATGCTATGAGAGGGAGACATAAGAAAGGGAAAAAAAGAAAGGGAAATTTTCCCATTCTTTTTACCTGCCCTATTCCTATGCTTCTTCGACTCCCTACTCCTGGTTCGAGTGAGAAGAAGATAACTGTCTTATCTTCCGCTCTCAAATGTGGGTGGAGGGATGGGAGAGAGGGAGAGAGAGTGGTGGGAGAGAGAGAGAGAGAGAAGGGGGAGAGAGAGGGGGAGTGAGAAGGGGAAGAGATATAGAGGGGAGAGAGAGAGAAAGAGTTGGGGGAGAGGGAGGAAGAGAGAGTGGAGGGAGAGAGTGGGGAGGAGAGAGAGAGCATGTTTCAGCATGTTTATATTTCGACTGCCTATAGAACAGTGAGGAACAAGATGTGTTTGTGAAACACTATGCGCCCGGCGGCAACAAATTTAGAAAAAAAACAACATATTTTAGCATAAAGGTCACAGTGAAGGTCATAAGGTCATTGATCTTGTTGTCGTTTGAAAGATCTTGATTAGTGAAGTATGCATACCAAATATCAAGTCTCTATCTTTCATGGTTCAAAAGTTATGTTGAAAATTCAAAAAGCTATTTTTGGCATATAAAACACAGTCCAGGTCACAAGGTCATTGACCTTGGTGTCATGTGAAAGGGCTTCATTAGTGGAGTATGCATGCCAAATATTAAGTTTCTACCTTTCTTCGTTCAAAAGTTATGGCGAAGGTTAAAGTTTACCATCAAAAAAGCTATATATAGCGTATAGGCCACAGTCAAGGTCACAAGGTCATTGACCATGGTGTCTTTTAAAGAAAAACTTAATAAGCGTTGTATGTATACCAAATGTGAAGTCTCTATCTTTTATGGTTCAAAAGTTATGGCAAAGGTAAAAGTTTGCAAAAAACCCCTCTATTTTTAGCATATAGGTCACAGACAAGGTCACAAGGTCATTGACCTTGGTGTCATTTGAAAGGGCTTGCTTTATTAGTGGAGCAGGCATACCAAATATGAAGTCTCTATCATTCATGGTTCAAAAGTTATGGCGAAGGTTAAAGTTTGCAGACAAACAGACAGACAGGACAAAAACAATATACGCCTCGAATCTTTCGATACGGGCGCATAAAAAGAGATTTCAGGTTAAGGATAGCATATACTGCGTATACCTTCAAAAAGGGGATCATTCAACAGATAAATATTTTGACTGTTTAGCTGTTTGTCTCTCTGTCTGTCTGTTGGCAACTTAAACCTAGCCCATAACTGTTGAGTTGTTCGAGCTATGGTTTTCATATTTCACAGGTGTACAGTATTCCTTGTAACAAGACCTTTTTGAGGCGCCACCAAATTTGACCTCTTGATCTTGGCCTACTTGAACCAAAACAAAAAACAAAAAACACACACTTGAGCCTTGGAAATAACTTCTGAACATTTGGAGCTAAGGCTTTCTTTCTTCACATGTGTATTCAATGTGACAAGACTTTTCAGCTGCTATAAATAATTTTGATCTAGACCTAAGAGTTTGAACCACTTTTTAAAAACCTGTAACCTTGGTCATAACATTTGAACAGTTAGAACTACGGTTTTCATATTTCACGGATGTATTCTTTGTAACAAGACCTTCCTTTGGGTACCAACACTTTTTACTTTTGGAGTTTGACATACATTTGAGAGAATTCAACCCTTGCCATAAGCTGCCATACGGGGGCATCAGTGTTTCACAAACACATCTGTTCGCTCATCTGAGCCGAAGGCTTCTTCTCAAGAACCGCTGGGCCAATTTCAACCAAACTTGCCACAAAGCATCCTTGGGTGAAGGGAATTCAAGTTTGTTCAAATAAAGGACCGGGCCACGCCTTCATTCAACGGGAGATAATTGGGAATTGGCATGTTTTAAAAATCTTCTTCTCGAGAACCACTGTGCCAGGAAAGATGAAACTTATGGGGAAACATCCTCAGGTAGTGTAGCAGGTTTATTCAAATCATGACCCACAGGGGTAGGGCGGGGCCACAAGGGCCGACCAAAGTTTTACTTAGACATATATAGGTAAAAATCTTCTTCTCAAGAATAGAAAAGCTATGATTATTCATATTTATATGGAAGTATTCTCTGATAGTTAAGATTCAAGTTTGTTGAAATTATGAACCCCGGGGGTAGGAGGGGGGCTAAAATGGCCAACCACAGTTTTACATAGAAATGTATTGGAAAATTCTTTAAAAATCAACAAAGCCAAAGTTGATCATATTTATATGGAAGCATCCTCAGGTAGTGTAGATTCAAGCTTGTTCAAATCATGACCCCTGTATGTAGGGCGGTCAAAGTTTTCACTTAGACATATATATGAACATTCTTTAAATATCATCTTCTCATGAATAGCAAAGCCATGATTGGTCATGGCCGAGACTACTTTTGGATTTAAACTTTTCAATAATAATTCAATTTCTACTTTTTCCTAGCCACAGTGCTCAGGTGAGCGATGTGGCCTATGGGCCCCTTGTTTTCATATATGTTTGGTCTCTTTATATCAAAATAAAAGAATGAAATATATTGAAAATTAATTTTATAACTTTAAACAATAATAAACTTTAATTTTATACCTTATACATTTACATATATAAGTGCCACCTTTTGCTCGAGAAATGTTCATTTATTTTTCCATGAGCAAACGTTGATATTCATGAGTGACCTTCAGAATATATAATTATGACATGTTTTGTGGTCATGAACTCTTCAACCTTGTTTATGTATACAAATTATGTATTTATAATGTTAATTTGATGGTCCGATTAATAATCGACCTAGGTATTGTTTCTGGGAGTCCTTGTTTTTGCCCTTTTCACGACAGTAGAGTTCGTCATTTTGATCATTGTGTTTTTTCTAACAAAGACGTCATGCTTGTTTTCTTTACCCCCCCCCCCCCCAAAAAAAAACGTTGAATAAAAAAAATCTAAAAATCTATATGCAAGTCACTGTGTACAAACAGTGTATATTTGTATTCATAAGAATATGCCATTTTTTGTTTTAGAGTTACCAGTGTACAATGCATTAACAAAGATGAGAAAATTAAAAAAGAGCAGTAGGGGTCATATTCATGTAAAACCTGAGCAGATACGAACTATTTAATAGGACATAAAATCAGATTTTGTTTTAGGGGGTGGAGGTAGGGGTTACAATTCTTATACTACTTGAGAATGCCTCCATATCACCTATATAAAAAAAACCTCTATATTTTTCTATGAGAAGTTCAAAGTTGATTTTACATATAAAGATCACTAAAAAAGCTTTGCAGTCTTGAGAAGAATTTTTTTTAAAGATTTCCCTATATATTAATAAATTAAGAATTTGATAATTGTGGCCCCACCCGTTTTTACCCCCAAGGGTAATGCTTTGCAAAAACAACCTGAATGTAAAACTTATGGATAATTACAGCTAAATGTGTTCCTTTTTTCAATTAATCATAAAATTGTGGTCTTAGAAGATTTTAAAAAATTTCTCCTATATATTCTATGTAAAATTTGTAAACAGGACAACGATGTGTATATATAGAGGCCGATGGGTTTCAAAATTCAGACTATAACGAAAACCAAGGTAAATGTTTCATGAAGAGATGAGCTTGAAAGTTTTGCATTTGTGCAAGAAGATTTTTAAAGTTTTTCCAATATATTCCTATGTAAAAATTTAGAACGATTTTTTGTGCAATAAGCTATGATGCCCCCAGAAGTTGTCTTTTGTTATTTTTGCCGCCAAATGTTTTGAATGTACACTACCTGAGAATGATTAAAAATGATTTATTTCAATTTTCCTGTCATCCAATGTAATATTCATTTGAAAAAGAAGATTTGAAAAGATTTTTATTTTATGTAAAATTTGATAAAAATGTACCACACCCTAGCGGTTAAAGTTAGGAAAGTTTTAAAACCCAAGCTCAGCAAATGTCAAAACTGAAAGGTGACTGTATTCCGAAAATCAATTTTTCCTTGACCAGTGATTCTTGAAGAAGATTTTTTTAAAAATGAAGATTTTTAAAAATGCCATTAATTTTTCACTAATTCATGATTATCTCCCCTTGGAAAAGGGCGTGGACCTTCATTTGAACAAACTTAAATTCCCTTAACCCAAGGATACTTTGTAGCAAGTTTTGTTGAATTTGGTCCAGCGGTTCTTTAGATGAAGAAGAAAATGTGAAAAGTTTACAACGACATTGACGACAGACAACGGACAAATTTTGATCAGAAAAGCTCACTTGAGCCTTGGGCTGAAAACATTAAAGAACACGGAAAATTCAGCATTATGGCCATATTCATGTAGATTTAAAACGTTCGACTTGTTTATATATGTGGTTCTTTAAATTTTGAATTTAAAGAGATGGGAGTTTAAAGCACACACATTTAAAAGAGTAAACAGATTTTTATGTTCTAATTTTTGTATTGACTCCCACCGGTAAATTTAAAATCTAGAACATGACAATATGAACAATTGCTTAAAATTATTTAGTAAGACATAAAAGCAGGCACTATATTTGTGAAGTATTTACAATTTTAAGCCACAGGTGCTAGGGGACGAGACCTTCTCCTCCCACCTACAGTGTATATTCAAGCTTTTTTACAAATGTAAAATCCAAAATTTAAGCTATGTGTTTTACATATATCTTAAGCAAGTTCTGCATTTTTAAAAAATCTTCTTCTCCAAAATAACTGGGCCAGGAAACTTAATTTATAGGCGACCTCGTTTTTGCCCTGCGAGTCTTTTTTCTGTTTACGAGGCAAAATAACGGTTCATTCAAGTATATACTTATGCACTAATTATAGCCAAATGTATTCCTTTTTTTCAATTAATCATAAAATTGTGGTCAGCTTAAAACGTCATTGGACGTCCCTACTCTGGTCAATTTTATTTGTAAACAGAACGATATATATATATATATAGAGGCCGGCGAGTTTCAGAATTCAGACTGTAACGGAAACCAAGGTAATGTTTCATTTAAGAGATAAGCTGGAAAGTTTTTGCATTTTTGCAAGTACGTATGCTGTAATAGTTTTTTTCTGTTTTTTTTTCCAGAAGAACGATTTTTTCCCCGAAACAAACTATGATGCTCCTAAGAAGTTGTCTTTTGGTTATTTTTGCCGCCAAATGTTTTGGCGAGCCAATGTCCCAAGGAGATCTAGAAGGTAAAAATCGATTTATTTCAATTTTTTTTTACCATCCAATGTTATATTCATTTCGAAAAAGTAGATATTTTGAAAATGATTTTTATTTCATTTCAGAATTTGATAAAAATGTACGGGTAAATTTAGCAGTTAAAGTTGCGGAAAGTTTTAAAACCCTAGCTCAGCAAATGTCAAAACTGAAAGGTGACTGCATGTCGAAAATCAACAACACCGTTGACCAGTGCAATTCTTGTCCTAGGTAAGTTTTCATTAACTTTAACCTAGTAACAAGAAAGTCAAAAAGGGAGAGAAGGGAGAGAGATAACTTTATTTTGCCCGTCGCTTAAAATAAGCAAAATATTATAGTGAAATATGTGTAAATTTTTACATAAATATATTTTAATAGAAAAGGGAAGCAGTATATTGGAATCCTCAATATCGAATCAGCTTTTAATGTTCCGGTTTCTGAGGGCAAAAACCTGGCAAAGACGATAGTGAAGTCGCTCTCAAAAGATAGCGTGCGACAATTCCTGGGAAGCAACTTAAGAACTGTGCTGAAAACACTAAAGAACACGTTTACTTCCATTATGAAAAGTATGTTGTAACTTCTGACTTGTTTAAATATGGTGGTTCTTTTAATACGTCTCAAAGTAAATCAAAAAAGAGATTTGAGTTTGAAGCACACACATGTAGAAGAGTAAGACTAGATTTTTATTATCATTTTAAAAATAGCAGTAATAAATGTAAACAAGGGGACGAATTATTTCTTTGTGGTTGATATGTTTGATCAAGATATATTAAATGCAGTTAACAAAGCAGAAAAATTACCAGAAAACGAAATTAAGAAGGTAAATAGACGTTTTAGGATGTTCGAATCAACATGGGAAAATTGTGAAATTAATCAACGATGGTTGCTCTTAACACAATTTTACCAACAATTACAATTGCTACTATCGGACAGTTCTGTAAAAACTAGGGAAAAAAAATAATGAGTTACATTTCTTTTTAAATTTACAGATAAGGATATAAGCGAAATCCCGATGTTTTTAAATAACTTTCAGCCAAATTTGCAAGTCTAAGGAATTTCATTTCAAACCCTTCATCAGCCTTTAGTAATATGATCGGAAAGATCGGCAGTAGACTTAGTAAGTAAAATGAACTTTGGCATGTATTAATTTTACACAAATATAAATTATCACATATAATTCACAAAAAATGCTTAATGCTTTAAATCGTATATGTTCGTACTGTATTCTTTATTCAAGCAGGGCAATAAAGCAACCAGGAACTTTTAAGATATATATATATATATATATATATATATATATATATATATATATATATATATATATATATATATATATATATATATATATATATATAAATAATGAATTACATGTAGCTTTAATTCTTTGTTTCCTCCCTTAGGGCAGTTAAGGTTCTGGAGAAAAAAACGATCAGTAGCTGCCTGTTCTGCTTGCGACCTGTTAGACTCAGATGATGCCAATGTTGTTATAGCTAATGGTATGAAATTTTTAATTGTTATCCTTCTAATGTTGATATTTAAATACTGTTTTATTGTTACACACATGAGACTGAATATAAGATGCATTTACATTGCTTTAAAACAGGTAAAATTTATTAGTTGTTACTCTATAAACATTGTTTTAATTCAGTTTCTAGGGATATTCCATAAAAATATTAGTGCATATTTACTATTTTACAGTATGTGGTGCTGATGCAGCTAGTGGTTTGGAGGATATTACAAAGAGTATACAAAATCTACAACTTTTGTATGAAGACGTCATGAATGGAACTGTACTCACAGAGGTGTGTGTTCGATTTGTTCTTCTAATTCTAATAAAACCTTTAGCTTGTATATTTTTAAAAAAATCTTTCTTAATTGTCCCTTAGATGAACATAATATCATAAATAATCATTTTCCTGTTGTTATAGATACTAATTGGAGCGCCTCAAATGACGACCACTCCGTCCTTGTCTATCTCAGCTGATCTTGACCACATCATATACAGCATTGGACCAAGGACAAAAACATTGGGCGGGGTGCCCGGGGAGAAAATAATCTTCAGTGATAAACCAGCATCGTATGCTATGCTGGCAGATAAAATTTACAATGATTTTGTGTGAAAAGACCTAAATGTGAAAAAAAATCTTTACATGTACAAGTCCCTGTCTATTTTTATTTGTTCTTTTTTAAGTATATATACGTTTTTAAATAAAACTTGAAATCAGCATTTTTAAAGTTTTATTGTTTATCTTGGGTAATATAGATGATTTACAATACATGAACATGTAGATGCAGATTTGTAGCTCTTTGAAAAAAAAGACTGGAGAGCAACGATGTCACCCAGATTTTCCTTTATATTTCAATGTGAAAACTTAGATTACCTATTGTGGCCCGCCCTACCCCTGGGGGTCATGATTTGAACCCTAAAATACATGATTTCACATAAGTTTCACTTTTTCTGGCGCAGTGGTTCTTCTTCAGAAGATTATTTAATGACCCCACCCTATTTTTGTTTTTTCTTGATTTATCTAACCTTGTAAGGAGCATTGGCCCTTTATTTTAACAATTCAAACTCCCCTTTGGCCAAGGATATTTTGTACCAAGTTGGGTCAAAATTAGCCTCGTGGTTCTTGACAAGAAGTCGAAAATGTGAAAAGTTTACAGACGGACAGACAGACTTAGACACTTATTCAATGGGCGGCTTTGTCGCTCTCTGGTCGTCCATTCAATTTTTTTCAGACAAGCGACTACAGATATGCCTCTAAAATACATATATGTACATGTTCCGCTATATTTACAGTACGTGCTATCATGAAAATGCGAATGAATTGAATCACCAATTTCTAGAAACATCGATATCAAATTCTTATATCATCTTATTATAGTAAAAATTCACTCTCTTAATACAGAGAGCAAAGCACTACCGTCTTTTCCAATATATTCTGTCTAGTGAACAAGCTGCTTTTTCTATTTTTCCCAGCTTTAAAAATTTAACTCCTATTCCTAAATGTTTACCTTTCAACGGTTCAAGAAGGACTGTTTGTGGAAGTGTATGACGTAAAAATGGGAATCTTTTAAACTGATATTTCAAATCCAAAAAGGACTGTTTCGGACCATTGAAAGGTAAAGAAAGTATCAATATCATTGGAGCAAAATATATGATTAATTAATCTTATACCACTCTTAGAGCGCAAACAGCACAAAATACAAGAAATAATGCCTGAAGTGAGCGACAAAAAATCGGCGGCGTAAATAGAAGATTTTTTACAACTTGGATCTGTAGCTCTCTGCTGCCTTATCTGTCAGAATTTTCTCAAGCAGAGAGCTAGAGTTCTACAGCTATGTAAATACGTTGTTCGGAACATAGTTGCGAGAGGGAAAAATCTGTGTGTAACAAATTTATTCTACTTTTAATAATTAAATACACTGTAACGCGATGTTTATGCGAAAGTTTACAGACGGACAGACAGACGGACGACGGACAATTGGTGATCAGAAAAGCTCACTTGAGCTTTTCAGCTGTGACCTTGAGCAGAATAAGTAAACACTTATTCAATGAGCGGCATTGTAGCTCTCTGGTCGTCCATTCATTTTTTTTTCAGACAAGCGACTACAAATATGCATCTAAAATACATAAATTATGTACATGTACCGCTATATTTACAGTGCTATTATGAAAAGTCAAATGAATTGCATCACCATATTCTAGAAACATCGTAATTGTCACAGAGCAACATTTAAAATGGTCCTGCCAGTCATGAAACTGTTAAAAAGCCGAGCAATACTCGGAGAAAATTTACACCAAGAAGAGTTTGGTTGACATCCCGAATTGGCAGCAAAGGACGCGGTGAGAAGGTTGAAGCTGATAAGGAATCTCCAAAAAATCAAGGAGCACATTTGAATCCCTTTTCCAATCAAATCAAAAGGAAGTAAATCGTTAACTCATAAACTGTGTCTTCCGGCTTACTGTTTCTACAACTTAAACCAAAGCATTATATAAGATTTATGTTTCCGTAGAAAAGAAACCTTCAATATCACATGTAAAATATTAAATTGTGACAACTTTCACAGCGGAGGTCTTAATCAATCCACAATGTTATTGATTATGGAAAAAAAAACCGGATGTACGTGTAATGTAGAATTGAATTATAAACAACTTAACACATGTAGATATGTAAAATTTTGTAATTTTTTTTTTTACATGTAAAATATTAATTACAATATACAATATTTAAGTTAAAAAATTATACAATATATTACTTTAAAAAATTACATAATTAATATTGAAAACATTACACAATATGGTATTTTAAAAAATTACACAATATGTTATTTAGAAAAATATCAAAATATACATTATACACATAATTAATGATTAATTAATAAGTCATTAATTTCTCCTGCCACAGCAAGAAGTGCAACTAAAGAAGTTTAGGATTCGGGAGAAAACACCCCGTCTGGGCTGTAAAAAAAAAGAAAATATGTTTGAAAATGAAACGAATTCTATACAATATGTATACTCTACCAAAAAAGTGGATTTTTATTACAGTGTACTTTGTCATTTTTCCACTAAGGGAAAACATGATATAGTTTAAAGTTTACTAAGTTTTCAAAGTGAGTCTTACCAAGAAAACATCACATTTAAAATAAGCTTTCTTCTGTTACAACATGTTTATTGATGCAAAGGTAAAGGAAAACCCATAAATAATACTGAATAAGATATTAGATTTAAATTATGAGAAATTCTCACCTCAGCAACTGTAGCCAATCGGTTTTCAATTGCAGCCTTCGCAAAAGCATTATTAATTGATGTGGTTGACATCTTCTTGGCCTGTGGAAGATAGGGAAACAAATTAAAAACGTTAATTTGAATTAATATTTCAATATCTTTTTTTTAATTACTAGAATATGGATTTTTTTGGTATACCTCCATCTCCAGTGTCCTGGACATGACCCTGTTGACAGCAGGGCTGGAAGCACTGCTTGTCTAAAACATTGCCATAAAATATAATATATTATCATATCAATAAAATCATGTAAGATTACTTATTGCTGTCAATCTGTAAATTTCAAATAAATAGAAATTCTTTGACGATCAAAATATTGATGAATTTGAATAGTCTTACTTTCTTCTTCATTGTTTCTAGGCAAAATAACAAAAACATGTATTTAAAAAAATCTTTGTGAAACACTAATGTCCCCAACCCCTGAATGAGCAATCATGGTGAAGGTCAAAATTTCTCAAATGCACGCAGAATCTAAGGTCTAGAGATCAGTATTATTGGTATCCAAAGAATGGTCTCATCAAAAGGAATATACTTGTAAAGTATGAAGCCCTTGCATCAACCATTCCGAAAGTATGGTCAAAGTTAAAAGATTTTTCAAAAGTATAGGTCATGTTCTTAATAATATATTATAAATACTTATATTTACCTTCGAAATATGTCTTAGAAAACTTTTAAGACTTTTTAGACTTTTAAGATAGAAAGATCAAAAATTGTTGGTACACAAAGGAAGGTCTTATAAGAAAGCAAAAAAAAAACCATATGTGAAATACAAAAAGTACTAGTACCAACAATTTAAAATTTGTGACAAAGGGTCAATTTCTTTGAAAAGAAGATCAAATTTCAAGGGCAAAGTCAAAATGTCTGAAACCCGAGGCTGGCTCATAACAAACCAGAAGTCTCTGATGAGACTGTAGCTCTACTGCTCACTACATGAAACTTTGCAAAAGCAGCGATAAATAGAAGTATGTATCTTAATGTAGTCTACATGTACATGTACCTGTGTGCCAAGTTATTTTGAAATCAAACTAAAACTGTAGGAAGAGTAATGTAATAAAAGTATTTTAAAGATTTATTTTTAGAAACCATACCAAAAACATATAGCGAAAACAAAAACCGATATAAATTATCGTGCACCGTAGTGTAGTCTAATGCTGTGCTAAATTAGATTGGAACCAAACTAAAACTGTAGCAGGAATAACGTTATAAATGCATTCTACAGAAATTTTTATTTTTAGTAAACATGGCAAATCGATTCGTCATAAGAAAAAAAATAATTTTTGAATTATATATATGCACCTTAGTGCAGTCTACTCGTGTGCCAAATAATAGACTTCATGTAAAACTATAAAAGAAATTGTGTTTTCATGGAATTTTCAGAAAATTAATGTGTATTTTTAGCAACCTTGGTAACAGATTCATCGAAATCAAAAATCGATGCACTAAATAGTGTGGTCTCATATTGAAATCAGGCCAGAACTAGGAAGGGTAGCGCTTTAAAGGAATTTCACAGAAAAATTCTATTGTTCTTAACTATACCAACATCGTTCATTAAAATCAAAAACCGATTCACTAAGTTTTGTATCTGTAGTGTACTCTTCTTGTACGCCAAGTTTTATTGAAATTGGGCCAAAGCTGTAGGAGTAGTAGTGTTTAGAAAAAAGTCGTTTACAAACAAATCCACGGACGAGGGAACCTTACTATCACATACGCTGTTCTTGTCAATGACCAGTACAGCTAAAATGCACATGTAAGATATAATAGTCTTTGCTCTGACCATTCAAAAGAAATGGCAAAGGTTAACGTTTTTTTAAAAGAAGGTCAAATTCCATGCATGGTCAAAAATATTTATGTATTTGCATCAAAGAAAAAATCCACAAGAAAAACGCTTGAAATATGGAGGCCTTGGCTCCAACCATTCAAGTTATAATATATCCAAGGTTAAGGTTAAGTAAACATTTCAAAAGTGGGTCAAAGCTAAAGGCCAAGAGGTGAAATATCAAAGAATCGAAACAGAAGGCATACAAAAGTTGTAGGAAAAATTAAAGTTTTATGGACAAAAGACAAAAGGGCCAGACAGACGGACAGAAAGACCTAAAATCTTTCATTGCGGTGGCATAATTTTTTGATTTTGAAACATAAGTTAGCTCCTGCTTCTTCAAGGCATTGCCTGACTAAAATAGAAAACCATAGCAGTTATCATGTAAACATGAATTTCTTCAAAAATTAATTCAGTAATAACCGTAGATATACGACTGACAAAAAATATTCTGCTCTGTATTACCTGGGCCATTGTTTCATCATTCCTGTCCTTCTCGGCAGCCGCTGAGAAGGCATTTTGAATAGCCGTTTGGCTCATCTTTTTGGCCTAAAAAAATGGCAGAGATTTAAACAAACTTTAAAAATCTTTAAGGAAATATAAAAGATATTAACAGCTAGTGTTTAATTAATCAAGGTATAAAAATATGTCCGAGTATCCTTAATTACTTATCTTTTTATTTACAAATTGTGAGTGTGTGTGTGTGTGTGGGGGGGGGGGGTCGTCGCATACCTGTAAAACCCGCTTTTCATCCATGGGGCTTTTGAACAAAATGGAGGATATTCTTCGTGCCTATAGTATAAACAAGAAAAATGGTTTGCTAAAAGCATGTCTTCTCATAACGATAAAAGATATAATACGAAAACAGAGACAGAGAAAAAACAGCCAAGAGGACAAGCGGGAATTCTGTCCCTTTTATGTATTTGAACACAGTCATTGTATGATTACTTCGTATTGCGAAATACAAAAGTCCTCTGCTAATGTTTATGAAGTTAATATAAAACAATACAATACAAAGAAGAGGCCCATGGGCCACATCGCTCACCTGAGTATGCAGTTCTTTACCAGATTCCCCCTCTTGCTATACCTATCATGCCCCACTACCACCTTCCCTATTATGATTTTAAAACTTTAGAATCTACACTACCCCAGGATGGAGTACATAAGCTTCACATAAGTTTCAGCTTTCCTGGCCCTGTGGTTCTTGAGAAGAAGATTTTTAAAGATTTCTTCTATATATTTCTATGTTAAACTTGGATTCCCTATTGTGGCCCCGCCCTGCCCCCAGGGGTCATGATTTTAACAATTTAATATCTACACTACGCAAGGATGCTTCCATATAAGTTTCAGCTTTCCTGGCCCTGTGGTTCTTGAAAAGAAGATTTTTAAGTATTTGTTCTATATATTTCTATGTAAAACTTGGATTCCCTATTGTGGCTCCGCCCTATCCCCGGGGGTCATGATTTTAACAATTTAATATCTACACTACCCAAGGATGCTTTCACATAAGTTTCAGCTTTCCTGGCCCAGTGATTTTTGAGAAAAAGATTTTTAAAGATTTATTCTAAACATTTCTATGTAAAACTTGGATTCCCTATTGTGGCTCCGCCCTATTCCAAGTGGTCATGATTTAAAAAATTTAATATCTACACTACCCAAGGATGCTTCCACATAAGTTTCAGCTTTCCTGGCCCTGTGGTTCTTGAGAAGAAGATTTTTAAAGATTTGTTCTATATATGTCTATGTAAAACTTGGATTCCCAATTGTGGCTCCGCCCTATCCCCGGGGGTCATGATTTTAACAATTTAATATTTACACTACCCCAGGATGATTTCACATAAGTTTCAGCTTTCCTTGGCTAGAGGTTCTTGAGAAGAAGATTTTTAAAGATTTATTCTATATATTTCTATGTAAAACTTGGATTCCCTATTGTGGCTCCGCCCCATCCCCAGGGGTCATAATTTTAACAATTTAATATCTACACTACCCAAGGATGCTTCCACATATGTTTCAGCTTTCCTGACCCTGTGGTTCTTGAGAAGAAGATTTTTAAAGATTTGTTCTATATATGTCTATGTAAAACTTGGATTCCCTATTGTGGCCACGCCCTACCCCCGGGGGTCATGATTTTAACAATTTAATATCTACACTACCCAAGGCTGCTTTCACATAAGTTTCAGCTTTCCTGGGCTAGTGGTTCTTGAGAAGAAGATTTTTAAGGGATCAACCCCATTCTATTTTTATCTTTTCTTGATTATCTCCCCTTGTAAGGGGACTTGGTCCTTCATTTTAAAAATTTAAACTTCCCTTCACCCAAGGATGCTTTGTACCATGTTTGTTTAAAATTGGCCCATTGGTTCTTGAGAAGAAGTCGAAAATGTGAAAAGTTTACAGACGGACAGACGGACGGACGGACGACGGACATAATGTGATCAGAAAAGCTCACTTGAGCCTTCGACTCAGGTGAGCTGAAAACTACATGTATACTAGAAATTGAATTTTTATCGATTCTCTCTGCTCCGTCCTTCTTGTTAACACATACAAACTAAAATAGTGCCTTACCTCTGCTAACATCCTGTTTTCCTCCTGAGCAGAATCAGGCACGGACGTGGTCGACTTAAACACAAAATAAATGATGGTTGTTGGTTAAGATGGCGTATTAAACTAAAAGACGCCAATGAAATAATTCGGAATTTAAATACAGAAAATCGGACAATGGTAACTACAGCTAATTAACATTTTTCATGTTTTCTGCATTTTCACTTCGCAATGTATGTACATATAATATGTTTTTTTATTCCGTACAAATGAAAATACGAGTAGAAAAAAAGACAAGTGACCAAATAACGTATATTGTATCCCGTGTAGACACACCTCAAACTCCTCGCTCCGACTGCCTTCGTCCGATAGGACGGCTAAAGCGTCTCTATATATACTGGAGCCGCTAGATGAAGCCTAGAAAAAAATACACTACAAATGACTATATGTCGCATAATGAGTACATCATTTACTTATTAATTTATAAGAGTCACGGGGGCCGAAACCGAGAGGTGCGGGGGGGGGGGGGCGGCTAGGGGGCATAACAAGCCAACCCCCACACCACCCCAAACTATTTTTTGCAAAGATAGACATATTAATATGAGGCTTGAAAATATGGGTTTAGTACTGCAACCTCCTTTTTTGTTGTTGGACGAACCCCTACTCCCTTTCAATTTGCTTCTTAAGTCTTTACTTTGATGGTATCCTAACCCATTTTTACTTTAAATAAATCAAACATTCAGATTCTGTAAAAACATAGGTTTCGTGTTTGAAATATACACGCATATAATAATTGAATAATAGTACGTTATTTAAATCCTTCAGTGACAACCTCTATCATTTTATTAAATACTGAATATATCATTACTATTATTAGAATTAATTTGTGTAAAACGAAAGAAGATACATTTTACTTAAAAACAAAACGGATATTAGTCTAGATTATTTTTAAGAATGAAGACACAAATGTCAAAAATCTGAGTCTGAATCTGAGCCCTAAAACCCTACATCCCCACCTCCCACCCCTTTTCCGAAGAGTAAGGACACTTAATATAATTAGCATCACGTTTTAAAAGGGACTTACACCTTTCATATGGTAAATCCTCTTATCATTTGTAACATGACTTATCTGCTATGTATTTTGCATTAAACTTTCGTTAACATTAATTCAGCCTCTAAAAATAAGTTAAATGAATAAGTTCTAATGTTTTACCTCTGCATTTTCACTTGATGCCCCTTTAAAATCATTCATTTTGATTCTATTCGCTGGGCTGAAATAAATTTAAGTATGACATATTATTAATAGAGGTAAAGGAAACTTTTATCTGATCTTATATTTCGTTTATTTTTATTGATGCAAGTTAATAATCATTTGCGTATACTTCTACTTACTGGTATATAGGTTGACAGTGAACGTTCCAAATGTGAAGAGGAATTCACAATTTCGAATTCGAATATTTAATTTCTGTCTCTCTGTTTCTGGAAGAGGAAAAAACAATTCGAATATTTAATTTCTGTCTCTCTGTTTCTGGAAGAAGAAAAAACAATTAGGCTATGAGCTAAGCATTTCAATGAATTATCTTGCTGTAATTAATATTATACTAACATCTAAAACATTTCGTTAAAACTTCTTTTCTACCTACCACAAATTATTGTCTGTGAAGCAGGCTGAGACGAGATTTCTATTGTGACGTCATTCCATAGTGATGCGTCACCCAGGTGTAAGTATGAACGATAACTCTTTTTTTTTTCCGCATGAAATTTTTTTACGGACCGTGTTTATTCACATTCCTTTTTTATTCTCCTTTATCTAAATAATCACGCGATACTTAAGCGAGGTGAGGGGGATTACGAGTAGAGTTGCAAACCTTTTCTCTTTTTATGTATCAGTCGAAAACGATATACAGTATTTAAAAACGGCTTATAGAGACACATACATGTATTACATTATCGATATCAAGTAATGCTTTATAGAGTACCAAAATAGGGAAAAGGTGTGTCAACCCCAGATTTAAAAAAAAATGGAAGGGATTGTGTCCCGCCCCCTTCCCCTAGTGCTGTGTCCTCCACGGGCAAAAGTTAAATTTTTCTCCTCCTAGCTATACTATAGGACTTTAGAGCAAAAACGTAACAGAATCTGTAAACGTCTAATGAAAGAACGTTTGGACGTGTCAGGAAGCTGAAGGGTTTAAACATTTAGTTTAAATTACTAAAACAAGACTTGTGTAAAATTAAACAAGAGATTTACATAATGTCATTGTCAGTGAGTTAAGCCCATGAATAAAAGGCAAGCATAAAAAAAATTATATTTAAATGAAATGTTTATTAAATCAAAATTCAAGTAAAATAAAACACAATAAAATGACAAGGTTGGCAGCTCGTCTGCTCGTTGGGCGGGTCTTACGATGCCATAACTACATGTAGACGTACATGTACGGATCTTAAATTTAAAAGACATATTATATATTATAACTCAAGAGCCCAATAAGCTGGAGGGATAAGGCTGATTTGTCGCCGTTGTTTTATAACACGAACTAACCCTCTAGGACCCTATGTTATGAGCGTCATTTTCTTTCCAACAAACGCTTGAAAATTAAAGAAAAAAAATCCGCTGTTCTGATGAAATACATATCTATGAAACTTTAAAAAATATCAGAATAATCTTATCAAGAAAATTATTCAGTTGGTGCTATTTGATGTGGCCTGTCTCGTTTTGGGAAACAATGGTATTTTTTATTTTGGCCTAGGGATTGTAATAGTTAGTTACAGGTTGACCATGAAGTTGTTTGAGATATTTCAAGAGGCAATTCTTTTCAGGACTGTCACTGATGCGCAACGGAGATGACAAGAATTTTTATTCAAATTGTGTGTGTGGGGGGGGGGGGGGGGAGCGACATATCAATTTCAATAACTCATGAATTATCAGTCAAAGTCACACAAGATTTTGGTATCTTGTTGATTAAAGTTGAATTAAAATATTTGATAACAATACTGGAAAACATATTCGAAATGATAGTTTTAATTTAATTCAAAAGTTTAATATGCGTTTCTTTTTCCTTTCAGTATATAATAAATAAACATTTTATCAGATCAAAAATGCAATGTAAATGGTTGATGTTTTCACAAGGTTGGAGACTTGTCTGCTCGTTGGACGGACGATACTTACTACATGTACGTACAGGTACGAGGGCTGTTCGGAAATTATTGAGACAATTACATTTTCTCCATAAAGGTCTGAGATAATTTCACGAAAATTCATCGACATTTTTTAAAGAACGAATAAAACACTTATGCGAAATTTCTAATTCCTATGATAATTAGATAAGTTTCGGTGAAATAATAAACATACATATGTCTATCGACCCGGAGCAGCATTGCTACGTCATTTTAACGTCACATCAGCCGGTGATGTTTTCGCATGTGAAACGATCGGGAAGCGTTTAATACTATTCCTTCTTTCTTATTACATACAATGTACAGCATTACAAAAATCAAATAGTCTCTTTTCTTAAACTATTCTTTTAAAACGTATGCTGTAAATTGCTGTTGCTACCCCAGTAAAAAATTTTTATTGGAGGGAAAGGATGACTTAGAATCATGCAGTGCCGATTTATGCAACGCGGGTTTAATACCGTAACGATATTAATATCGTACGGAATATTTCATGGTCGTCTGCACGGGCACTGGAAGTTAATGTAAATATATAGTATGTGTATGTATAAAAAAAGAAGGGTAGGACACTCTTTTTGAGGCAAATTCGGGTTTGGGGTATTTTAGGCCTTTCTCAGAAGACTTGGCGCGATTAATCGTTCACTTATAACTTACTTTAAATATATGTACCATTTCGTTCCGCTCCAATGCCGTCCCTTCGAAGAAAAAGATGTTTTTATACCTCCAAGTGCCTAAGAATTTTGCTAGACTGCCTTACTTCCGGTTTATCCAAACTGAATATAAAGATAAGTTCTGATTGGTCAATATATTACAATGAAATTTGGACAGCTGGATAGACATGAAGCGAGAAAAAATTTATTTGTTATGGTCTGTTCAAAATTTGTTGAAGGGTAAGTTGCAGTTTTATATTTTAGCCTTTTCACAATTAATTTTTACGAATAATGAAGAATATTATTTACAGTATAAAAAAATTCATGTTGTTTATGTGTATGAAATTGACCAATCAGAACTTACCTTTATATTCAGTTTGGATAAAACGGAAGTAAGACAGTCTAGCAAAATTCTTAGGCACTTGGAGGTATAAAAACATCTTTTTCTTCAAAGGGACGGCATTGGAGCGGAACGAAACGGTACATATATTTAAAGTAAGTTATAAGTGAACGATTAATCGCGCCAAGTCTTCTGAGAAAGGCCTAAAATACCCCAAACCCGAATTTGCCTCAAAAAGAGTGTCCTACCCTTCTTTTTTTATACATACACATACTATATATTTACATTAACTTCCAGTGCCCGTGGTCGTCTGGAGCTTTTAATTTTACTCAGGGTAAATTAATTGTAAAAAAAAAATGTATACCAATGAAATAACAAACTATAGCACTGTATTTTTTCTCGTTGTTATTGTTTTAGCAGGTTGTTCAGTCTGGAAAACAGTTCTAAATTGCGCGACACAAAATTTTGGGTATGCTGGCTGCTCCGCCCTTGACGTTAAAATCCATTTTGTCGTTGTTAGCAGATTTCTCTACCGTCCTTGATTTTTTTACGATCTCCGTATTTCTGTTCAAAATTATATCAAAGTTGCAAAACATGAATTTGAAATGAAGTTGAAAAATTATACACTTAAACTGAATTATTTTGGCTCTTATTATGGATCCACGAAGACTTAGAACGTTAGTGTTACATATTTTCAATATCCGATTTCGTGACTGCTCCGGGTACCCCAACTATTGATGCATTTATATACCATTGTAGAGAAAATATTTAATATTTGTAAAATATTTCTTGCTTTTATTAATTCTTAGTATATGTCAAACGTATATGCAAAATTTCACCGAAAGACGTTCATTAGAAAGCAAAATATACACAATGTCTCAATAATTTTCGAACAGCCCTCGTATGTACATGTATTTTAATTTTAAAAGACAGCTTGATTATCACTCTTTTTTAACCCAGATATATTTAATTACCGAATGTTTCAAAGGCATACGGCTGATTTGTCGCTGTTGTTTTATAACACGAACTACGTCTAGGATCAAACGTTTAAAATCACAGAACAAAATCGGCTGCTCTAATAATGTGCAGTTTGATGAAACTTAAAAAAAATATTAGAATAATCTTATCAAGAATTTTTTCAGTTGGCGCTATTTGATTGGGTCAGTCGCATTAGTGGAAACAAAGGTATTTTTATTTTTGGCCTAAGGACTGTAATAATTAGTAACAGGTTGATCATGAAGTTGGTTGAGAAATTTCACGAGGCAATCCTTTTCAGCAATATGATTGATGATTTACAAAATATTGAATCGTTCCCAATGGCAATATAAATGTCCTAAATGCAGCACACATTTCCACATTTTTTCGTATAAATAGTGAATTAAAACAAAACGACTTCTACATTCTGTTTCTTTTTGGGCATTTGTGTACAAGTACGTACTTTTTATTCATTTTAATTTTTAGTTTAATTAAAATTGTGAATTTCAACATCCGATAAATAAGTTGTGTTGTTCGACGCATTTTATCATCTTTTAACAGATAAAAATAAATTACTTAGTGTTATTTAACACATGAAGATCTATTTTGGAAATTCCGCAACAAAATAAGGTATGTTGCTTTGCAAAACATTACGGTCAATCAAATGGGTTTCCCCCAAAATTTGAATTGGTAATAAAGTCGCTCCTTCATATTAACCAAAACATTTGGAACTGAAAACCATATAAAATGATCGAATATTTGCTTTGTTTGAATATCTTAGAGTGTACAGACGGAAAAGGCTTCAGTTTGAAAGAAAAGTAAAGGTCTTCTGCGCTGTTAAATAATCTTCATGCTGATTTTGCATCAGTTTGAGTCTTATTCAGGCCGCTAATTGATTTAAAAAATGACAAAATATTAAATTCTATAGTACTAAATGTTTAAAAGAAAGTGAGTAAAAAGATATAGAATAGCTCAATATTTCAGCAATATTCTTTTTCAGGTATAAAAATGGTGATTGTGTTGATTATTTATGCCTTGGTCTTTTTTACAAGTCATGGATTGAAATTAGGACAAGAAATCGAAAGTAAGTTCCTCTAGGCTAATGATATTTACACATACTTTGTCGGAAATGTATAGCTTCAAATTCTATGAAAAGTAAAACAATATTTTTGTTGCGATTTTAGAGGTTAACGAGTTTGCAACAAAGGAAATGATAGCTGAAATGACTTCAGGAATCACTGGTCTGGCAAGGCGGATCCAAAACACTAATACAATATGTATTGACGAAATCAACAGAATTCGTAACTACGTCTGTGCTAAATGTACTGGAAATCCGTGAGAGTTAATTTTTGAAAATTATGAATACATCTATTCCACAACCTGTCCTTTATCTCTTTAAAGATTGTGCAATATAAAATAATTTTTCTATTTGTGTTAAGATTCTGAAATTTGTTTATGAATTGAATTTAATTTCTGATGTTTAAATAAATGACATTGACATTGATTGTTGTGTCAACGATTTCAGAAAATGACATTTCAAAATGTATTATCAAATTTAATCATTAAATAAAATTTTTCAGTGTCTTGCCATCTCTGACCGATATAAAACAAAATTTGAATAGACCGGTTCCAAAGATTTTGAAGCTCTTTTATGCTTTGATGGATGCTTTAACACCCGAGGCAATAGAGTTAGTGGGAGAACGGAAATTCATGATGGAAGAAGACTTTGGAAGAATGGCTGATTATCTTAAATTAGCAACAAAACCAGGTGAATACTGGGTAATTTTAAAACAAAAGCCAGAAATCAAAGATGATTAACTTTCAATTTTTTAGCTACTTATTGATACACACTCCAGAAAAAGTAAATGTTATGTAATTTTTCATAAATAGCAGTATTGCTTTATTTAACTCGATATTCATGCATTAAATAATAGTTTCTTTTCTGTCAATTTAATATTCTGAAATCCCAGTTTAGCGTTTCAATAATGATATTTCTATTTTAAAGAACTAGGAACACCGCTCGAAGAATCAAAACGCATAAGCGAAGAAATTGATTTAAAACTAGGGAATGTGACTACCAACTTTCGAAATGCAGGTAAGGAGAGAGAGAGTTTCTTAACCTTTTTCTTCATAAATTCTTCATTGTGCCTTATTAAAAGATGGATAGGACAAAAGATGCTTATTTCTGTATGGCACCTACTCCCACTGCAATTGTTTTTAGAGATCATTATCTTTTCTGCTCCACTTTATGTGGGTTTAATGTACTTATGGGCTTGCTCTCTATTTGTTATCTACATACTGTTTGGCAGGTGTTGTAGGAAGACGAAAAAGACAATCTACCATCACTATAATCAGATCTTGTCCGCAGTGTGATAGCCTGGATGGTGTGGACATCGAACAATACATTGATATAGGTAAATAGAATTGTTTTGGTTGCTTTTATGTTTGGCTGTGTTTCTGTTTAATTATCTGTGAATTGTCGCATCAGATGCATCTTCTTGCGGATGGTTTACTTTAGGTACATTTTTGTAATATTTTAAAATTTTTATTTTCATTTTCCTGCAAATCAATTACACACTTTATTCAAGTCATGAAAAAAAGATTTATTTTTGAAAATCTTGCTTCTAGAAAACAAGTACTTTTACTTTTAAAATGTCAAATAAAATGAGAAAATGATTCTATATCAAACCAAAGAAACTACATTCTACCGGTCATGTAGCCTGGTGGTAAGACGTCCTTCAAGCACCCTGCATTAGATGTGAAAGCCATGGGTCTGTCATGGTGTGAACTTGAAAACCGAGGTAGTGACTCTTCCTTAGCCAATTTCCGGCAATAGAGCAAAATTCACGGTTCTTTTTGACAACTGACAAGACTTCAAAAACCGTTGTCCACCGATACGGTGGGCGTTAGCATGATAAAGAAACCTGACTGCTCAATGGTCACGAGAAGAGATATTAATTTTTAAGTTATATGAGACGTAAATCAACATGCAGTCAAACATTCCATATTATATTTGAATAAAAACTACATATGATTATTAGTGATATGTTTGTCAATCCTGACAAGGTCAGAATCAAAGCAAAAGATTTTTCTGAAGCTGAATTATTTAAACAGAGGGATATTGGGATATAAAAATATATAAATAATTTATACAGAAAAAGGTTTTAATAACTTAGGGACGATGTGTCGATTGATTGACTATACATGTATGTTGTTTAACTTCGCTCTCGAATTTTTCTCTCAAATAGAGACGCCACCACTTGCTGGTGGAGAGCTGAATATTTTATCCTGTGATCGGCACTCAGTGCCATTGAGCGGGGAGCTCGAGGGGTCTTTTTCGTGCCAGCATCTACTGCGATAGGAGACTTCGGTTTATTCGGTCTCTTGCGAAGGACAGGTTTCCACGTCCCACAGTGGGATTCGAATCCGCTACGTAAGGATTAACTTCTTACTTCGCAACTCTGGAGCAGCCGCTTTAACCACTACGTCACGCATACGACTTACATGTGTAAAAAAAAAAACTGCGTTTATACATCAAATCTTTACTTGGAAATTGTTAGATCATCATCATAAAAAAGCTATAGGATAAAAAACTATATTTACATTTTATTAAAAAACAAACAAATTATTATAAGTTAATTTTACATTTTCACCTGATCCTAATCCAATAAAGAGATATTAACGCGATTTTCATGTAAAATTTGAAAATCAAATGCTTGTGTTTATTTATGCTAGTTTGTGGACCAACAGTGTTATTAAGCATCGACAGCATCATGGAACTGGCTGACCGGTATCGACTAATATTTAACACAACATTAGATTTAAATAATTACGACCCAATCATTCAAGAGGTAAGGAATAGTTCTTTAAAAAAACAATAAACGATTTTATTAAAATTTCCAATTGATTGATAAAAGCATGTTTCTCAATGTTGAACTTGAAAGAAGAATGTGTTTTTAACTTTATTTCTATTAAAAAAATATGAAAACGTGGGGGAAAAAAGAATCTTTTTGCGATTGAAACATTCACATAATTATATCTATCTTTTTCAATTTCATTTTAGGTGGACTTTGATGAAAAAAGTGTCATATATCAACTTACACCGTATTTCAGCGTTGTAGCTGACATCAAAAGTTACAAATATAGAATAGAGCAGACCATCTATACAAAGGATTCAACACCAGTTTCTCTTCATTTCAACAACTTGAACGAAACTGCTAAGTTTTTAGCCGGAGAAATCATGGAGAAACACGTTTATGGTCCAGGCACAGGATTTGGCTTTGCATAATAATGGTTTATGTTTCATGTTTCTTTTATAAATGATCGAATCCATGTAATATTCAGTACATGAACATAATAAAGGACTATTTCGAATTCGATATTTTTGATTTTTTAAAATCATAATATCGTGTAAAGGGTTGAAGATAAATCCTTTATTTATAGAGAATAGCTACATGTATATATCAGAAATGAAGTCCATATTGCCACAAAAACCTTAAGAAAGGTATTTTAAAACTTACCAAAGAAAACTGTTGGTATCGAGTTTGATTAATCAAAAATTATGTTATCATATTCGTTTAATTGTATATTTTGCACAGCTCTATTAATTCTTCTGTACTTTTTTGCCATAGGTGATTTTTATATCCGTAATTCATCGATCTTTGAAAAATACACTTTTTTGCAATTTTTTGTCTTCAAATAATCGCTTATGATCAGTTATAGGCTCTCTATTCCCTGTACTTGGGAGAAAGAAATAGATGATGAGTTAGATAAAATATGAAAAAATACATTTAAGGAATGAATTTAATAGCTACCCATTTTATACGGTATAAACTGGGTTGGGGCAGTTTACGCTTTATAAACCGCGACGCGGTTTATAAAAAAGCGTAAACTGCTCCAACCCAGTTTATACCGTATAAAATAAATTCATTGCTTATAATTTAATTTTCATTCATTTGATGTAAGAAAAAAGATGATTTTCCAGCAAAATGACTTCAATTTGTACAAATTTGAATGTAACGTCCCGCGGATTGATACGTTTTTGACGAAAGTCATTGTGACGTAGGCAACCCATTTTATACAATATACAGTAAATATTTTATCCGACCAAATACAGCGTTACAATCAGAATTAAATTATATACATATAATTAAAACAATAAATCATTTCTTTGAAATCGGAACACTTCTTTTCTTAAGAACTTAAATTTCAAAGACTTGAAGAGACATACACTACCAGAAGTAGCACTAACTTCAGCATTACTTTTTGATCTCTTCGACTCATGTGAGAAAACGCAAGCTTTATTTTTTTAATAACCTCAATTCAAATAAGCATTACCATTTTTGATTTTGTAAAACATATCACTATTACAATGATCTAGTTGGCAAATATAATCTATCATTGGGTTGTATTCAACTAACATATTCCATACAAATCATTAGGGGTTTGTTATTTTTATTCAAAATTTGACTGTAGAACGTTAAACATGCATTGCATGGTAGTGAGGGAGACACTTTTTCGCTCTTAAAAAATCTCATATTACTTGAAAGGAAAATGATTGTTCGTGGGCGAGAAAACTTCATATCTCCCTAACATTCATTCGAAAACATTTTATTATCCAAGATGCACGAAATTTCAAGAAAATTAAATGAATAGAACAATGTGAAACAGATATCAGTCATACCGTTAGCATCGCTTATAAAAATTGCTATATTCCTACTTGCAAATTCTGTTTGATTTATAAACCAGTAACTTTAAACCCCATCCCTTATACAAATGTAATTTTTTTGTTTAATTTTACATCTTTGAATCAACACAATCAATCGACGATAGAAAGAAACTAATTCACTAAATACGCTTTTAGTTGCCTTATTGAAACATCACAATCAGTTTTCTTTGCATAACAAAGACAATTGTCAAATGACTTTCGCGACCAATCGCATTTTGCCAAACTTGTGATAGTTTATACAACTACATATATATATGTATATAGATACATTAATTTCATGAAGTATAATGAAATACTTTTATTGCATAAGGGAATTAAATTGGAAGATTTATCCAACCAAGAAAAGTGATATTTCGGGAGGACGAAGGGAAAACAATTTTTTTCTTGGTTGAATTTTTTTCACAAATTGATGCAACGAATTGTTTATCAAACCGAAGCAAACCAACTCTTTAAAAAATGAACACTCGGTTTCAAATTCAGCACTGTTATAACGTCACTATCAGTTATTAAATGTCTATGAAACATTTAACTGAAGTCTTTTTGAAATTCAAAGGCGTTTCCTTGATTATTCATTCAAAGCATCCTTTTCGAAAAATGATCATTTATTTTATCAATGCTGCTCTCGGGAGTTTTCATTTAACGAATGAAAACTATTACGGCAACATTCATGACATTTCCGAAAAGGTTTATTTTATTGAATAACGAAAGAATGTTTTGTTGCCCTGTCACGTGACTGTCTAAAACCAGTTTCAAACGTGTCTTGTAGAATAATTATAACGACGTATAATTGTCCGTCCTATGGCTCGTGGTGGGTAAGACCGGTCAAAAGTGGGATGCTTATATACTCATATTCTTCTCATCCCACTTGTTCAATTACCATAAATCCTTGCTTTATAGCCTGTTTACAGATTTTAATGGTTCAAAATTTTTTTTAAGTTTTCATTTAAAAACGTAAAAAAAATATGTCAACAAAAACTATAAAAGCAATCTTTATGTAAAAATAGTTTTAAAAATATTGCTTACATGTGTTATAAGAGACAAGTAAAAAAGTATGTCTTTAGAATTTATTAAAATATTATATGAAAGCTTTCACAGAGATGAACGTAAAGAAGAGAATATAATGAAAATATCATGACATAACATACTGTCAAAGTGGCAAAGTAAAGAACGGTAATTTTCAGTGTCTTCTGAGAACTATTAGGCAAGGAAAATATCTCTATATTTATGTGTGAATATTGCTTTGGGAAAGGAATACATACTATGGTCTAATATTCTTTAAGGAATAATTTTTTATTTAAGCAGTAATACATTTTTAGAAAGTCCTCGGGTTATTTTCATTCTGTGTCGTCCGCAAACTCCTCCTTCTTCTGATCTAATTCACCGTCTTGCTGATCATCTGCTTGTTTCAAAAAACATGAAATCAATGAATAGCTCTGTGTCAATTTACAAAATAAGCAAAAAATGTTTAATTTTTAATATTAACAATTTATGCTTCAATGCTTTAGTAATGATAGTTTTAATGAAAGTTTACTTTTGAACAAAAAATATGTTTCAAGACAATACTATTGAAATGATTTGATTTCAAAACTTCCTTTCCAATTACTGCGTATATGGTAGGTGGAAATCTGATTAGAGGCCTAAAGATGAAAAAAGATGTGAATTGGGCACAAAGACAGACAATAAACTCACCTTCCGGGTCTCCAGCACATACGTCTTCATACAGGTCCATGTACTCCTCCTTGGTCAGGATATCATCTGTAGGGTAAACATTGTTATGTCGTAAAAATTTTTTTATTCAGTGAAATAATAAATCTTTAATCTTACGACAGAGTGATACATTAAAGATCAGTGTGATTTAATTTACTTCGAATCCTTCATAAAACTTTTACTATTATCATCTCTCTCTAGTTTAAAGATTACAAAAAGTAATAAATTACTACATGTATGACTACCCGGTAGATTTCACATCGAGTCATTCGTCATGTATGTTTACAAGTAATTATAATGCCCCATTTTCTCTGAGTACATTATTTGCGAGCAGTATCATTAATTTTAGGAAGTTTTATGACTAATTTACACACCACTGTTCTGGTCCAGTTTATCAAATAGGTCTTCTAACTCCACTAGTCCTGTACTTTGAATCAAGGTTGCAAATTCATCCTTGCTAACATTGTTGTCGAAGTTCAAATCAAGAGTGTTGAATCTACAGATATCTATATCAGGTATTTCCTGCACAAAAGATAGAATAAATACATATTTACCTCTTACATATTGAAAAGATAAAAATTAATTTATAGAAAAAATAAATTATCTAAAAAAAAATGGAGAAGACTTTTATTAGAGACGCAAATGTTTCGAGACTTTGGTTATTATTTTTTCTGAATAACGTTCATATTCATACTGCGTTTAAAACATAACTTTATGTAACCTCAGAGTACATTTCCTTTCATTTTAGATTAAAAAAGCACAGCCTTAAAAAGTGGCATCAGGTATGAAAACCTTAAAAAGAAGAACTATTTTTAAAAGTTAAGATGTTTAAAATGATAGATGGCTTTTTTCAGACTATCTAAAATTAAGATATTTCTATTTGTTTTGCTACTTTATATTAAGATAGGACTTTCCTGTAAATTACACTATTTAAATCAATCGCGTTTCATATAGATATCACAGATTTGAAACAATAACTGATTTATTTCCGACTCAGAAATAAATACCAGACACAGTTTAAAGTCAATTTAACTAGTAGAAACGTGGGGTTATTTAAGTTCAAAATAGTTGGAATTTTGAATTCGAACGTAAATAACAGATATCATGTTTATTATCTCGTATTTTTATTTTTTTAGCCCACATACAACAAATATAGCTTTAGAAATTAAGGATTATTAATACGTTTACATAAATAGTATACAAGAATAAGATTTTTCAAACATACGCTTTCTACAGATCGCTTTCTGTCTCTCCTAAACATGTCCCGTAATCTTCTTGCCATGGAAGCTACTGTAATCACAGTGCCTGCAACCTTTATTGCTCTACCCAAACCACTGGATCGGGACCTAGACCTTGATCTAGAAGAACGCCTCCGGCCCCACGATTCCGCTTGGTCAATTGTCAGAAGACCAATCAGGCAAAGTACAGCGAGGGAACGGAAAATAAGCTAATTATAAAAAATTTAAAAAATTAATTTCATTGTACTATGTATGAATAAAACGTTGGCAAAACAATTTTGTCAGAAAAATTCTTACAAGAAATATTCACTTAATTACAAAAGATATAATACAATGAAAATATATATATTATAAGAAAATATATTTTGGCGTTGACTTATATTCTCTACCATATTTAATTGAGGTGGGTTACACTTTAACTTAATTAAAGCACTTACCATGACTTCAGATGCTGCCTCTCACCTCTAAGATAAAAAATGAATGTATGGAGAACTTATTTATACTGACGACAACTTCCTTGTGAAAAGAACAATGACGTACGTCAAACATCTTGCATATACTTAATTTCTACTTAAAAATTGGTTTCTTATCAAACTTACTAACTTATTTACAAGTATTTTGCATGATAAATTTCATTGGTGCTTTAAAAATGAGTTTATGAAAGTGAAACTACTTCAGAAACATTTCTTAGAAAGATGCTCTTTGGACGAGGTCAAAATTTGAAACATGTTAAAATCGTGTAACTTAGAAATCCCGTAGATACTATATTATTATAAGTATTTCATAGTTTGAAAATTTTCAGTACGAAAAACATTTATTGTTAGATAAGACTTACTGTCGATGATGTATGAAAGAAATAAAGTTTTAAGACAACGTGATTAAGGTTTAAGGATGCCGATTGCCAGAATGTTATCATTTTTACAACGTAATAAATATATATTTGAGTCTGTTTTAAAACAGAAACGTGTACAACATTTTTAAGAAATGTGAATGATAGACAAAACAATGGAGAATACCGTCATGCAGACTGATTTCTTTCTTTTTAATTCCATAAATACTCATTAAACAGAATACTGTTTCGCGTAATTACATGAAAATAAAGTTCTCGCGAATGAAAAGTAATAATTAACAGTATGAGACAATGGTATAAAACGTAATGTTTCAAAATATAGACCTGAATCTATACTCAGAGAGTCGTCAAATAATATGTTATAGCAATCGGTATGCCTCATGCAACTCATAATGTCTCAATTTTTTCAACACATTATTTCAACAAGTAGAATTGATGCAAAGCATCAAATCGGCCGCAAACATAACATTTCAAAAAGTACTTTCAATTCTTTAAAGCATCCATGCAATGAAAGCGCAAGATATTCAAAGCTGAAATAGTGATCATTTTTATTGCAGGCTGTCTTCAAAGCAAAATAAATAATTTTTTTTTTAGTAGAAATAAATAGAGTCATTGATGTATATAATGAAGTCAATGATAAATGTTAATTTATTGTCATCAAAATGAAGATGTAGGCCTATCAAGATGAACCACGTGCTGATACATTGGACCTTTGTCAAGTGATAATGCCATGGTTTCTGCAGAGTGGACTAGGCTGCAAGGCGAGGGCGGTGCAAAATGTAGAGAAAGATATCCTTCTGCAGCTGTGGCACATTCAAAACAATTTTTACTTCTTGAACAACTTTTAAATTTTATTTTTCAGCAGGTATACGTTTACGTCATTATAATCCGGAAAATAATGACGATTTTCCTTCATATCTTACACACTCCCAGGCTTGGGAGTAGCTATTGTAAAGTCTTTTTATTTAACCATAAATAATCAATTATCTGATGAGAAATGATAATTAAATTGAATCATAATAACAGCAATTGATACTTATGGTTTAAAGCATGTTATTGAAATATTTTACTCCTGATTTTAAAGATGTTTTCATTTCAGAATTATTTTAATGAGCCGTTATAAAAAATAATCTAATCTAGTTTCATTTCTCCATGTGCACTTTCTAACACAACCATAAATAGATCGGCCGCTGCTGCGGCCGATAATAATTAAAAAGATTTGACAAATTTTGATAAAGGCAAATCATATCCAACTGTGGACTCCTTTCTTACTTAAAATTTTCAAACAATGAAAATATAATGGTACATTGATTAGATAATGGTACTTTTAACATATAAGTTTCAAAATTTGACTTTTGTAAAAAGAGTAGCTTTCCTAGAAAGCCCTGGAGTTTTAGGTCACCCGATGTCGAATCATCTTAAAGTGGTTTCACTTTAAGGAACAAACTTTAAAATACTTGTAGCAACGAAAGAAAACTACGCAAAAATTTTACTAAAAAGCGTGATAAAAAAAGAGTTGTTTAAAAGTGATAAGTAGATGTTAAGTAGATGCTGATTTTGTTTTGGAGATACCCAAGTTGTGATGTCATTGTAATATATCAAGGAAGTTTATCATCAATATAAATACCGTCTACGAAATAACATAAGCATATCTTCATCTTCGCGGCTAGACGCATCATCTGAAGTCATGGTAATTACTTTTTTTAGCATGCTTATTTAATGTAGTAGGAGAATATCACCCTTTTAATTTTCTTTCTTTCTTTTTTGGTTATTCCAATATTTTTGAGTTTTGAGAGATATCATTAATCTATTTATATTTTTTTTTTATTAAATATAAGCTCAACTCCCGTTACCTCAATGTTCTTCTCCTGATTTGTCTTCTGACAATTGGCCAAACAGAATCCTGGTCACGAAGGCGCTCTTCACGTTCTAGATCCAGATCTAGCGGCTTGGGCAGGGCATCAAGAGTTGCAGACACAATATTTACCATGGCTGATTTGGCACAAGTATTCCGTGACATGTTTAGAAGAGACAGAAAGCGATCCGCTGAAAATGTATGTTTGAATATCTATGTAAAATTAAACCACACTAATATCCCTAATATCTAATATTTTTGAGGTTTATACTAGCAAAAGTTAAGGGAATCGGTAAACATATATGCCTTAAATTAAGAAAATTTTATAATGTTGAATTTCAATCATAAAAATTACTCAATCCTCATATCAGTTGACAATGAATTTAACTGTTGGATTAAAAAGTTACCTGTGAATTTTTAAAAAGATTAATTTATTTACGAGTAATAAGAAAGGGATCAAATAACGATAAGCTATGCTTTACTTTCTTTTATACAGGCAATACCTAATATAGATATATGTAGATTCACCACACTCGATTTAAATGACGACAACAACGTTACCAAGGAGGAATTAGACACTCTGATACAAAGCACGGGATTACTGGAGCTGGAGGAATTATTTGAACAGCTCGATCAAAACAATGGTAGGTATTTAAAAAAATGAATTGTGCTCACAAGTAATCACATGTATCCAGAAAAAAGGTGAATAATAAATTTTAAAATATATAATATATACGGTATTTAAAAGTTTTGGAAACAGAGTAAAAATAATCATAAAAGAAAATTACTATGCACAATTTCCAACTTAATTAAATTCGATTAATTTTATTATTTTGTCGAATCAAATAGACGGGAAATATTTCTTTTTTACCTTACAGATGATATCGTGACAAAGGAGGAGTACATGGACTTGTATGAAGATGTATGTGATGGAGACCCGAAAGGTGAATTTATCTTTTTTTTCTGAGTGTTTGATATTTATTCGACATATTTATGTAATTTACATGTATTTTATTTTCAATATCTCGAGTTGCTTTTTGCACCCCATTATTAGCAAACCTACTTACAATGTATCAACATGAAGAAGAGTTAATTCAAAAACCTTTTTACTTGAAAAGAAGTCTCTTGAAATGGCCTTCAATTCAACATTGAAACAAATTGACATCGTTTATTCACAAAACGATAATTTATTTTCATTCGTTAATTGATTTTGATTGGATATTTTGCTAGAAAAGAAATAAATTTTTGCAACTGTACAACTTTATCATAGATGTGATGACATCATCTTTTTTTCTGTCGTGAACTTGCTTTATTCATTTAACAATACATACAAGCCCACTCTCACTTTTTTTCCTGACTTTACTTATTACTAATAGAAATGTCAGTGAAAGTCCGCTCCCTTTCATTGCAGGTCAGCAAAGGGTAATGTAGCATGTTTGAGTAAAAGAGTAAAAAATAAACTTAAAGAAGTTGGACACCTCCCTCTCGTATACACAAATACGAAATAGGATTTTCGAATTTGGACTATTTTCCATTTTTTCTAAAATGTAGATTTTTAATTTATTTTTTTGGCTGGATCCCCAGTTTCGAAAACAATGCTACGTCACTGCAATATACCATTATCTCCTGTATATGCTGTACATATCTCTTAGTTGAGTTGTACAGAAGCAACATGCTCTACATGTACTACTGAAAATTTCTAAAACGAGGGAATCTATTGACAAAAAAATAGAAAATACAGGAAATCAATAGTTCCGTAAAAAATCATCAGTTTGCAAAAATAATAACCATATGGTCAAACAACGACCTTGTTTGCAAATGCAGCCATTAACTCCCATGTTGGCTGAGGTTATCATACAAAGAAATCAATTCTTTCACCCTTAATAATCCTCATACTTTTCAATCTGCTGTACCATGATATGGAGCACAAAGCGGGCGAGGCTGGTTGACAGGGAATGCTCACTTCTTCCTGAGACCTAATCCGACCTTTGGTGTTTTAGAGATCCGTGTTTGTTCTATCCTTTAAATTTTATTCCAGTTGACTTTTGAACTGGATTACTGTTATCATCATAATTATTTCAATTTCCTAAATCTCAGTCAGAAAATGAAGTATTGAAATCGAATCAAATCAATAATAACGAAAGGGGTCATACATCACGTAAACTTCATTTCGCTTAATTTATATCGACAAATAATTCTTATTTCGTTGATTTTTCAAACATTTTTTTAACTCCAGCAAACAACCAACAAAACGACAAACCAGACCTGAAGAAAGATGAACATACAGAAGACACAGTTTGAAAATAGTTAGAGGATTAGGAAACTTTTCAAATAATTTCTCTTATCAGTATAATACGTTAGAGTAGCTTTCACTATGTATAAATTTATTTCATTTACCAACGCAGTATTTCTACACATATAAAGAATACTTTGCCTGAATGATATTCAAAAAAACTGAAAATCAACTTGGATTACTTTACCAAATTTACGATTTAAATTGAATGTATATACATTTTTATTGTATTTTTATTATTCTCTTCACCTTTCATGAGACTTTTTGTATAATCTTTCAATAAAATGCTATAAATAGTAGATATTTGTTTTTATTTGTTTCTAATTACAAGACTGGTCGTCTTTTTAATATTTAAGTTTCGAAATGCAGAAAATGATACTTATGTTTCCAAATCTGAGTTGTGATCAAGTCAATAGAATTTATGTGTTTTATGTGTCTGATGTGCAACATGTTTTATCATTGGCTAATTTAAAAAATAAAGTAAATGTAATGTATCATGTGCATTCTTTTTATTATGAATAATGATTTTTAACGACAGGCACGTAGCAACAGGGGGGCCTGCCCCCCCCCCCCACCACTTTTTCCCCAACAATACTTATACTTAAGGAAGGTTTGTTGTCTAAGGTAAATTTAGTACAAAAAATTGGTACCAAAAAAAAAAAAATTGGCACCGAAAAAAGAAAAAGTTGGCCTCTACCCCCCCCCCCCACACACACACAATAAGGTTTTTGACTTTGGCAACTTTTCTTTTTTCCTTTTTTTCTTTCTTTTTTTGCATGTCAACTATTTCAGTTAAGTAAAAAAAATTTCTCTGTCTGGCCCCCCTCCTTCAAAAACGATGCTACGTGGCTGAACGAATTGAAAATTATACAAATATGGTATCTTTTAAGATATAATATTCAATTCGTTAAAAATCATTATTCCTAATTAAAAGAATGCACATGATACAGGAGTATAGATAAATAAGTTTTTGGAAAGTACTGAGGGATTAAATTGAGGTAAACAAACCCTTTCCTGGAATATTAAGGGACTCCGACCCTCAGCCAGGAAGGACAACTCTTTAATTTATAATTTAATTCAAAAAGTCTTTAAATGCAGCTTGAAAATAAAATATTTTCATGCAACAATTTTCATTATATGCTTCTCAATGTGCTTCAAGGTTCTTTGCAAAGCTCCATAAATCACTTCTAATTTCTTATCATGTTAATAAACATTGGTATCTAAAAATCCTTTTTCGGGATAAAAATGTCTACTTTTAAATAGACCTTTGTGAGAAGTTCAAAGAACCTTGAAGCACATTGAGAGGCGTATAATGAAAATTGTTGCATGAAAAGATTTAATTTTCAAGCTTCATTTAAAGACTTTTTGAATTAAATGATAAAATAAAGAGTTGTCCTTCCTGGCTGAGGGTCGGAGTCCCTTAAGTTAACCAATTTGTTTTTGTGGCGATTTGGAATTTTATATAAGAACCTATACACATAGTATTCCTCAAAGAAAGTCTAGATTTATTTGCAGTCCCAAGACTTTAGTCAGCAACTAGGGGTAATTAGCTCCTGAAATAAAATATTATCACCCTAATTCTCTAGGCACCACCGCAAGTTAAAGTCCTTTTTAACCCACGGTGATAATATATCCCGTGGATAATGTTAGAGATATGTTTTACATGCTGCTCACTCAGTCCACAGCGTTATATGGATTTTAATGGATCCTTTCTTTGTCATTTTGAAGGTCCCTTATGTTGATCAAAACATATAGAAAAAACGTTGTGTGACACACATTGTTAGAAACAAACAGCAATTATGATTATAATTGAATTTATGTATTAAATGCGTTGTCTATGTATTAAATACATTGTATTTACATGGATGCGATGGTTTATGTAATAGATATTGCAGGCTGGGATTTTACGCCGGTGGTATGCGAAATTCCAGCCAATGATTAGCGGGCTAGGATCACGTGGACAGCTGAGCGGATCACTTGTATTTTTATTCCCGCGCTGTCCACAGTATTTTTGGAATCACGTATATTTTGAAGACCCGCCACCGCCCCTGCAAACCTACCTCTCGCATTTTTACAAATTGTATAAGGTGGATTTTTGTAATTATCAATATGGCTCAGTTGGTTTTGATGTGTCACCCCTTTTGTTTTGATGTGCCATCTTTTTGCTATATTTTTCTTAAAATGTTTGATCTTATTGTTTTATAGGAATTTTTTTCTAGTCATTTTTTGGGGGATCAGACATTTTTCATATTTTACATAATTTCAATCGGAGCTTGTGAATCTGATCCCCATTCTTTTGTATAAAGTATTTTCTTTGATATCGTCATTTAAATAAATGACATTATTCATCTCTGTGAATGTGTTTGAGTTAATCTTTAGCAAACTAAGCAAAAACTAGCTGCGGTGAGCCTGCCGAGCATTTGAAGACATAAATATTTTTTTTTCTAACAAAACAATTGAGAACATCTGGAATATGGAATTATTTTTTTATTTGAAATTTAAATGAATACATTGAATACAAAATGAAATAGAAAAATAACGAGAAAGCAATGATATAATTTTATAAGAGTAGTTCTTGTATTGAATAATGATTTTTCAGTGTCTCTCAAGGATCACAAAAGCAAAACATGTGTGTCCATGTGCGTTCTGGTTTTTGAAAGATAATACATACCCAGTACATACTTTGGTTTAAATTATATTAAAGAATTATGTTTTTCTTGAACTTTCACAATCCTTAAGTTCCATTTAGTTCTTGTCACCCTTCACATCTGATTTACAATCTTGCTTGTTTCTGCTTCAAAAAGTTATAATCAAATTAAGGTAATAATAAAAAAAGCATGAAAATGGCTTGTAATACCTTTTAATATAAAGTAATTCTATAATATGACGCAATTCAAAATTCAGCGTAACGGCATGTATCCTAGTTTTACGTAAGATACTTGTATGATATAAAGACACAACAAAATAAACTTACCTTTCCCGTTTCCAGTACAAGCGTAGTCATGGAAGACATTATATTCCTCCTGTGTCAGGATTTCATCTGTAAGGGAGAAAATTTGCTAAAATATATCTGACAATCAGATTTCAGAATTGGAGATTTTTTTCTTCAAAAGAATTAACCTCGTTTCAAGTTTCGAACATAAATTAAAGCAAATAATAGTATTCATTTGACAAGATATATAAGAACTATCTATATCATTCTCTGTTTTAAAAAAAGAGAGCTTCTGAAATAGTTAAGTGGTCTTTTTTCTGTCTTTAAAGGGTAAATCTTTATATTAAGCTACACTCCAAGTTTCATTTTACATTAAGAAATTCATCTTAACGAGAGTGTTATCTTGATACATACGTAACGTTCGATTTTATTGAAGTGAATTTATTCAATGTACAAACCATCATTCTGATCTAGTTTATCAAACAGTTCCTCCAATTGCACCAGCCCTGTGCTTTGTATCAGGATGGCAAAGTCCTCTTTGGTAACAGTATTGTCGCCATTTAGATCAAAATTGTTAAATTTGCAGATGTGTATGCGAGGAATTGCCTGTACATGTATAAACAGTTTCAACTAAAGAAAATCATTTCTTTATCCCTGGCATGCATATTCAAAATATTGAAGGTAAATTGAGGATATTTTATGGAATTCCTCAAATGTTGGTATGGCCTAACAAATAATTTCTTAAAAACAGTTTGGTTTCACTTTTTTAATTGAATTTTGACCTCAGTTATCCCCCTTCCTGAATTTGACTGATTTCACTGCTTTTGATTGATTTTATTTTTGATGATTTTATTCTTGATTTCTTATCGTGATATTTTTCGTCTGAATCTTCCCTAAAATTTGAATAGGAAATAGTTACCGTAAAACATTTTTATAAATATTAAACCTACGTTTTCTGTTGATCTCTTTCCCATTTTCGCGAAGAATTCCACAAGAACACGTGCGATATTTTCAAAGGTGATTTCTTCTTCAGGAACAGTATCTGTATCTAACGTAAGGTCTCTAGCAAACCGCCTCAGTGTCTTAGACTCCGTATGGCCAGTTGTAAGGAGGCCAATCAGGAAAAGAACGCTGTTATAACGGAACCTGAGCTAGGTTAAATAAAATAAAAACAAATTAAACACTAGTAGCTTGATTGATTTAGCATGGACAAGATGAGAAGTTTAAAATGAAAGAGTATAGGACAAAATTTGCAGCACTCTATCGGTACCGAAAAGTGGTGGCGTCTGAGTTATATGAGTGAAATGTTCGCGAGGGACGTCAAACAAAAGACAAGCAAGCAAACATACACTATAGCCAACAGTTTTACGGCTTAATGGTTGGGAATAAAGAAAATTTCAAAGATAACATTTATTTTGAAAGTGAAAGTCCCATCCCTTTGGTCCCGATTTTTTTGTTCTGTTTCATAAATGATGTGTGCTGAAATTGGTCGAAATGGATTGAACAGTTCTAAAGAAGCTGAAAATGTTTAATTGTTTATGCAAGTTAAACGATCATGGACAAAAACAAAAAGCAATGTGTCACCTGAAGGATCCAGGTGACCTAAAAAAATACCAAAATAGTGAAAAATTATTTTTACCATAATCAAACTGAGCACAGTAAAGTGGAAAAACAAAAAATTACCATGACTACTGTGGATGATGCCCCTCACCTCTGAGATGATGATGTCTTTTAGAAGAGTTACTTGTTTTTATACAGGTGGTAGACTTACTGGCCATTATGAAACTGGCGTCAAAACTTCAATAATCTCAAAAATTTCAGCCAATCCTTACCAAGATGTGCATATCATTAGCAACTTCCAGGCACCATGTCCTCATTAATGTGTAAGTACTTTGAGTAATAAACTTTCATTCTTTTTTTTTTTTTTTACTAAAGATCAGATTGTGAAAGTGAGAGTACTTGAGATCGATTTGTAGGAAGCTCTTGTTATGTAGGGTCAAACATGTGAAACTTGTCATAATTATTCATAAAATTCCCTTATTCTGCAGTAGGAACTAGTTCTTAATTCACTGCAGCGAGAGATGATAGATATCGGGGGGGGGGGTATATATTCAATAGACAATAGTTTATTCTCATAAACTGTACAATACAGTATAGAGAGGATATTACATAAATATTTACAATAAAGCAATAAGGCAATTCAGAGACAGTGGTATGAGAACCAGGGTATAATGGGTCTTTGCATTATAATTCTGTTAACCAAAAAGTGTATAAATTTTACGCATACTTTAATGATAAACCTTTTCCCCAAAAACATTGAGCAAAGACCCATGGCCATTCATACCAAAAAATTGTTATAGTAAGAGAAAATGATCTTTTTTGACTTAAGTGTTTTTATGCTATTTTATAGACAATTGATTTCAACCTTTGTGAGACTTTTGTGGAGATTTTACATAAAGTATACTGAAGTATCAAAGAAACTTTTGTAATAATTGAGATTTAATTTTCACTTTTATTTTTGTCGCAAAAAAAACCATTTCGCTCGCCGTGTTCGACCATCTTCTTTGGAAAACGCTTCTCACAATATTCATGCCACATCTTTTTAACCCGTATCAATAAAATCAAAGTTTCTTTGTTCTAATGGTACCCACATCTTTTTGCAATGATTTTGTTTTATATTTTGTAATCCTTCTCAAATGGTGTTTGATTATTTGTGAAGACAATACTAATACTCCTTGATACAAAGTTATTTTTGCATAGGTGTCTTAAAAAATAATTGTAAATGTTTACGAGTTTTCCATTTGAACGTCTAAAAATATAAATAATTTAAAGAAATTCTTTAGATTTATTTGAAGGTATTATTAAAATAAATTACCACAAATTCTTGAATAGATTAATTTATTTGGAAATTTATTAAAATAATAATAATGTGAAGGTTATGAAACAAGAGGCTCATGGGCCACATCGTTCACCTGAGAAGCTTTAGCCATGCTGTTCTTCACCAGATTTCCCCCTTGTAATACCTATTGTGACCCCATCAGACTCCATTTTTAAAAAAAGATTTTAAAAGATTTTTCCTATTTTTTTTTCTATGTAAAACTGCGATTCCCGATTGTGGCCCCACCCAACCCCCGGGGGTCATGATTTGAACAATTTAGAATGTACATTACCCCAGGATACCCCAGCATGCTTCCACATAAGTTTCAGCTTTTCTGGCCCAGTGGTTCTTGAGAAGATTTTTAAAGATTTTTCCTATATAATTCTATGTAAAACTTTGATTCCCCATTTTGGCCCCGCCAAACCCCCGTGGGTCTTGATTTGAATAATTTAGAATCATCACTATCCCAGGATGCTTCCACATAAGTTTCAGCTTTTCTGGCCCAGTGGTTCCTGATATGAAGTTTTTAAAAGATTTTTCCTATATATTTCTATGTAAAACTTTGATTTGTGTCCCCGCCCAACCCACGGGGGTCATGATTTGAACAACTTAGAATCTACACTACCCCAGGATTCTTCGACGTAACTTTCAGCTTTTTATAGTCCAGCGTTCTTGAGAAAAAGATTTTTTAAAGACCGCATCCTATTTTTGTCTTTTCTTAATTATCTCCCCTTGAAGACCTAAGAAGACCTGGCCCTTCATTTAAAAATTTAAATTTTCCTTCACCCAAGGATGCTTTGTACCAAGTTTGGTTAAAATTGGCCCAATGGTTCTTGAGAAGAAGTCGAAAATGTGAAAAGTTTACAGACGGACAAACAGACAGACGGACGACGGTCAAATGTGATCAGAAAAGCTCACTTGAGCCTTCGGCTCAGGTGGGCTAAAAATCTGGTTAAATTGTGTAGATGTATAAGACCTTGAATCATATTTCAGAGATCGTTTTATTTTTACACATTAACAAATATGAATTCCTATTTGGTTGTGAAACCATTCAAGACTATACGATCGAAACCGAAAAAGTTGGACTATAATTGCTTTGTGATCATTTTGAACTTCTCATACAGTAGCAATCCACTTCATCCAATTCAGATGTAAAGCGTTTATTATGTAACACCAATTTAGCTTCAATTGTCACATGTTTGAAAGGGGAGGGGATACGTATATATACATGTACCGCACAACTAAATTCGAGAATATGTCTATCAAACATTTTGAGGAAAAAAGAAGCTTTTGTGTCTTGGAGATTCTCTTTCATTTAAAACAGACATAAAAATATGCTGCATTTTAATCTCCCTTCCTATTTCAAAGTGAATATGTTTGATAAACATTTTACAAAGTCAGTCAGATGATCTCTTCTTGTCTGTAACATTTGTTAAAAAACTAGAAATATTTGTAAAGAAACTATTGTGTAGAATATTTTCGTTGAATCGTATTTCATGATTATACGCCAAATATCCGTGTAATTATATCCCTGCAAACGAAGCCTTGGTGGTATACTGGAATCACTAGTGGTGTGTCAATCTATAATCTCTTTATGTATTATCAAATTTTCCTTAAAATAACCTTAAAATTTCCTTTAAATAACATATTATTTATATATTATATTATCGATTATATATTTGTACACCTAGTATTTTTACATTGAATTGTCAATATTATTCAAAGTATTTTTTAAATGATTACAATATCCATTACTCCATCGAAAGAAAAAAAAAATAAATTCTTGTCTGAGAATCTTTTTATCCGAGTAGTTCAAGAAGTACATCCCTGATACAAAGGTTCATGTCTCTTGTATCCAGAGATTCATATGCATTATTTAAGTACCAATCATTTTGGACAAGTTTACAGCATAATAAAAGTAATACGCATTGATTTAAGGTTTAGCTACGACTTTGAAGGACAGAACTGAAGAAGCAAATATTTAATACTAAAGATTCATGTGATTCCAAGATATGGTCTGAGCAAAATCCATGGTTTATTTGACAATGTCAAAATCACTGGTCCTACGACTATAAAATTCTCGCCAAAGTAATAACTTTTACATTAGTTGTGAATAAATGGTTAGTTAAACATGGTCACATTAAGGTTACTGGGTTAACATTTTTTTCAGTTTTCAATTTTTTCTTTAAAAGAAGTAATTTTAAAATTTCAAAAGATGCTGAAAAGTTTCTCTTTCTTGTATTTTCGAAATATATTCTGGTCATTGATAAAATATTTAATATACAAAAATCGTTCTAGTTGACAAAGTCCTGATACAATTTTGATGCAAGAATTTCAGCCGACCGTGGCATATTGTTCAAGTACAACAGTTCCCTCGTCGCATTGTAAGTGTATATATCTGTTATATTTGGAAGCTTGTATTCAATACTGATCAGTTGAACAGCCAAAGTGTTGGGATCCAAGGAATGTTCATCGTATGTAACCTAAAAGAATAATGTTCAAACTTCATATACCGTCTGACTGCAATTATATTTGACTCTAATGATTTTAACTTATTTACAAGCAATGGTCAGAACTCGAGTAAAATATGCTTTTATAATTTTTTTCAATGCTGTGACAAAATGTAACGTACAATATTATGCACATGTACCTCTAACTTTGCAGTGAAGTCACAACTTCACAACTTTTAATCATTTTTTTTCACTTACATTATATAAGAAATTCTTCTCTAGACCAGAATACAGCTGTCGTAACTTATCAAGCGTCCATTGTCTTGATTCTGTATCTCTAATATATTTGGCACCACAGACTGTTTCAGAAAAAAAAATACTGAAGTACTGAACATTTAATAAAACAATACAAAAAATGTGTGCATATATGCTGATAAATATTTTTTAGCATTAGACAAAACTCTACTTTAAATGACTTAATATTACATAGTTCGCTTATAGAGACTCCTTTCTTTTATAATAAATCGTTCCAGATGTCCTTTAGGCAGCCTAGTAAACAACTCACTTACTGTATACTAACTTTTATTCGTGTGCTATAAATATTCGCGATTTCCGCGACCTACTTTAACTCGCGAATATTAATCTCTACGAACCAGTCATTTTGCATAGTATTTGTAGAGGAATGTTTCCTCGGTCTTGATAATTAATTGTCGCCGATTGATTTCAAACGGACGAGTCGCGAATAAAAGATGACGCGAATAATAGTTGGTTTACAGTATGCTTCGAAAATTATCTCAATAATTTGAAAATCTTAACAGAAGATAAATAACTTGCGGTTAGGAAAAAAGCAGTCTAAGAAAGGATGGGGTGCCATATGTATATGAAACAGTTGCTTTTTCTTCTACAAGATGAGAATGGACCTTTGGCAGTCAAATTCGCAGTTTAAAATTCGTAAAATTCTTACCTTTTTTAATAATGTTTTCTTCGCTGTCTGTCCTATATTGTTCACATTCTTTGCAATCCGTAATAGAACGTTTTCCTCTGAAGATTCCTCCGAGGTCAATTTTTGGAAAGGTAATTTTTGGAAGTTTTATGCTGGGTAATGTGAATTTAGGGATTTGAAAACTTCCAAAATCTAGTTTCGGGATTGTTATTTTAGGTATTCGAAATTTTGAGAGATCTACAGTGGGAAGGCTGATTTTTGGTATTTCAATATTAGGCATGTCAACTTTTGGTAGCGTTATTTCTGGAATGCTTATTCTGGGAATTTTAATTTTAGGAGTTTTCAAATTAATTTTTTTGATGTCGACAGCCGGTATTGTGATTGGTGGTATTTCAACTTTTGGCAACTTAACCTGTGGAATTTTGGGAACTTCGATTTTTGGTATTTTAATATCTGGAATTTTAATATCAGGAATATTTACTGAGGGTATTTCGATTGCAGGTAGCTTTATACTAGGGATTTCATGAATTTCAGGTAACTTTATTTTGGGAATATCTGGCAGCACAATTCTTGGTACCAGTTTTCTCACAAAAAATTCTACAGAGTAAAATAACATAAAAAAGATTTAAACATACATAGAAGTTAGAAAAGATGCTTGATAAAACTGTACTTAATTTTTAAATTCATTTCTTTCATACTTTATAATTCACTTTTAATCTTTACTCAAGTCGCTTTTATTACTTTGTCTATAACAAAATGACTTTGTGACTAAAAGAAAATGTCATATTCAAAATAGATATAGTTGATACGTAGAATATTGTAATAAAAATTACCCTTAGTTTTCTTCAGAGCTTTCTTCAAACCCTGCGCTATTTTGTCTGTTAATAAAATTGACAAATATCAAATCAATTTTCGTAAAATGGAAACAATAAAAAGTAGGGAGAGGACTAACATAGGACGATCTCATTCACTTTTGTGAATAAAATATTGTTCACCTAAAAACATACAATCAAAAGGTATTACTTGTAATATTGAATGTAATAAATGTCATTAAATAAAAAACTTCAACATACCTCGGATTTTTATCCAGTCGCCATTTCTTGGTTTTGTTTTTGTCCTGTCTGTCTGTTTGTCTGTTTACCTGTTTGTCTGTCTGTTGTCAACTTTAACTTTTGCCATAAATATTTAACCGTGAAAGATACAGACTTCATATTTGGTATGCATACTTCACTAATTATGTTCTTTCAAATGACACCAAGGTCATTGACTTTCGCCTGTGACCGTGACCTTAATGCTAAAAATAGCTTTTTCAACCTTTTGCCATTTCTTTTGAACACCATATTTTTTTCTCTAATTAAGTTCTTTTAGGTAATGTATATCTATATAAAAATAGCTTTTTTTTTGCCGCCAAGCGCATAGAACACACTATTATGTTACATGTTACCAATAAAGCTAAAAATATTTTAACACATGTAGTATAGTTTTAATTTAAACAATTTAAGCGTCGATAGAATATTCCAAATGCTACAGCTTACCCAAGGCTTTTTGCAAAAGTTCCGCATTTTTTTCTTCTTGTTGAACAATTAATCTTTAAGGGAAAAAAAGAAATAGGTAAAGAAGAAACGAAATGCTAATTTGCAAATAATATTCAAATATAGCCTAAATCGTGAGATAAAGTGATCGATAGACTTACCTGCTGCATTCAAAACAAGTGTCTGATACCAGAGAGATTTTATTTTCACAGTCCCGTTGATCTGCTGTCATATTATTGTGTTATAATATCTACTTCTTCGGTGATAATATCCGCTATCTTTGTCGTCATATACCAGTTTAGTTCTGAGAGAAATAAATTACTTATGATTATGTAATAAAAAGATAAAGAAATTGTAAAATTCATATTTTGCTCTATAAAGGTAGTGTATATTGTTATAACCCCGCTTGAAAAACAGAGAGGTATATAGTGATGGGGTGTCCGTCCGTCTGTTTGTATGTCTAGACGTTCGCTTTTGGGTACCCATCTCTTATCCGCAAATTCTCTTATATCACTGAATGAAATTAAATGGGACTTTCAATGACTCTTTGTCATGCAGTGCCATTGTGCAAGTCTTATTTTACTTTTTGATCTCACACAATCTCGGTTTTTCTCATAGCAAAATATGGACACTGCCATTCTTTCTATAATATTGAAGGTACCCATCTTTTATCTGCAACTCTTCCTATACCATTGAATAAAATTTAAACAGACTTTCGCAGATTCTGTATTATATAGCCATAGTATCATTGTGACCATCTCGTTTACTTTTTGATTTGATACTTAACTCGGGTCTACCAGGCCCCCAAACCATAAACTGAGAACAGACTTATGTCAAAATTTCAAAACGATATTAATAATTTCGATAATAAAATAAAATTGTCAATATATGTTTGAATTGAAGTATTTTGTACAGTTGCAAACTTTTAAGCTAATAAATCGAATGGAACTGAAGATAAAAAAAAATTAAAATTTTGACTTAAGTCTATTTTCAGTTTATGTTTTTTGGGCCAGATCAAAACAATTAAGGATTGTACCTATGGTAAAAATTTCAATACTCTTAACCATAACCTTTAAACATAACATTTTGATATATTAAAGCTGATAATGATATATATTTATATGAATCATTTTTCTACTTACCCACAAGCTTATTTTCATCTAGAAATGAAAATCCACCACTTAAGATAGTCAAAGTTATCAAGACGCACAAAATAATCTCCATCTTGGAAGATCACCTTTGTTCAACATTAAAAAAAACGAAATTAAGTTTCTTTTGTATAACTAACTTGATACAGATTACATAAGAAATTAAAGAATTTAATTATTATTCCAAGAATTAATTAAGGAAGTTGGAAATTACTTAACTGACATGCCATGAAATGAATGAAAATAAACAGTTGTGTATGGAGAAAAAATAGTTTTTGTTTTTAAACGATATAATTACCTTTTCTTGCAATGCTTCTATGCACTGTGTTCTTTTCCTATGCGATGTAAAAATGCCCTTTTCACTGCCTGTTGTGTAATTTCACGATTTGCGGTTTTAAAGTGAATAAATTATTAGGTTTTGTTGACTTATATAATTATATTACTTCATTCTACTAAGAACTGATCAGTAAAAATAGGACACATCTATATAATAATGAAAACAGTTTTCTCTTTGATGGTTATAAAGCAATAAAACATGATTGAATAGATTGATCATTGATACTTTGCAGAATTCATTCTTTATTTAGTTCACCTTACTACATTTCAAATGATTTACAGGCTGAACTAAAATTATTTTTCGACACCTAAAGATTAATGAGCAAAAAATAAGAGATTGTGGATTTGATTTCATTCGGATAATCTAGTTGAATAGTCGCGGGGTCTAGCCGATTAGTACAGTCGAGTACTCGTAACATATTTTTTATTATATTAAGACTGTTTAGATGAAGCTACTGACACATACAACGTAATTTAGGGGTCTGACGAAACGTAATATACAGTGAATGTATCTTGCGTGATACATGATGGTACGACAATTTCTCACCTTTCATATTTAAAAAAAGTGTTTAAAGCTAATTAAATACTGCTTGGTTGTATTCTGATTTGAAGAAATTCTCATTTATCCTTTCACAATTTGATAGAAAATTTCTTATTTCAGAAAAACACATAAATTCAGAATATAATGTTTTAAAAACACAGGAATAACAATAAACACTGCTTTCCAGCATTCTTTGTAAAGAAAATAAATAAAATACATCAAACCCTTCACATTTATAGTAACCTAATTTTTTTTTTGTTTATAACATATTATTGTTGAAAGTACTATAAGTATTGTAAAATTGAAAATAATATGATTGGTTTATTGGATTTGAAGAAATTTTCATTTATCCTTTCACAATTTGATAAAAAAAAATTATTTCAGAACAGAACATAAATTCTCATGATACACAGGAATACAAGTTTCCAGCATTCAGTACATCAAACCCTTCGAATTCATAAAGTATAATTTTGAAAGTACAAGTATAAACATTGAAAATAATACATATCTTTTTTTTCTATATCAAATCCTGTATCAGGATGTGATAAGGAAAGGAAATCTTTTATTACATCTATATCTTGTTTTTCAAAATAAGCACGCATCTTCTGAAGCAAATAAGAATAAATAATCAGTGAATATAGCTTATTGTATCATATTTCTCTAGAATTTAAAGAATTTGAACAAGGAACATACATTCATGTAGTTGCAATATCAAAAGTACTGTTTTTATAAAGTTAAGTCACAAAAAGTGGTACATGTTATATCAGCCCTGCAGATTAATAGCTAGTATAGGCTTTTAATTGTGACAACAGCTTATTGTATATGCAAAAAAGTTACTTTAGCAAGAAAATGTGTTTTTGGGTCGTTACAGGATATGATAAGGAAAATATTGAAATACTTCAACGACATATACGTGATTTATTTTATTTTTTTTTTTGTGCATAAAATTAACGTTACACACTTTATCAAATTATATAGATTGTCATATCTATCAGATGCTAATTCCAGGTAAATAATTGGCCCAAGATTGAAATTACATTGTACTCATAAAAAAATAATTAAAAACATCAAGAAATCTTGATTATGTAATTTTGTGCTATGTTCACACAACTTGAAATCATGAAATTTATTCATGTGATACATCAAAAAATATCATCAAAATACGCCCATACCTTTCTCTTTGACTAAATTACAAAACATCCTAAAAAAGCAAAGGAGTGGTGAAGATTTGAATATGAACAATCTAAAAATTATTTTTGACGAAAATCAATTTGTTTTGAAATCAATATGAAATTTTAAGGAGTTACAGTAAACAAAAAAGTCGATATATAGTCAGCATAACCATGCGCGAGCCGGGCTCTCAACTACTCGTTGAATCCCCCCCCCCCCCTTTGACCTTGAATAAGGAGATGATGTATATTTGTGTAGGCAGTGCTGCTATTATGTTCATTAATAAAAATGTTATTTAATTTGTAAATTCAAGCTCAAAAATCCACTCAAACAATGCAAATTAGGAGCAGAGCAACCACGGACCTCAGAGGTGGGATCAGGTTCCATGGAGGAAAGAGCATCTCCTGCTGACCGGTCACACCTGCAGTTTTCTCCTTATCATGATCATGGAATAGCGAAAAAAATCGTCGACAATTCAGACATTTGTAAATAATGGCCCAAAAATCAGTAGGAAAATCGTCAATCATCGTTTGATTTAATGATAAATTGTAATTTGTCGACAATGTCATATATATTGTATTGACCATAGACAACTTACCAAAATGATGACTTTAAATGATGATTTTAAACGAAACTATTCGGTCTATTCATTGTTTCTCAATAGTTGTTCATTTCATGCATTTTATATGGCCTGTATAATGGTTCCATGACATTTAACACTATTACTCCCAAGAAAATCCATAAAAGACTATGCAAATCATAAGACAATACTTTGGTATGTATTTTCTTACAATTAACCCTTTACTTTCAAGTATTAAAAAATGCTCATCATAATAAATTTGAACACCATTTGGCAATAAAAGACAATAATAGTGATTTATAGAGTTTTACTCATCATAATCATAACCATTAAAAAACACACACACACAGTTTTGTAATTTTACAGGAATACATGCATACAAAATACTCTAGAAAAACATTCAATATGAACGATTTACATATCAGAAAAAACAGGAATCACTTCCTTTTTCTTATTTAATTTAACTGTCATTTCAGTTTTTTTTAACTTCACTGTCGTTTTTGATGCCCGAAACTTTGTGCTGGTATTGAATACTTGTCTAATTGAACGGAATACAATCGTCGTAACACTGGCTGTCTTTTAGGGGGGTACACAAGAGAGGTTTTCCTTGTATTCCGCTTCTTTTCTAGAATACTGTCATTGTTTGTGTTAACACTGAAATCATCCTTGACAATATCATCATCATCTTCCATCTTCTCTTCTTCCATCTTACTGACTCGTACCTTCTCTTCTTCCTCGTCTCTGAGAATTCTCAAGTATTCTAGCATTGCCTGTTGAAATAAATTCGATCCGGAAGGCAGAGAACCTCGTTTTGAATTCTTTATAGAATGTTCCATTTCCATTTCCACCAGATAATCTGGACGGGCTTGCTCAAAGAATTTTTCTTCTTCTAGGTCCTGATCAAATTGTTGGCAGTGTCGTTTCAGGACTTCGTCTTTCACAAAAGTTGTTTCTGTTTGTAATCTTTCTAACCCTAACTCACAAGCAATGCTCTGTAACTCCATCGTAAAATCTAATTAAAATCTTGGCACCTTCACAATCGTTTGTAAATAATCATCGATTCCCTTCGTAAAATCTTAATTTAATTTACTCAAAAAGATTTTTTCCAGCTTGATTATTTTTCGTTTAATCCAGCAGCGTTCCATCTAACTTTCGTCTGTAGTTGTAACGACAGTTAGATTCCTTGATCTCTTTTATAGACGGGCCAGAGTGCGGTCGGGTTGGAAAAATAAAAATATTGTTTCTATTGATTATAGGTTATCAACTTTCACACGAAAATAATCAGTTTGAAGGCCATCACTTATTTTCTCTTTAATAGAGTGCTAAAAGTTTCTGTATGTATTTTAATTAAAAGTATTGTCCACGAAAAAGTCTTTCAATTTTTTCCTTTCTGTCCGGAGATTTAAATTTGAATTATCATGCAGTGAAGATAGGACGAAGAGAGAGATATCTTATATGGGATTTTGGTTTGTTTATGAAATCAGCCCATAACTCTAGCCAAAGCTTTCTAAAAAAAAAATTAAATTCACAAACACGACAGATACTCACCTTTTCATAGACTTATCTCTAGTTTACTATTCTTCTAGTACGTCCAGTTTACTTGAGTGATTAACTCAAATATTCTTGTTCGTGTATTGGACAACACGTATAGTGTAGTATATAGGATGTTGATGGGTTTTAATTGTTGTTTGAAATAAATAGATCAAAATGCAATGTCATTTCTGGAACGAAAAAAATTAACTTTGATAAACATATTTATAGTTTTCTATATACTCGTACATGTATACACTGTATTTTTATTTTCAAATAAACAGAATGGGCATTTTCTGAATATTCAATCCTAAAAAATACTAAATCTTCACGAAAATAAATAACCGATTTGTTTTCTTCCAGTCCTTGAAACAGAAAGTGTGACTAACTTTTGACTTTAACATATATTTAAAAATACTTGCATTTTTTTTAAAAACAAGAATTGAGAGTTAAAAAGGGGAAACAAGAACAGAAAACATACATGCATATAGTTTGAACGACGATAATTATTTATAACACATATCAAGAATATAATCCAATGTCCATTTCTTTGTGATTTTTTGGAACCAAATTTATACACACGATTTACCCCGATTTTAGGGTGAGGGCGTCAATGGATGGGGAGGGGTGACAAGTGAAAATAATTCTTGACACTTTTTATTGGATCTTAGTCATCTTCAAATTCTTCCAGATATCAAGGCTGTTAGAAAGAACGAAGCATGTTTTTTTCCTATTGGAAATAGTGATGTCGAAGAACATTTTATATAAATGACTAAATAAATACATGTAAATAAATGTTATAGTTCCTATACACTCCTTGGGAATAACAATCTAAGTGTCATTTCTTGTGAAAATAATTAGAAATAATGTTAATTAAACAATGTTTAAAAATGGTACATCTATGATTTATTTGATAATTAAAACCCCTTCTCCCCCCGCTTGAAAAGTGGGAGGGTATACATGTATAGTGACTAGGATGTCCGTCCGTCTGTATGTTTAGCTGTTCGTACGTCTGTCCGTTACGCTTTGGGGTACCCATGTCTTATCCGCAGCTCCTCTTATAATACTGAATGAAATTTAATAAGACTTGCACAGAATTTTTGCTACATTATCCCATTCTGCACCTCCTAGTCAACTTTTTTATCCGACACATTTTTAATTATGGGTTTCCCACAGCAAAACATTGCCACTGCCAGTCTTACTATCATATTGAATCCATCTCTTATCTATAAAAAAAATCATATAGAACAAACGATTCTTTTTAAAAGTTTTAAAATGATCTTACACTATTTTTCTTATATATTTGTAAGCTCCTGTAAAATTTTATTCACTTTCTAAGGCGGGTCCATCGTCCCCTCTGATACTAAAACAGAAGTATGGATTTTTATCAAAGGCTTGTTTTAGCTTAAATTTAGGATTTTTTATATAGTAGTAATACTTTGTAAATATGTCATAGAAAAATATTTTCATCAAAAAAGTCAAAGAACCCTTGGAGAACGGAACACGGAAAGGGGGGGTCTCGTCCCCAAGCACCTGTGGTAATTATAGGCAAAATTGTAAAAATGTACCCCACCCTTGGGGGCCATTTTTAAAATAATAATGATTGTTTAGAAAATGTACAAGAGAACAGAGCGGATTACATTGTATATATGCCACTATGGATGATACTGTCAAAATTCAACGTCAACAACGACTGCAAATGACCGGGATTGGGCCATCTTTTAAAACATGTAAAAACTGTTTGCTTTCCGTTTTATTTGCTGATTCAGTTGAACTTTAATATGGATGTTCACAAAATTCCTGCATTAGAGAATGGTCATTTCTATAGTGAACCAAGTTCAACCAACTTTCACATCCGTTGAAGCTGAATTCAAATCCTCAGAATTTAAACTTGAAATTTCATATATGGTGATACATGTACATATGATACTAAACTTGACATCATTTTCAGGAATTTTAAGTCATTTTAATGATCTTTCAATTATGTGTTTGAAATTCTAACATTCTAACACAATTCAAACTTTGAAAACAAAAATTTAAAAAAGTTTTAGTTGAATTGAGGCTTGTGAAATACAACATCAAATGAATGGTAACACCTCATCCTATAAATTCATTTGCAGTGCTTCAAATTTATCTTCGTGGATTTTGTTTTTGTGAAAGTACTTCAAATTATTCTTAAAACTTACTAATTTTTATATCACATCCAAGACTTTTCACAAGAAAAAATTGGCACGCAGATTGAGTTGTCGCTCTTGCAATACTAAAAAAGTATCAAGCTATTTCGCTCTCTCTCTCCCTGCTCTCTCTCTCTCTCTCCATTATGTGTAATGGCCGTATTTAACCGTGGGGAGGGGTCTCACCATAATTTTGCCGATATATAGTATACTATAGAAAACATACAGTTTACTACAGAAAACCATGCAGTAATAAAATACTATAGAAAACATTGCTACTATACATTTGTGCCACCTCAATGGCTTGTCAAGTTGAGTGCCCTCAACTGAAACATATGGCTGTGCCCCCCCCCCCCCCCACTGAAACTGCTTCCTACGGGCCTGTATGCAATAACGGTGGTAGATAGAAGTAAATACAGAAAAAAAGAGAGAATTTAATTGTCATTTATGCGAAGCCTTTATTCCAATACACCACCAAATTTGACCTCTTTGCCTTGGTGTTTGACTCATTCGTACCTAAAATTTCCAAATTTTAACCTTACGTTATAAATTTTAAATAGTTGGTGCTAGGGCTTTCATAGTTTACATGTGCATTCACTGTGACAAGAGCTTTCAATGGGTATAAGTTTTTTGACCTTTTGACCCACTTTAAAAAAGAACAACTTTAATCTTGAATTAACTTTCGAACAGTTATAGTACCTCAGAACTTTCATTTTTCAATGTGCATTCCTTCTGACAAGACTTTCATTTGGATACCAACAATTTTGAGCTTTAATTTTAACCTTGACCTTGGAGCTTCACTTGCATTTGAGAAACTTTTACCCTCGCCATAAGCTGTCACACGGGGGCATCAGTGCATGCTGCACAAGCATATACAAATGTAGTATTATCAAAACGTTAGTAAAGTTCCAAATAAATGACATTTAAGCACTATACATATATGTATTTACAAATGCATCTTAAGCTCCAAAACATAGTACATGTGTATGATGGCACAAAATGCATGTATAATATATTTGTTCAAACACAATACATGTGTATGTCACTCGTGGTAAAATCACCAGTTTGGCCGGCGTACAGCGAGGGGAAGCATATCGTGAAATACATTATTTTATCTTTCATCAAGTACATTTTACACCAGTCTAACGCGCGCGTGCGATCGAGGTCTTTCGCATCAAACAAAGCATCTTATCTTTCAGAAAATACGCAAGAAAAATGCATATTATGTACAATGGAGCTAAAATGCAGCTGGAGGGCATAGTGTTTCTTTCAAACCCCTTTATCTCTTATCTCTATTCAACATCTGTTTCATCTGATGTTCCATTTTCAAAGAATGTCCTACTCTTAATCAAGTAAAGAATTCATATACTGAGTATCCAGAAAATACATGTAAATTAATTTACACGTACATTTAACAGTTCATATGTAATTAATCCATTTAAATAATACAAACTGGGAGCTGCTATAGACCAAAACCCCAGAGTGGGATCAGGTGCCATGGAAAAGAAAGCATACCCTTGTGTATAAGTGCTTGCAAAAGATTTCTTCTTTTTTTACCGGTGCTGGTTGACATTGTTAGAAAGCCTTCAAAGAAAATGTTCATTTACTGATAATTATTCAAAAATTAAGATATGATTATAAGAATGATTAAATAAAGTTTATTTCAAAAGTATTATATATCTAAAAATTATTAAATTTAATTTTTTCCTACTTATGAACATTAATTCATATTTTAATTTTAAAAATATTATTTTTAATGCCACAACAATTTTATTTCTTGTTCGTCGGATATTTGATGAAAAAAATTACGAGCGGGCAAGCGGTTAAATAATAATATTATTACTCTTTTGTAAGCATTATTTGAGCGGTCAATTATTTTTTTTTTTTGATTTGAAGAGTAATCAGATTAAAATTTAAAAAATAGAGCGGAAATGGAATAGAAAAAAGCACAGAATTCCCATGGTGCGGGAAATTTAAAGAAATATTATTTACATAGTTTTGTTCAAATACGAGCGCGCGGGTCCGACGAACAAGAATTTTAATTGGTGTAGCCTAAAAGAAAAATGAATGAAAATATTTATATGCTTATGCATGTCAAAAATAGTCGTTTAATTTTTGCTTCATGTGATACATTTAACAAATAATTTTTTTTTCACATTGCAAGAACTTATACACGTTGATCTCTCCATCTCTCTCTCTCTGAGGCTCTCTCTTTATTTCGTTATTATCTCAAACTCAGAGAAAAATACTATATATAAAATAATCTACATTTAAAAAGTTAGGGTGCTCCAGACAAGTGACTCAGATGACCTTAAATTAAAACTGGGATGAGTGTATATGTTGAATCGGATTTATATTTGGTTAACCGCGCGAAATTGAGTTTTGAGCCAATCCCTCTTCAGCTGCTACTGTTTTGAGGTGCCCAATTAAATCAGTGCATACCATTCACTGCGGCATTGTAAGAATGGGACCAACATGTCGGATGTAAGCTGTGTTGTGACAGAGGGCAGAGTGAAATATCGAGAGGGGAAAAAGGTAAACATTGCTGTCATAGTTTTATTTTGCGAATTTGTTAGTTTTTTTTTGTTAATGAAAGTTTATGTTCTTTTAGTGGAAACGGCGCTGGTGTATATTGAGAAAACCTTCTCCCGTAGCTGGTGAGTAAACTTTTTGTTTAGTTTTTTAAGGGGTAATGTCAACACTATATAGTTTATCAGGGAATACAGCATATACTTTCAATTAACAAATTTCTTATTTTAACTAAGCGTTTAATTATCTGTGACATTAAATTCTGAAAAGTGCACATTCTTTACTAATAAAGAAATGTGTGTAAATGTGTAACATCCTAGTTTGAGTTTGTCCCTAGAAATCGGAAATTTTGGAACTCAGTTGGAGGTTTTAGATGCCACGGAAACACATTGATTTTTGACACACTCCTGAAAAAGATAATCTTTTAGTCATGTTGGTTCAGGAAATAGAGACTGGGTTAGACTAACCCAACACAGTTATAATTCAAAACATGTGGAATGAGTAAACAAAGCTCAAGTCATCCAAAAATCTTTTATCTGTCACTTCTTCATGAAGGGCCCACCATTGATGTTTTTTTTTATTTTATGTGTCTTACATTTTTTTTAATTCATTGATTTTCTTTCCTGTTTTTATTTTTAATTTGTAAATTTAATATTGAATATTGAATATTTTTGTGCACACTCGTATATAATAGCATGGTAATTAATGTGACAGAACCCAAGTTTCTTTTTCTCATGAAAAGGACAAATACTAATTTTTAATATGAGAGAGACAGGAAATTCCTTTATAAGTTAATGCATCTGTTTTAATACCACAACAAAATTAATTCTGCTACTTGGTATTGGTCATAAAACATTATCAGTAACAGACACACTGTCCTGTCTCAAGTGTGTTCGGAACTGATTGCGGAAATTATAACAGACATTTCAGTTGCAAAAATAATGAAATTCTTGTAGGGGTTTTAAAGCAAATTAAAAGATTTACTTCAAATGGTTTTATTTTTATTTTCTAAATCCAAGAGGATGGAGTTTTCTTCATCACTCTTTGTAATTGGTTGAAAAATACTGCTTTTTTCCCGGAAATATTCTGCATCTTTGTAATTTGAAGTAGGGAAAAAAAGTCGGCAAAGACTGCTAGGTAATCTGGGTTAACGCTTTTTGTTTGCAAACATTTTGAAGAAAAGCAGGAACTGGAAGTCTTCAAATTTCGACACAAGTCTAGGACTTGGTTTCGCACAGAGCCCCTGTTCTAATTATGCCACAAACAACGAGAACAGCTGTTTCACAATCTTGTTTGAAATATTCCCCTTCCCCCACTTTTTATGTATACAAGAGAATATTTTTGGATAACAGGATGATACACAAGAGAATGCTTTCAAATTCTTTGTAGTTTCAGTAGTAGATGTATTGAAAGAAAGGCAAAAAAATCTTTGTTTTAAAAGGATAGAAATCATAATTTTAAGCACTTGACTTTCTTTTAGTTTGATCCACTAGGTAGCTCTTAAACCATTCAAGTTTCCATCTTTTCATTTTTTTAAAATAAGATATTTCTTCTAGTCAATAAGCTTTTTACCACAAAATTCTATTACGCCACTTATATAATTATTTATTAAATCATTAGAGAAATGAAATAAACAGAGGACAATCACTTTTTTGGACGAGAAGGCACTACTGAAAAACGTTTTATGTTTATTTTAACATTCAGAAAAGGAGTTTGATTGATGAATTTTCCTTACTAAGATATAGATGTTTGCCAAGATGAAATTGAATTTGTCAACAAATCGAAAATACTGAATTTCAGAAAACTTTTAAATTTATACACACCTGTACATCCTTTAATGATTTGTATGCATGATAAACTTGGGTGGTTCTGTGGTAAAATAATTGCATGCATTCACAAATTTTAGTATTAAAAGCTGAAAATGTCTCTGCTAATTTTGGGATAAATGCTGCCTGCCAGTTGTAGTTTGGACTGACTGGATTTCAAAGATCAAACATTAATTTATCATATTTTTTTAATGGAATTATATATTTACTTTGGTGAGGAAGATTAACTGAAGTGCATTTTCCATTTAAGTAATATTAATGTTGAATACAGAAAGGGTCATGAAACCATCCTGTCCCATTATCAACATTTTATTTCTCAATTTCTTCACACATCAGTACCCAAAATATTTTTTTCAAAACTGCTGTGAATTGTCCAAATCATTTTTTAGGTCGTTATATTCTAAATTTATTGATAGGAATTTAAAACATTTGAGACTTAAACACTAACATGAGATGGATGAAGAAATCAGTTGGATGAACAGGTCTTGAAAGATGTTTAGTATACATAATTGATACAGAATTGAAACTGTTTTGGTGACTGTGCTTAAATCTAAAATAGTAAATTATATACACAATGTATCACAGGGGCTCCTTTAATAATTTGTTACCCCTACTATAAAAATACACTTGGGAGGTTCTAAAAATAGGTAAATTAATACCACAAATTTTGACAGGAGTTCTATCTTTAAAAAAGCTGACTTTCGTTGCGGATCAAGTAGCTGATTTTGGAGATATAGATTCAATTTTAATATTCTTCAGACAACTGGATTTCAAAATCAACGCGTACCGTTAGTCATATAACAACCTCTTTTTATATTTGGAATTATATATTTCCATATGCGTCAATTGAAAGCAGCGCTCTGATTGTTTGCTTTCTGTAAACAAAAAATAAACTGTAAGGATTGACATGCTTCGTGAAGGATATTCAACATGTTTATATAGATAAATGTAACCAAATATAGTAAAATACGTAAAATGAAACCACACCTGTATTGTTCAATGCCATCACGACAGTTTGATTTTCCCTCCGTTTTGGTGCACAAAATTAAAGAGCTACTTTGTGTACGAGTTATCTACAGAAAGCAACCAATCAGAGCCCTGCATTCAAAAACGCCGGAAATTCATATGGTGACTGTCGCCAGATCCAAATATCGAGAAAAGAGGTTAGTTATATGACTAAGGATACGCGTTGATTAGAATTTGACTGAAGAATATTAAAATTGAATAGGATACTCCACTCACTCCTACATTCCGCAACGAAAGTTACAAGATAGAAAGTCCTGTCAAAATTTGTGAGAATTTCCTATTTTTAGATTCCTCCCTTGTGTATTTTTATAGTAGGGAAAGATGTTTATTAAAAATAAATAAACTGTTTTTCTGTGCTTAAACTAAAAAGTAAATTATATGGAATGATCAATCAAATATAAAAAAGCTGATAAACAAAAATGTTATGTCAAAATGTTGAATTGATAAGGTCACCATTGCACTCTTCAGTCTTGAAGATATTGGACAAAATTGGAAGTGAAATGTATGTGATTATAAATATATATAACCCCCCCCCCCAATGAACATTGTAATTATTGTGTAGTGTGTATATTCTAAAGAGTGGAAATTCAAATGTATTAACAGATGCAGCATGTTTAATCCCAGCATGTATTTTGATAGCCGAGTGTCCTATGCACTGGGATCCTGGTAGGATGTTTCATATTATTTCTATATGAATGAACTAATGATGGGAATATTTGTTATTTTTTGTAATATTCACACACTGATTATCTGCTGGCTTCCTGCTGATACATCAGCAAATGTTCTGTTAATTCTGATACAAGGGGACCCCCAGTAGTCATTTTCTACACTAGAGACAGCTAGAAAGATGAACTTTGGCTCCTAGAAGCTGCTTCTATTTATCTGGTAGTTCATTTTGAAGATAATGAAAATGATGTGACCTATATGTAACTGAAGTTTAGTGTGAAAGGCAAATTGTCAGAATAGCAGGATTCCAAAAATTACCCAAGTCAAGAATTTTTGTTTGGGTGTAGAGTCTTTATAGATTTAGAAAACATTTATGGCAGAAAAAAGTTGACTGTAGAGCTTTCTGTTTAGGGAGGACATATTGCTTAAGCTAGATTGTCTTTAAAAAATGTGATGTACATTCTGTATGAATCCAGAGTTTATAAAATGTTAAGAGTTTAATGGTTTGGGTGGAGTTGTGAAATTCAGAAACTGAGAAAAATTTAAGATGTAAAAAGTTTGGTGTTTATTGATATTATTGACGTATACAAGGTGATTAATGTAATATTTAATGTCAAAATTGCCTGGCTTTATTAGAAGGAGGCAGCTTAGGAAGAAAAGTATAAAAATGGTGTGAGGATGTTTTTTTCTCTGTCTGGAATTCATTATTGCTTGATGAGGTCTGGGGATTCTTTATCAAATAATTAATGTCAAAGTCTGTCTAAAAGAAAAAAAAATGTGTTACAGAAGTTGATGCAGCTTTGCTTAAATATGTAGCAGTATTGTATTAAGATTTGAATGAATATATGTTTACGTTAATCTTGGAGATTTCAAAAATTCTGAATCACAGTTTTCGTGACTGTGTAGTTAATTCACTTACAGATTCGCCCTTAATGCATCAATTATTGTAACCCTAATTTATTTCTTGTTTTTATTTAATTTGTTCTAAAATACATTGTTTCGATAATGAAAGTAAATAATTAATTTGTAGAGTGTTATCTGTGCTTTAATTTTCTTTAGCACGAAATAAGTTATAAAAAGGTATTTGGTGTCAGTTTCTCAGTTTTTCAAGTGCACTGGATATTTGTTGGATCAAACATGGTAAATGATTTTGGAATATTTAAGTATCATAATAAAACAATCTACGTGATCTATTAATAGCGTATGCCTTTAGTTGTTAAAAAACGGTTGCCATTGTCTTGTTTTTGCAACCCATCTTTCTTTTAGAAAGAAATAAGGTAATTAGAAGTCTTTTGTGCTCAGATCTCTAAAGTGAAAGCTTCGGAAATGAAGGAAGCCATGTAATATGTATGGGGCACTTCCTGTCTCGGAAATCATTTGTTTTGTATTAGCGTGGAACAGATGAGCAATGTTTTGTTATAAATCGGAACACTTTGGAATGTCTGTCATACTAAATGGATTCTATTTTTTTCCCCTATCTTGTCTTGTATGCAATGATATCATGGCTGAAATATGCAATTATTTTCCTTTATACTGCAGAAAGCAATAATCTTGTCTAAGGTGAATTTATTTAACACACGTACTCTACCTAGAGCAAGACTCCCAATTTCTTTTTATTATTTCGTCTTTGATTTAAGATACAATTTCTGCCTTTATTTTACTATAGATATAAAGGAATGTGTGCACATATTTCTTTTTATGATCTATACATATGTAATGTATCAAATGATGGATAGGGGCTGTTGAACACACATAAATTAGGTTGATGTTTAATCTTCTCCAGACAATGGGAGTTCTGTGAAAGCTTTATCAGTTATAAACCTGCTAAATATATGTCTTGTCAGAAACTTCTATTTCATTTTTTACCTAATTATGTAGACATTTATTTCAGCAATTTAAAGAATTTGGAGTTTATATGATAAACACATTTGTTTAATATTTCAGAAAAAAGTTCATTGTTAAATTGTCAAGGTTTATACTTCAGTAAGTGCATGATTATATTAGTAGGGGAATTATAACTAGATGTTATTAATGTATACAATTTGAAAGTTACAGAGTGTACATGCATTTCACATTTGATATTTTAACATTTGAAATGTTCACATCTAAAATACTTTTCTTTTAAATAATGTTTAAAGTATTTATTACAATTCATGCTACTAAAAATCACAGTAAATTAGTATACATCTACCATTTCAAAATATTTTCAACAATTCATTATTTGTCCGACATATACTGTAAACATTATTCTCAGAAAAAATTAAAGCTACGTACTTGTATATACACTTAGTCTGTCACAATTGTTTTTTGTGGAAATTTGTCAAAATATACTTAGGTTCTTTAAATACAAATAAAGCCAATCCAAGAAATCCTCATAATTTTCTTCCGGCTGATTAAACAAATATTGCGATTACTCAGAATTATGACCCCTTAGCTTGGAATAAAAGATGCAGTATGATCTTTAATTGGTTCCTGGAAAAAAAAAATGAGTATATTGATTCAGCACCAACATGATTCAGGAAAAACAATGAGACATGCTATCTCTACATACAATTTTTGATAGCCATTCCATTAATTTAAGACAGGCTTACTCACTGATTATTTTAGCTTTTGTAAATAGGTTTGGTATCTCTTGTATACCAGATAATGATTGCCAGGAGAATAGCTGATTAAGATGTCTGTTGATAAGCAGAGAAGGTCTATTATTGACAATGTTTTTGTCTGGTAGAAGATCGGCCCATATATACTGTACTACGTACTCTGTTAAGTATGCCATTTTGTCCCCTCCTTTGACGTGCCACACTTCTGGTTTTATTTAATTTTTTAGGCCTTTGGTGCAGGGTATTCGGGGTTCCTTTGGTCTCTGGAAAAATGTTCTCTTTTATATAGTGATAAAAATATTGAATTAGATTGACTAGAAGTTCAAATTATGAATGCAAAAAATCATACATGCATTTCACTATCTGCACTCATAGCCTGTACCTTTAAAATGTCAGGGCTGCACTCCAAAACTTTGTACTTGATTACTTTAAATTAATATGTTATTGAACAAAACATTGCCATATTTATTTAAAAGGCTCCAGGGTTTTCGATTGTCTATAATTGGGGTTGTTCAAGGTCCCCATTGGCAATTCAAAAAAGGTACCTTTTTTTCCCAAATGGTACTGAGTGAATGTGTAAATTTTTCCAGTAGTCATTTTTTTCCCCAAAATTGAAGAAAATGCAGTTTGATATATGAAAAGTTAAAATTGATAACTAAACTTGCTATTCATATTCTTAAATTTAGTTGAAAAACCCAGCTATATCATGATTTTAAAGTATGATGGTTATCCTTAAATTTCCTGATATGTTGCTATTTGTTCATTATATAGTCTTCATGTTTCTGGCTCTATTGCCATAAAGTGGCAAGCCTGGAAAGCATTCAGCATGCAGTTGTGTTTAAGCCCTTTGACCCTAACTAGCTGAGCAATGGGTACGTTTTAAGTGAAAACTTGAAGCAGTTGAAAAGAAAGAAAAAGAAATTGATTAAAATCTATATACCCCATTGAAATCCTACACCTTGGTAATGCTATACAGGTTTTCATTGTGTGTGATCATGCCAGTTTTTATTCTGCATAATTGTTCTTTTTATTATTTATCTAAAACTGTTCATATTGCATGTTGGTCTTGCAGAAACACTGCATTCGATTTTCTTTTATGCTGTAATATGTCGTCATAAGTTACGGTTTGGTGTACCCGAGTTTACATATGCTCCAGACCTGACAATAATTGTAGTGATTTATCATGAAGGCCCTTCAAAAAAAGAACCCAGCCAGGTACAATGTAAAGAAATGAACTGTTAAAACCTTTAAACTTCTTCATTGGAGATGTTTATGTTAACAACAAAGAAATGAGCTGGTACAATACCTTGTGTTGAAAGAGCCGCAAAACCAGAACAGGGGGAGAGAAAAAAATAAGGTGTAAAAGGGTGGCTTGCTGTGCTAGACAACTGCTTCTTAAGCATCAACAGGCACTCAGATCTATTTCTCTGAGCCCTGAGTTTGAGGCCAATTAAACCACACAGACTAGTTACAGGATACTTTTTTAAGTTTTCCAGATGTTCTCCGTTTTTAATATTTGAGAGAGCATCTCATCTTTTTGAAGGCAGATTTTCTGACCAAGTTTAAGTGGGTCATGATTTTTGTAAGCGAGAGATCTTTCCCTTGATTTAAGTTTTTATCTATCTTCATTTAAAAAAGCTTATGAGTCACATTAAGAGATTTCATTCTAGTAGGAGATGAAGATTATCTGATGGTTTCGGCTTCCTTTAATTGATATGCAAGAAGTTTTGTTAGTTGAATTCTGCTTTTGATGTCCAAAGACTAATGGGACATGCAGGAGGTCAAGCGAGCTAATAGGCTGTCTTAAGATGGTTTATCTTTTGCTAAGTGATTATGGGAAAACAGCAATTATCTAATTGTTTTTCCGCATAGGTACATGTGCTTGAAGTGCACTCTGAAATACATCTGGATAACAACTTTTTTCCTCAACTTGGGAGGATAAAATTAAGTTTTCAATTCTTTTCATGCATTTTGTAAAAGAATAATTTTTATACAAAAGTAGAAATCTCATTGCTTGTAAATAAATTGTTTGTGATTATTATGAGGTATGATTTATCAAGATAAAGTTGACATTGTTTGTTCAACTCCTTTTTGAAAGATGTATAATAATTACTATAAATACAAAATATATTAAAAATGAAATTTGGGTCCATTTAGAGCTTTTTTGAAAGGTTAATTGTTTACATTTAAGATGCCAAAGACTTCTTATAGAGAAAAATTAGCATTGACTCTGGCTTACTTCACCTATAGCTATTAATGTTCTATAGTGTGTCTGAATCATCCAAAATCAACCAAAGGAAAAAAAAAGAACACACTATGACAAACATTAACTGATTCATGATTTCTTTCTCCCACTTAAACTTGTTTTTTATCTGTTAAAAAACAACAAATTTTCGCCTCAAACACAAACAGGATAAATTTCAGACACACAAAAAAACAAAGAAACATGATGTTTCTACACACAAAAGACGTGACTCGACACACACAAATCACTAAATCTGTAACCCAGTGTTGATTTTGTCTTTCAGATCAGCTCAATGTACAGCTATTTAAGGTGGATGTTAAGGATGTCCATAAACGACAGCCCAAGACGAACTTTAATCTGGAGGGGTTTTTTGGTGTGGAGACAGGGTTCAGCTACGACAAGGAGACCAATGTCTTAGCCATCATCTGTCAGAAACAAATCACACTCTTCTCTTTTGAAAACAGGGATAATCTGATACAGTTCGAGATCAAGATCAGAAGAAGTCTTGGGGAAGGTATCAAAAGTTTTAAATTTCTATTATCCATTATCTAAAATAAAACTCATTTAAAAAAAATTGATTTGAAAGTAAATTTATCTTTTAAATTTAAAACCTCGTGTTATTTGTGTCTTAGCATCTTTGCTGAATTTAACAGTTTAAAATTTTTTTTATTAATAAGATTGAAAGTTTTGTTCATATTTGCAAAGAGCAGTATCATAAAATAAAGGATGTCAAGTGTTTCTAAAGATGTCTTTTGTGGTTCTTAGAAATATTACTCACAGGAAACACAACAGAAAGTGACAGATTAACTGTTCACACAATAGCAAGTGACCTTGTGATGGTGTAGCCTCTGTACTTTTCTTTAAGTGCAGAGTCACTCGGGGAGAAATCTTAAAAGCAAATAGAATTGGAGATTCATTCACAAAAATAACAGGATGTTTCTTATGTGAAAGATTAGAAATGGCATATAGGGTCTGTTTATATCAAATAAATTAAGTGTTTTTCCTTCTTTAAAAGTATGACATATCGTTAGACTCAAAAAGTGCACAGCTAAATTTGTTTTATGAATTGAAAAACATCCTCGATTACGTTATTGAATAAAAAGTGCAGTCAATCTATTGGTCGTAACATGCCATATAAAATCTAGTGCACTGAGGTTGCACATCGTCAGTTCTATGTAGAAAAAGCTGAGACTGCATGTCTGTAATAATTTATGAGTCAAGGTATCAAGGCAAGTTTTTATATAAATTTTATGTAGGGAAGCTCTCTTTGAAAGTTTTTTACATGTATGATTAAGACTTCTCTTTCAACATTCAATATTATACCCTGTATAAACATTCTTTTGTTTCATCATTGTAAATCATTTGGGAGAAATTTTTTATTTTTCATTGCTTGAGGGATGGAAATTTCATCATATTCTGCTTTGATTTTGCAGAGGACCAATTCAAGGTACAAGTTACTAATGTCCCTAACAACAGTAAGCTCCCTTTGGATGATCTCCGAATGCACATTCATGGCCAGAAGTTCTGCTTGACAAACGGAATCCCTCCAAAAGTCCTGGCTGCCTGGCAGATCTCCGATTTAAGACGATTTGGGGTCGTGGATAAAAAGTTCATCTTCGAAGGAGGATCTAACTGTGGAAAAGGTTGGAGAAAAAGATTTGTATTTCTTTAAACATGTAGATAAGTACGTAATTTCTATGTGCTTGTGCCAGATACATGGGTTAGTAGTGGTATTTTTTGATTGATTTACACTTCTTGAGTTGACATATTAACTTTACTGATGCATTTTATGGCCTCAGATTTAAACTTTTGAAGGTTCTTTTCTTGTATATTTTTCAACATGATTTTTTTCAGAGATAAAAATTGTATTTTTTAAAATTTATTAATAATTTGTTACAGGGGGAGGAGTTCATGCAATCTCCTCAGAACAGGCTGAACTGATTAATGAAATTGTCAGCTTAGCGAGCCTGGGAAAGACTGCAAGCTGTAGGAAATTCATTATAAGAAGTACGTGTTTATATTTGATGCCTTTCTAATTTTTGATGAAAAATACATTTTTATAAAAATATTTATATTGTGGGCATAATCTGAAAGATGTTTTTATAATGCTGGTGTTTTCTGTAAGATTTCACAGATTTTACTTCAAGTTGAAAATTTTATTTTTATTGAACTGTTGAAAAAAAGTGTTCAGTTACATAACTTAAAATTGCCAATGCCATACTTGAGGGACTAGTACAAATCAAAGAAAATAACATATTAAAGAAAAAGAGGTTTTTTTTTCTATAAATGAATGCACATAATAATTAAGATCAATCTTATTTTTCCCTCTGTAGGATCTCAACTGTATGACTACCATTTGGATCCAGTCAGCAGTTCTTTTAATGATAATAGCCAGTTCAGGGACTTTCAGAGCTGGACAACTGCTGGGGAACAATTGTACCTGGAAGATAAGAGGTCCAAGCGCCACTCTCTTAGTTTTACTGATTTCTCTCATGCATCTGCTTACAACGAAAAGCTCCTGAAATACAAAACTGAACTAGAGTTGGAGAAAAGGAAATACCTCAAATACTTCCTGTACGATGTACCTCCTAGCCGTGTAAGGAAAGTGGACAATTGTAGTCTTTATCTCAATACCAAACATTTTCAACAGCCCGACCATTTCTCATCTCAAAACTCTCAGGAAGTTAAAAATGTCTCAAATATCTTGTCTCATAAACTCAGCAAAGAATGTGTAGACAACAGAATTGAACAGTGGATCGAGGCCGAGGCCTGTATGAGCTCTGCTAGTGGACCGAGTTCTGAATCTCAGATGAGTATATCCTCGGGAGACAATTCGGTGTCCACTCTGGGACAGATGGTGAAAGTGTCGGCCAGTGCCCCCTCCCTCTGTGGCTATGGTGTTTATAGCTGTAATGGCGAGAACAGTAAGTCATTGTCTGTCACCTCAGTGCCATCTAGAATTGAGGAGGAGTCAGAGAGTTGTAGGCGGCTAGAGCTGGAAAATCTACAGAAATCTGAGCAAGAGCTGCAAAGGGAGATAAGCCTTCTAGAGGAAATCATGAAGGTACATGTATTAAGGGCTATTCCAGAAAAAAATGTATGGGAGGGTTGGAAGGCACTTCATGTATTTTTGTATGGGTAATGGGGACTGGAGCAATTAAACTTGCATGGGTGGTTGTCCTCATCCATTATATTTTTAGATGGGTGGTTGCACTTTTTTTATTTAAAAAAAAAACTCTCGTCCTAAAAATGTGTTTAACATTTGACCCATTATTACAATTAATTCATTTAAAATGAATTAAAAATTATATATTTCAGAAACGATAACCTGTAGTTGTTAGGTGGGATTTAGACTTGGTATTTTTCACATTTCCACTAAATAGATAATGCCCTACATAACTTAAATGTGCCCCCTCCCCAACCCCTCCAAAAAAAAAGAAAAGAAAAAAAACCCAGAATTTTTTGTTGTGAAGAAGGTATAAACAGGGACCTATATACAAAGTATACTTAGAATATACATGATATAGGTCCCTGGTATAAACAACATAAGGATAGGCTATAATTCACAATATATATTTTAATTATCATAGGAATATTATTTCTACTAGTAAATGTTAACATGTATTAGTTTTACTCAAACTTTACAGATTACAAAGTCAAGCATCAGAACAGATAAATACAAATCATTATTTATAGGGCTTTCAGTGGTATGTATGACAGACCTGAAGGGGTACATTTTTTAACCTATAGGCTATAGCAGCAACCCTGTGATCTGTTTAAAAAAAGAACTTTGGACTTGAACTAAAAAATTTTAGTTGATTGTATAGTCTTAAAAAGCTTTTGCTTCTGTTAAAATTTATTTGCATAAAAATATCTTTCTAAATTCTTTTCAAAAAGATTAAATCATTTTCAAAGTAATGAAAAAAAGAATTTTTTGTGCATATTTAGATTTTCATCATATTTATTAAGTTTTCTCTTTTTTAACAAGGCTCTGGTTTGGATAGATCCCAAAAGCTAACACTCAATTCAAATCGTGTGAAGTGCAAATGCTAGAAAAAAGTACTGGTACATAAAATTTTATTTTTATATATAGATAACTTGAACACAACTCTTAAAAAAATATTTTAAATTTAGATGAGTGGTTGTATTAAAATCATTTTTATTTTGATGGGCAGTGGGGGAGAAAGCAATTAAAAATGTATTGGTGGGGTAGAAATAAAATTGCCTTCCAAACCCCCCCCCTACATTTTTTTTCTGGAATAGCCCTAAGCTTATTAAAAGAAATTGCATGTTGTAGAAGCAAGTAATGTGTTTGATTTCAAATGTAACCTCAATTGTATAAAGCATTTTCACTGTATGCTTAAAATATTAATTGTATATATTCTTTATACTATATTTGCAATTTTAAAATGCAAGTACAAATCATATTTAAACCTGAAATTACAAACTTAGAACTATTAATTTTCTGCATAATATGCATTTTGAATTAATTATTTGGACTTTCATCATTGATGTCAATCTATACATTTCTTTCATTTAAGAGAAATAATGCAAGTTGTTGAAACATCAGTTGAAAAATTCAATAATATTATGCATTATCACAGCATTTTAAATTTAATTTGACAATAATTTTAACAATATTTCATTCCAGGGTGTAAAAGAAAAGCCTACAGAGAAAAAACAGGAATCCCTGAAAGAAAAACCACCACCTTTACCCAGGAAAAAATCTAAAAATAACCGCCGTGCCACCCTTAGTCCCCGACATGATCGCTACTCCACAATAAGTTCTCAGGGTAGCATTTCTGGTTATTCAGACAGTGTTTTGTTGAGTCCCAATCTGGTGTCAAGGTTACGCAAAATACCCTCTCATTCCAAAATGTCTGCTCCGCTTCCTTACGTCAATTTGGACAAGTATGATGGTGGTGTACAGGTGGATAAATGTCATGTGTATGTTAGGAATCAGTCAGATGATGACACCTGCAGTATCATCTCTCAGAGAAGTTACGAAAGTGAATCAAAATCTCCAAAAGATCGAATGAGTGCAAAAGCTAAGATGGGTTATGGGAAAAGGACTGATAGAGAATCTCAGAAACTTCCTATTGATCTCCCTGAATCAAACTATGCAAACACAGAATGCATTTACGCAAATGATTATGCTGCCATAGAAGCCTCTCGACAACCGCCAGCACTGCCTCCAAAAGGACCAGCTCTTCTGAGTAAGAGTAGACCCCTTTGTCCACCTCCTGTCCCTCCAGGCAGACACAGAGCTCATTTGAATAAAAGAAATAAGTATTCCTCACAATATTCAAGTCCACGACAAGGTATCAACCCAGTGATGAATCCAAAAAGAGAGCAAAATTATTTCTTGATGGCTGGAGTTGATTCATCACCTAGCAGCAGAAGACGATCTGAAATTGGGCTCCATACACCAAGAGGAAGTTCATCAGAGCTGTCCGATTATAAGGATGGGCCACTGAAAGTGAGGCTTCCTAAACGTTCTCCTTCTGCAGCTGGGAAGGAAAATCTAAACCCTGATGATACTTGTGGTTACATGGATATGAGCGGAATGTTCGAAGATGAAAGGGTGACAATGAAATCCAAAGATGAGGTCGAATCTTCTACATCCTCTCCTCAGAAAGTGTACACAAGATCCAGTAGTGCTTCCTCTATCTCTGAAAATATCTTCTTCAGACCAGTGTTTCAGCATTCACTCAGTTTAACTGACACTCCAAACACACCAGTCAGAGAAGAAAACTATTTACTTATGCATCATCTCACTAGTCCAAAGAAATCTGTGCTCGAAAACCTACAGTCCCTGCAAAGTTATGTTAGCAATACCAAGGCAGTAAGAGACTCTGTTATTGAGGGTGATGACCCATCAGCTTCACCAAAAATCTCCAGACGCAATTCTGAAGAAGAAGCATCAAAACAAAATACATCTTCTGAAAATGCCAAAGAAATCTTGAAGGGGAAGTCTTCTTTGCCTTTCCCAAACTTGATCAACTTCCAGAAACACAATATTCTAACAAGTTCTGAGGATGTTCATAAAAGTGCCAGTGCAACATCAGTGCAATCTGTTAATAGTGACAAAAGTACTGAAAATTCAGGAAAAAGTCCTGGATTTCTGACAAGATTGATCAGAAGAAATTCAGGGAACAGGAAAAGTATGTCTCAGAGTCAAGAAAATCTTTTGAACTCAAGTTCAAGTGAAAGTTGCCTAGACAAAACTCTAAGCAACATTTATGGAAGCAGAGACAATGCAAATGGGAAGGACATTTCAACATCAAGTGTAGCTTCAACAAACAGTAGCAGTGGTGGCCAAAGTCAGTCTGAAATGCTGGAAAGAAGACGTTCCTCCAGCTTTCCAAACAGATCTAGTTTTATGGAGATGAATGCTTCCAAAGACAATTTTCATCAAACCTCACAAGATTCATTTAACTCTAATGGGACCACTGATGAACACAGTCAATTGATTGGACCACAGCAATCAGAACAGACAAAGGACACAGACAGTTGTGAATCCAGTTCCACCAATAGAACTGGGTACACAGGGCCTTGTGATGGACAGACAGATTCAGAGGATTCAGCATCAAAAAGTAAATCAGAAGGAAAATGTCTGTCTCCAAAATCTTTTCAAAAGTTTCGCAAAACACAGGAGATGGGAATTTTCACAGTGTTAAGAGTGGATGAACCTTCATATAAAATGCCACTTTGTCAGACTTCTAGCAAAACAGATGATGAAAAACTTATTGACCTCATGAAATATTCGAAGGTGAAGGACTACTATGGAGACACAGATTCTGAAAAAACTAATTCATTGAAATCTGATGACTTTAAGCTGAATATGTGTCCCAAAAAAGCTTTTTCACCATACGAAGAAGCAGCAGCCATTGCAAAGTATGTAGCTTCATTACCACCATTTATACCTCCGAAGCAAAAGAGCTACCCTTGTTCTGCATTGTCTCCTGTTTTGGAAAGTGCACCTTCTCTTGGGAAAGAGGAAGTCTTGAAAGAAGATAATACTTTAGACAATAAGAGTATTTCCTCATTCAGATCTGAGCACAGCTATGCTATGATTGCTCCCAGTGACCAAGATGATGCTAAACCTGGTGAAAAAGTAGAAGAATCAATATGGGTGCCAAGACAAGGTATTTCAATTTTATCTATAACTCGTAACTTTTTATAATTTTATTCTGGTATTATTAGGGCCCCGCAAGGATTTGCGGGTGCCCTATAGTAATCACTCTGTCCGTCCGTCTGTCTGTCTAGCTGTCTGTCTGTCCGTCTGTCACTCTTCCGTCCACAAATTTTCTGTTTTTTTCTAATAACTTTTTTTATGGTTGCCCAATCAAGTTCAAATTTGGTATGGTAGTTCAGTAGGCAGAAATACATATTTTGATGCTAAGTTTGGTTCTCTATGTCTTCTGGTTTGGAGCTGGGGTGGTTGGGTAGATTCCTTAACTATGCATAAGAATGAATGGGCAACTTTTTTTATGGCTGCCCTATCAAGTACAAATTTGGTATGATAGTTCAGTAGGCAGAAATACATATTTTGATGCTCTATGTCCCCTGGTTTGGAGCTGGGGTGGTGGGGTAGATTCCTTAACTTTATATACAAAAGCATTGGCAAAGAGAGATAACTGCTGAAGATGTTCCTATTGTAAAACTGAATGCTGCTATTGGGATTAATTAGCTTTCCTCCTGAAGAAAATCCAGAGCATTATCTTTATCTGTCAAATAGAGATGAATTACCACCTCTGTCTGCAAATGAAGTTTGTTTTTAAGTTAAGTCAATTTGGAATGCTATGAACACTCTGAAATGTGGATTTAAATATTATAATTTTTTATAATTTATATTTGTTAAATAGTTATGATTTCATTGAATTCTAATAACAAGAAATAGATTAAAGAAGATTTTTTTAACCATCTTTTGATTTACTTTTTTCACTTTATGTTAATTCAAGCATATTATTAATTTTTAGAATAGTTGTATAAAAACCCCATTCTATCATTAATACTGAAAAAGTTCTTATTGTACTTTAGAAGAAAATGAGGAGAGAGGTACAATTAATCCCTTGGGATAGCCAGCTGCAGAAAATTTAGTAGGCTTTTCTTTATTCTGTCACTTTAAGATTAATGAAAACCTTTGTCTGCAACTGCTGTTTGTTTGAAGTTAAGGTCAAGCCTTCATGTTATTTGCATTCATTCAAGGCTGGTATTTTATATAACACAAATTCTTCATAATAATTTACTGCCTAATGTAAGTACAAGGATATTATTTTCAGGTTTTTGAATATTCAGGAATTATCTTGAAATTTTAAGAATACAGTTGCTGTTGCTGTTGCTTATTCTTCGTACATTTTTTAATCATTCCGTAAGCTGCACCCTATTAATTCTACCCCATGGCGGGGCCCTTGCTGACTGGTCAGTTTTCTAGTTTATGTTCTGTTATTTGTTTCATTCAACGTATCTGAAAGTTTTGGGATCCATTGGATGTTGATGAATAGCTATTTACATTTATGTTGGTAAATTCGAATTGTAGCAGTGAAGGAAAGATCACCTGCATCTGTAAGCAGCACTGTGGAGGACCAGGAATCTAAGTCAACAGCAGTAGTTGTAGAGTTGGACCATGACAGCCCCTCTGATGATGAAATTTCTCTGTCTTCTTCCTACTCGGACAGTGTTAGCAGTGAAAGTGCATTACGGAACAGTGCAGCCTACACTTACATGAGACCAAGAGCAGGCAATTGCTACGTAGTTCTGGAGAGGAAGCGGCCACTAAATGAAAGTCTCAGTTCTAGTCCCTCACAAACTCCCAATTCTCCCTCTGTGAATTCCAGCGTGTTTACTTTTGATCAAGTGTCCCAGTTCAGCTCTTTCAGCAGGGAAAGAGATTCTCCCAATTTACCAAAGTTTTCTCGTTCAGAGAGTATGCACTCAAAATTTTCAGAAAGAACTAGTTCTCACAAAATGTCCTACATGAACATTGACCTGACACCACCTTCATCGCCTCCATTTTCCCAGTCACTTTCTCTTCCAGCAGAGCAACTGGAACGTCAGTTAAATTATGCCGAGATTGACCTCCGAGAGAAGCCCACACGTAAAAGCAGAAAGTCTTCCCAAAAGTCCCTCAAAATGCAGAAGTCTACTTCCATTGAATATGCCATGATTGACATGCAAGCCACCATTGCCATTCAAAGAGCTGGTCAAGAGCACAAGATGTCCCGTGTGGACAGCTTGAAAAGATGTGACCAGAAACTGTCTTTGTCCATCCCAGAACAGGGGACAGACACCGAAGATGTTCCAGAACCATCCCCCTCCAGCACCAAAGATGAAACAGTCTCAAAGGAAGAGAGTACCTTCCTTACAACACACAAATACGTCAATGTTCCACCGCCAAAGGAAGAGAAAGTTGAAGAGGAGGAAAAGGATGAACATGATGATCTTCCAGAGAAAATTCTGCTGCCAATCAGAGAGAACCAGGACACGTCTAGTAGTGAGAGTGAGGCTGAGGAAGACTCAGATTCCTCCGATGGTGAAGTCATCATCTATGAGTAGAAGATGATGGAATGATAAGAATTATTTATTCTTTATATTTTTTACCAGATGCAAGTAGGCTGTGCCAAAAAATTTTGTCATAAAAGAGATATGCACCAATATGTTGGACATGAAAGAAAGTGTCCTATTGATTTGTTGATCATGATTATTCTGATTAATGGATTTTCATAATGTATATTTTTTGTTTTGAAAATAAGGATATTTTCAATTGAATAAAATACAGATTTTTTTCAATATTTTTGAAGCTTTTCAGAAGTCTTCCAAATGATTTCTTTGTATATTGAGTAATATAAAGATTCAGAGTTTAGACCAGCGAAAGCATGTTACTTAAGTTATTTGTAGACCAAAACCATTGATAGAAGAGCTGCTGTTCTTTGAATAACCATTTATGCAAACAAACCACAATCTGAACAAATGACATGACCACTGGGCTGGTATTTTATACATACTTTGAATATTTTTCCTAGTGCTTTAACTGTAGGAACATGATGAAAAAAATATCTTTTTAATTTACAATGACAAATTGATTTTGTAGTTTTGTTTTTCATGTATATTTTTTAGAAGAACATTATAACATCATCAAAAATGTTGAGGTTGAAGTATTTTTAAGGTTGTATTTCCTTATATTTCTAAGGGACTAGATTGCCAAATAGATTATACACAGCTGCCAAAATATTTTCCTTACTTTGTGTGTGATTGTTGTTTAGTATTTTGTTATTGTTGTGGACCATAGAAAAAGGACTTCATTTAATATTTAATGGTTGTATTAAAAGAGGCATAATGTGTGGAACATTTTTTTTCAAGGTGCTATTTATTCCATAAAAATCATCCAAATATGCCCTCATTTTGCAGGGATCTTTTAAAGCATGTGTCATTAATTTTCTGTTGTTGCATGATAGAACTAGTGGTCATTCAATATTTTCATGTGTAGTTATCATGTGGTCTTTTTCAGCTGTTAACAAAAACATGGAATTTTCTTACTTCAATATCTAAAAAGTAGTGCATGAAACAATACCTCAAACTGACTGCTGAGTAAAAACTTGAAGCTATGCAACACTTAATGCTGTTTTAAATCCTGAATTGGTAGATCAAGTGAGCTTTTCTGATCAGAGTTCTTTGACTTCTATATGTCTGTACATGTTTATTACTGAAATATTTCATTTTCTCCAACTATTTCAATCAATCTGCAAATTTTAATTATTTTTTCATAACCATTCAGTGGACTTCTCTAATACAACGAAGAAAAATTTTGAAAGTTGTTTGGCATTAAATGCAATGAGTATTTTTATAGCTTTATATTTTTATACAATTTATACATGCACAGGGTCAGTATTTTTGTAACTTTGATGTGCTTTCACAGAATTTTTTTTACTTGCACTTACACAGTATCATCATATGTTTATTTTCATATACATGTATTTTTGATGATAATTTTTTTAACGACATTTAAATTTATGTTAAATAAACAGTTGGATGTAAATTGAAGAGAAAAATCTTTAAAAAGCTGTAAAAGGAAAACTATCTGTGCTTTAAGATAAAACAATTTTTTGTTAAGGATATTTCGTTGTACTTTTTCTTACATCCTGTTTTGATGAATTTTGCCTATTCAAATAATTGAAATTTAGACTGTACATATATTTTGACAGCAAGATTTTATCTTGGGATTTTGTTTTCGACCAAGAAACCTTGCTATCAGTGATGACATTAGCAAAAAAGTACAGTAGCTATTTATTGCAGAACTTTCTGCATTGATTGATTCCACCAGTTTCTCAATATATATATATATATATATATATATATATATATATATATATATTATAAAACACTAAAATGTTTATATACTATATACCTTTATCATAGATTCATAAAGTACCAGGATTTTGGACCTCCTGATTCCAAAAAAGCATGTGAACTTTATCTTACACCTTTATAAGGCCATCCATTGCATTTATTTTGTGTTTACCACACCTCTTTCTTGATCAGCTTTGTCAAGCATTTTTATTATAACTCTTTGTAGAAAGTATCACAATAACTGTCACAATTACCTGCATAGATGTTCATTTTCTAGATGTACAGTGAAAGCTGGCTAATCTGACATGCACTGGGATACAAATTTTGTGATATAGGGAGAGTGTCTAATTACAAATTGTAGTGCAAAAGGTACAGTGGAATGGAAAAAAAAGGTCGAATTCTGATGCAGTAAAACGGATTTCATAGATATCAAGTTAGACAGTTTTCACTGTACCATTGTTGTGCATTTATTTTGGCTCATTAGAATATCTAAAGAGTTTTAGAAAATATATGAAGATAAACAATTTTTGTCTCTTTATATATCTGTAAGCAGCCATTTTCTTTGTTATTTTACTTTCAATGTGTTAATTGTAACAACAATGGGATTTTTGGACACAAGACCTTGGCTTGATGTTGAAGTCTTACATTGATGCTTCATCTGTAGCAAAATTGTGATGTTACATATGCTTTATTTTCAGATTTGACTTATCATCTTATGTGCTTTGACCACTTTCTTTGTGGTTTAGTTTACATTGGGATTTATCTCTTGAAAGTCTTGCAAACTGCTCTAGCTTTGTTGAATAATGCTGTTTCAGAATCCAGTATTGTTCATGTTTTGTAAAAAAATTCCCCCACCACATTAGTTTATTTAAATTACGCTGAATATGACCACGTTTTGTATCTGTGTTTATTTTGTAATGTTTTAGATTAAACGCATGCATCAAATTATGATGATTATTGTACAAGCAAATTCTTTCAGTGTCTTTGTGGATGAGATGTCATTTTTTATGACACATTGTGTCTAATATGAACACCCTATCATATGTCATTTATTTAGAAATTATCACTGAAGTTGATTTTTAAAAAAAAAATAAGGTCAATTGTGAAGGTCAAGGTCAAGGGGTAAGAATTCATAGCATGCTCGGAAATATCTTGTCACAGGTAATGCACATGTCAAATATGAAAGTCCTATCTCTTCTCAATATAAGGAACAAGATGTGTCAAATTGTGAAACACAGATGACCTCGTATGGCAACATAACAAAGATTTAACATTTCTTAATTCAAATGAAATATATTTGATATTACCCAAAGTAAGGTTTTCAGACAAGAAATACGATTGTGAAATACAAAATCCCACCCCCCTGTTCAAAAGAAAGTTATGGCCAAGGATACATTTTTGAAAGGTAGGTCAAACTCCAAGGTGAAAGGATCTGAGTTGTTGATTTCTTTAAAAAGGTCACAAGTAATACATATGTGAAGGATGAAAACCCTAACCTTAACCGTTCAATAGTTATGGCCAAGGTAAAAGTTTTGGAAAAGTAAGTCAATCTCCAAGGTCAAGGTCAAAGGGTCAAAGTTCTTGGTATCCAATGAAAGGTCTTCTCATAAGGATTACATATGTGAAGTACGAAAGCCTTAGCCCTTACCGTTCAAATGTTATGGTCAAGGTTAAACTTTTTTTCAAAAGTACGGAAATCTCCACGGTCAAAGTCAAAATGTCAGAATGGTTGGTATCCAATGAAAGGCCTTGCCACAAAAAATACTTATGTGAAATATGTAAGTCCTAGTTTCTACCATTCAAAAGATATGGTCAAGGTTAAAGTTTTTTCATAAGTACGGAAATCTCCAAGGTCAAAAGGTCAAAGTTGTTGGTATCCAATGAAAGGTCTTGCGACAAAAAATACATATGTGCAAAAATATGAAGTCCTACATGTAGTATCTACCGTTCAAAAGTTGTGGCCATGGTCAAAGTTTTTGAAAATTAGGTCAATCTCCATGGTCAAGGTCAAAGGGTCAAAGTTCTTGGTATCCAATGAAAGGTCTTTTCACAAGGATTACATATGTGAAGTACGATTATCATAGCCCTAGCCCTTTCCGTTCAAAAGTTATGGTCAAGGTAAAAGTTTTTTCATAGGTCTCTAAGGTCAAGGTTAAAAGGTCAAAATTGTTGGTATCCAATGAAAGGCCTTGACACAAAAAATGCATATGTGAAATATGAAATTCCTAGTTTCTACTATTCAAAAGATATGGCCAAAGTAAAAGTTTGGATTTTTTGTGTAAAAGTGGGTCAAACTCCAAGGTCTAGGTCAAAAGGTCAAATATGGTGGTACCCAAAGAAAGGTCTTCTCACAAGGGACACACAAGTGAAATATGAAAGTCATAGCTCCACTAAATCAAAAATAATGGGCAAGGTTAAAGTTTTTGTGACGGACGGACAGACGAATGAGATTTAATGTCCCCTCGCTTTCGCTAAAGCGGGGGACAATAAAGAAGGCAATAAATTGTTATTTTATTCATTATGGTTTTATTTTGATCGGGATTGGTCCAAAATGAATTTTTTTTTTCAATTTGCCATTTCATTTCAATTTCTTGCCAAAAAGACTGAGACTAGTCAAAATTCACATATACTTTGATCATTGTAAACTTTAAGTGAATCATCGTGCATCTCCATCAGATAATAAAGGCTTGTCATAATTTTTAATTCTTATACCACCAACCTTTCACTTGCTATTTGACTTCGAATTAAAGTCATGACACTCCTTAGGTTCATAAACAGTACCTGTATCAGGTTCCAATGAGCAATCTTTGTATCAAGTACGAGCTCCTAGTATTTCTACATTGTTAAGTTAAAGTCTTAAAAAAATAATTTTACACTATTCTGCCTGTAACTTTGAACTTGCTGCATTGACACTGGATTAAAATAAGAACTTTCCTTATTTCAAAAACAATACCTGTACCAATTCTTTTCCAAATAAAGTTTTAGCAGAGACATTTTTTTTCTTTTTTCTACCAGTGACCTTGAAATCACCAAAATGACCTTGGATAAAGGTCAAAGCATATTCTTTGATCATAAGCAATATCTGTACCGAGTATGAGCTTCCACTGACTCTCCATTACAAAGTCAAGTTATGTCATACCTTTTTTCTACTAGTAACCTTGAACTAAATGGAATGACTGGATAAGATCATGACACATTTTTGGGTCATAAGCAATCCCTGTACCAGGTTTGAGCTTCCAGTGATTCTTTCTACAAAGTTATGACCCAGACAAAAATTTCATACTTTTAGGCCAGTGACCTTGAACTTGCAGGAATGACCTTGTGTCAGATCAGGACTCACTGTCGGGTCATTACAAGCAAGCTCTATAACAAGTATAAGCTTCCAATGTTTCCATATATCAAAGTTAGAGCCTAGACAAAATTACATTCACAGACAATGTGATTCCTATATATCCCTAAAACTTCCTTTGTTTGGGGTAAAAAGAGAAGTTTCATTACAAGGAATATACATTTGAAATATGAAAGCCCTAGCACTAATCATTCACATCATTTTGTTTTACCAAAGTAGGTCAAAGTCTAACTTAAAGGTTAAAAAAAGTTCAAAAGGAATGGCCATGGGTAGTAAAAATTAGTAAATTTGGAGACACATAAACAGACAGACAGTTTATCAAAATATGCCCCCAAATCTTCAATTATAGAGGTGGAATAAAAACTCAACAAGTTTAATTCCATGACAAACAGACTGTATAATAGTGTATTTTAATATATATGATAAATTCAAACTGACATAAATTAATCATGTATCACAAGGGACAAACACAGTTTTTACAATTACATGTACATCAGTTATGCTTTTCAAGAAAAATTGAAAAAATATGAAACATCTAGAAAATCTTCATATACTACTTGTGTATGAAGTAGAACATGCTTATAGAACTTGACAAGGAAAAATATTTCATAAAAAACTTAAATTACTTAGAACCTCAGTAACAACTAAAAGAAGGAAAAAGTGTTGCATACAAAGATAAAACTAAATTAGATAAGCAAGAAGCCCATGGGCCACATCACTCACCTGAGTAACTTTGGCCATTATGTTATTAAACAGATTTCCCCCTAATACCTATCTTGACCTTTCCCAATCCCCAGGGGTCATGATCCAAGCAATTTAGAATCTACACTAGTAACACTACCCCAGGATGCTTCCACAGAAGTTTAGCTTTTCTGGCCCAGTGGTTCTTGAGAAGATTTTTTTATGACCCCACCCTATTTTTGTATATTCTTGACAATTTCCCCTCGGAAGGGGACTTTATTTTTATAATTTAAACTCCCACTACCCAAGGATGTTTTGTACTAAGTTTGGTCAAAATTGGCCCAATGGTTCTCAAGAATAAGCTGAAAATGTGAAAAGTTTACAGATGAATGGACAGTCAGACGGATGGACGACGGACAACAGGTGATCAGAAAATCTCATATGAGCTAAAAACTGCAAGGCCTGCTATGTAAATCAAAGGAGAGAAAATATAAAAGAATTTAGATTTTGCATATTGTTATATTTATTTATAATCTAAAACACTAAAAAATAATAATGTTACAATGAGATCACTTTATCTTTTCTAGCAATTTTCAAACTAAAATTAGATATCATTGAGATGGTGGCCATCTCAAAGGGTCCCACTTTCAGCAATGAACATAAAAATGTAAAGTAGCTGAAAGGGGTTTTAACCTTGACTCTTGGCCTAGAAACTTTGTTCAAGGTCACTACACATCCATTGACCAGTGGCACTCTGTGAGAGAAGTATTAGCCACATTGGACCAAGGGGAGAAAGCATATGCTCTGGACAAGGATTCACAATAAAAAAAATTACCTCCCTTTCTCTTAAGCTTAGATATTCAGACAAGCACTGATTTACCTCTCTTGATATTTTTGCTTAAAAATCCAATCTTTAACTTTTTTAAATTAAAAAATATAATATACAGATACAAAAAAAAACATTCAGAAAAAATAACGTAGTATATGAAAAGTTGTACAATAATGTAGTAACACAACGTTGAGTGATCTGCTGTGGATGTCATATGATCATGAGTTATCCTTAATGAGTTACATGTATGTACTCAGCATGGTACACTCCAGAGTTATGTACTCAGCATGGTACACTGAATCCTGAGAATTAAGCTGTTTACTGTGTCCATCACTTTGTAGATATTAGTACATACTCAACTCTGTCCATTGGATTCTGTGAGTTAAGCTATTTAGTGTGTCCATCACTTTGTAGATAACAATGTACTCAGCACGGTCCATTGAATTCTGTCAGTTAAGCTATTTAGTGTGTCCATCACTTTGTAGATATATAACAATGTTCTCAGCACGGTCCATTGAATTCTGTCAGTTAAGCTATTTAGTGTGCCCATCACTTTGTAGATATATAATAATGTACTCAGCACTATCCATTGAATTCTTTGAGTTGAGTTATTTAGTGTGTCCATCACTTGCAGTCCAAACCTTAAATTACTCTCTGCACTATTGTTGAAGCATATTTGTCTGCTATCAAAGAAACATGAAATTGATGGCAGTCTGCCTGTAAAAAAAAGAAATCACAAGGACTCAACATAAATATTAATAAAATCTTAATAAATGAAAAATAGCTAACATATTTTTACAGAATAGAAGGATTTTGCAGAGCTTGTACATGTGTCTTACCTTTATTTTCAGGTCCCATAGTTGATCTCTTTGGAGTCTTGAGGAATCATGTTGATCTGCTTTTGGAAACAGGATCAATGCCAGCATAACCGCCTGCCTATTAACAAAAAGACACTAAGAATCCAAGCAATGAGAGAGTCAAAATCTCCTCTAATTCACATAATGCAAGGTCTAGAGCTTTACATGCATCTGATCTGACTAACCATCAATGTTTAGGTTAGACAGTAGTAAGTCCTTACTTTCCACATTCTTGTTAACTGATTGAGATCAGTCTCATCTTCTACTTGTTAACAAAGGAAATCCAAAGATAATGAAAAAAACATGAACAAAAATACCTTGTGCCAAAATGTTCACCTGAGTCACCTTGACTTTGTCATCAAAAGAAAAATTCTTAATTCATATTTTTTTTACTAATCCTAGTCCAAAGGGATCATGATGTAACGTAATTTGAAACAACACATCCTCGGGATGCCCTATTGTTATAATGCAACACAGTCTTGCTGTTGTGCAGCAGAAGTAAATCCCCCTGGACCTATGATTTGATAAGTGTATAAAGAAAATTTGTAAATTGCAAAAAATAAATCTTTTTACCCACTCCTTAATCAGATATTGGCTGCTGTACAAAGCTTGGCAATAGACTCTTCTTTTTCTTCACTTGGTCAGCACTGGTCCTCTTCCCTTGTCAAATTCCTTGAAAATACTTGATGGAGAGAAGATAAGCAATAATACAAAGCAATGTAATAATCACAGAAATTCAAATGAACATAATCATTACAACATTATTAGCTTGAAAATCAAAAAGCAAATAAAGACAATAAGGTTATGATAGCTAGGAATAAGGTGGAATATTGGGGCAAGGAGAGGAAAGCATAGTTACTTTAGAGTAGGGAGGACAAAGATATGTCAGAAATAATTAAATAAAAAATACTTGTAAGACTCCTGCCTGTTAAAGTGGGTCATTGAAGTTCCATAGGTGAAAAAGAAGTAAAGTCTGATTCTTACTGAAAGTATTCTCCTCATGGCTGCAGCGGAATGGGAAAGGGACTCTTCCTCACTTAGAATTCCTGGTCAGTCTTAACTTTCTTCTGCTTAAAAAGATAAAACAGAGACATAAAAGGGGAAACACTTGCACTTAATACCAAGTGAGAAGCTTCAGTAAAAAGCAGCTTGTTGCTTACCACTTTTGAAACATAATACCTGCAAAACACAGACAGGAATAGACTCTTCTTATATTAATGACCTTGGTCCTCCATTGTTGTTCCTCTTCTGAATCAAAGGGGAACTGAAATCTGTCAATTGAAGGTCCAGATGTTAAAGCTTGGTACAGCCAACATCAATAGGCAAGCAAAGATACAAGAAGTAAAATCTGAATCTTACCCTGCTTTCTGCTGCTGTATGCAGTTCAATGAGAGAGGGAGTCCTCCTCACTTCAGGATCCTGTTCAGCCTTAAAAGTATTCCTTTAAAAAGATAAAAATTAACAGACACCAAAAGAGGATCACTTGCACTTCATACCAAGTGAGAAGATTTCTAAAATAAACTAGTGGCCAATGGGCAATATGCTCACCTAAGCATATTGGCTAGTAAATGACAAATTAGTCCAGTATTGAAAAGTATAAAATTTAGGAAGAGGAGAAGGGGGCTTGAATAACTACCTGGAGACATTTTCATATCAATAACAATGGCTTAGCTGTTCTTGAACATAAAATTTTTTCCTATATATTCCTTTGTTAAAATTTTATCCCCATTGATGCCCCTCCCTGCCCCCTGGAATCAAGATTTGGACAAATTTGAATCTACACTACCTAAGGATGCTTCCATATCAATATGACTATATATGGCTTTGGTATTATTGAGAAGACGTTTCCTATATACTGTAAATCACTTAATTTTCGCGACACCTTATTTTCGCGAGATAGTCAATGACTCTTCATTAGCGAGACAAAATTTTCAAAATTGTGGTCATTGCTCTATATAATCTTAAGGAATTATATTATACGCGAGAATGAAATTTTCGCGACCATACCGTCTCGCGTAATAATGTGAAAATAAAGTTCTCGCGAATAAAAAGTGATTTACAGTATTCCCCTGTCCATTTTGATCCACCATTGGGGCCCTGCCCTACACCTGGGAGTCATGATTTGAACAAACTTAAATCTACACTACATGAAGATGCTACCGTATACATATCACCAGTCATGACATATTTGTTTCTGAGAAGATTTCTAAAAATATTTCCAATATAATCCAATGTAAAACTTTGATTGTCCAATGTGGCCCAAACCTTTTCCCGGTAGACATGATTTGAACAAAATGAAATCTTCACTACCAAAAAGGATGATTTGCTATCAATATAACTAATTGTGGCTTGAGAAAAAAAAAGTATATCCCTACATACTGTAGATTCCTAAATATGTGCGTGGAATTAATTTTCGCGTAATTTCGTGAGAAGCACCACACACAAAATTAAATTACTCGCCTTTATTTTTATGGCGCTGAAATCTATGTAAAATCTCTTAACCAACCATGCATTTGCGAATTATTATTCTTGTGATTTGACGGTGAAAAGCCTATTCGCGATAATTACTCGCGAAAAATAAGGAATCTACAGTATTATATATATTTTTGATCCCCTATTCTGACACCAACATGGGGTCTTGATTTGACTAATTTTGAATCTACACTACCTGAGGATGATGCCACATAAGTGTCTCTTTCCTGTCTCAGTGGTTCTTGAAAAGAAGATTTTTAAAAGATGTCCTTAATTTTTCTCTTATTTGTAGTAATCTTCCATTTGAAGAGGGAGTGGGCCTTCATTTGAATAAACTTAAATCCCATAATGGCATTTATCCAAGGATACTCTTTGCCAAGTTTCGTTGAATTTGACCAAAGATGAAAATGTGAAATTTTACAAACAAGAGGCCCATGGGCCACATCGCTCACCTGAGAAGCTTTGACCACTCTGTTCTTTACCAGATTTCCCCCTTGTAACACATATTGTGACCCCACCCTACCCCACTGATCAAAATTTAGACAATTTGAAATCTACACTACCCCAGGATGCTTCCACATAAGTTTCAGCTTTTCTGGCCCAGTGGTTCTTAAGAAGAAGATTTTCAAAGATTTTTCCTATATATTTCTATGTAAAACTTTGATTCCCCATTGTGGCCCCGCCCTACCCCCGGTGGTCATGATTTGAACAATTTAGAATCTGCACTACCCCAGGATGCTTCCACACAAGTTTCAGCTTTTCTGGCCCAGTGGTTCTTGAGCAGAGGATTTTCAAAGATTTTTTCTATATATTTCTATGTAAAAATTTGATTCCCCATTGTGGCCCCGCCCAACCGCCGGGGGTCATGATTTGAACAATTTAGAATCTACACTACCCCAGGATGCTTCCACAGAAGTTTCAGCTTTTCTGGCCCAGTGGTTCTTGAGAAGATTTTTTAATGACCCCACCCTAGTTTTGTCTTTTCTTGATTATCTCCCCTTGTGAGGGGACTTGGCCCTTCATTTTAACAATTTAAATTCCCCTTCACTCAAGAATGCTTGGTACCAAGTTTGGTCAAAATTGGCCCAGTGGTTCTTGAGAAGAAGTCGAAAAAGTGAAAAGTTTACAGATGGACGGACGGACAGACGACGGACAAAATGTGATCAGAAAAGCTCACTTTAGCCTTTGGCTCAGGTGAGCTAAAAAGATGACAAAGACATAAAATGAACAAAGGTTCACTTCTTTTAAAAACCAGCACTTATATCAATTGATTCTACTACTAAATTGGGTTTGTGATCAGGAGAGATCCTATATGAGATGTTTACCAATGCTTTTGAGACTCATCTTCCCGTGCGCCCTTGCGAACTTAGCCTGGGACAAAATGATACCCAGTATCCGTCTGCTTCCACGTGGAGGCATCGCATAGGACTTGTTGTGGAGAGGCTATGTACTGGCAGGGGAAGTCATACGAATTTCTTCCCCCTTTTCGCATTGCTGCTAGCCAGCGGTGATGGCTGAAAGCGAGAGGTGACAAGCACACAGACACTAACACCAACACACTAGACGCGTCACACAACATTTAGCAGACGTTAGTAGTTTTAGTAGCTTGTTACTTGTTCAGGGTTCTCCATTGTTTGAAATTTTACTGTGTTGCAGAGTTTACGCAAAGCACTAAAATTTCACGGTATTTTAGCGATCAAATTTGCAACTGACTCACTATTCATTATAATTACTTAAGAATACATGCACACAATTTAAAAAAAAAAAAATCACCAATTCGTTACAAAAATAGTATGGTCGAACATATTAGCACATGTTGTGAAATGCAGAGGAAATTCTTGTCTATAAAGTTGAACTACTTACAATTTTTTAAAGCAAATTTGTCATAATTTTTTTGTCAATTTTATTGATCGAATTAAGGAATTACAAAAAAAGAGACTTCGGAATAGTAAAATACTTTTAAAAGTTCCTTGATTGAAAACTATTTATTTACATCAAGTGAATGATTTTGGTACAGTGTTATGTTTGATTTACATTGCAAACATAATTCTAGAGCCATGGCTCTAAAGAAAAGACATTTAAATATATTTTTAAAAATAATACAATGTACTTTAATTGCAACTACTAGTACCAATTAAGCGTTACATGGAAGTTTGAAATCCAATTTTTTGTCTTTGTTCCTTCATGCGTCAAGTCCATTGAGGGTCTAGGAAATAATTGATTATGCAAGGTGAAAGCATAATTAAGTGATCTAGATATCGTATAGAATTGAAAGACGGTAGAATTGTTTGATCAATTATGTTTCAGATGAGAGAAGTGCAAATGAGAGTAGAAATTTGTTGTTTTTATTTTTTTTATTATCACAGATTGTGTAAAATGGCAAAAATTTTTTTAACCCTTCAGATAAAAACTTGAATACACCTTTTGAGAATGTTTCATGCTCTTGTTGCAAAACACAGAATTTTGAAGAGTTTTTTATATTTTTTAATTGTGGCCTGACCAACAAGATGAATTTGAAATATGTCAATGAACCCTTATTAATGCTACTGTACATGAAAGTTTGTGTTAGGTATAAAGTTTTTCCAACATCAATGTCTAAATACAATTGGAATAAAATCTGAATCTTACCTAAGCTACACATAAAAATGCTGTGTTCAAAGAGAGAGGGAGGTCTCCTCACACTAAAAAGTTTTTGATTCTCTTAATTCAAAAACAGACAAAAAACTTGACACTTTAATAAAGTGAGAACTTTTTTTCTCAACTATGCTGTTATGAAAAGCTTACTAGTATGAATTTACTATTAGACCAAGTTTGATAAAAATATAATTTGGTTTATTTAAAACTTAAAAAAAATAAACACATATTTTAAAAAGTGAACAAAATTCAAAATAAGCTTATGCATTAAATCCATTAATCTTTAGTGCATTGAAGTTTCTAGACATTAATTTTGAAAAATCCTGTCAAGTTCAATAAAATGTAATAATATGTATCCATGTAAGTTTCCACAAGAAATTTTTGTTTAGTGAAGGTGAAAAGAGGTCATGCAACTTTGGATAACTAACTTTGGCTAATGGAAAGTAGATTAAGGGTGGATGGATAAATGACAAAACTATTTTCCTAATCATATCAATAAAAAACTTTGAATCTTCATTAAATGAGGATGTTTCCATATGATTATACAAGCAAATTCAAAAACACTGCTTTCTGTGTCTTTGAAAGATAATTTATGGCAGATTGACTCAAAATGCACCCCTATCATATGTCAATTTATATTAGGTCAAAGGGGAAAAATCATTGCAGAAATATTTTGTTGCAAATGTACATGTTAAAAAATCAATCTCACATCAAAAGTTATATATTATATTATATAATATTTTTGAAAAGTGTTAAACACAAAATAATATATTTAGTCTTTTCAATGTAATATAAAATAATTTGAAATCTATTTCTCTTTCAAAATGAAACACCATTTAAAATGTTATTTTTTGGAAAGTAGGTCAAAATTTAAGTTAATGTCTACACTTACAAGATACTTCCAGAGAAGTTATGCTGGTATATCTACAGTGGTATCACCATCATACTTTATTTAATGTTTCCCTTTGAGGGGACTTGGGGGAAAATAATGCCCTTCACTAAAACCAAGTTTGAGAAAAATTGGCCCATGATTGAAAAATTCGATATTTCTTGCAAATCAATATTGTGTTAATTTACAATTGTTTGTTTGTTTTTCAGGAATTTTGATCAGAAAACTCACTTGGAGAGCCTTTGGCAAGTCAGGTGAGCTAAAACTTCAAAGACTAAAATGAACAAATGTTCACTCCTTACAAACCAGCATGTTTATTCAATTGAAAAGATTTACATTTTTAAATTGTTTATGCAAATATAATCCAAGAGAAATTGTTCATTACCAATGCTTTTGAATAAAAATCATTGTTGCGTCCTTGCGAACTTAGCCTGGAGACAAAATGATACCCAATTATCCGTCTGCTTCCACGTGGAGGCATCGCATAGGACTTGTTGTGGAGAGGCTATGTACTGGCAGGGGAAGACCCCACCATAAATTTCTTCCCCCTTTTCTGAATTGCTGCTAGCCAGCGGTGATGGCTTCAAAGTGAGAGGTGACAAGCACACAGACACTAACACCAACACACTAGACGTTTCACACAACATTTAGCAGACGTTGTAGTTTTAGTAGCTTGTTACTTGTTAAATTGTTTGAAATTTTACTGTGTTGCAGAGTTTACGCAAAGCACTAAAATTTCACGGTACATCATCAAATTTGAGACTCACTATTCATTATAATTACTTAAGAATACATGCACACAATGTTTTAAAAAAAAAAAAAATCACCAATTTCTTCGAACATATTAGCACATGTTGTGAAATGCAGAGGAAATTCTTGTCATGTAAAGTTGAACTACTTACAATTTTTTAAAGCAAATTTGTCATAATTTTTTTGTCAATTTTATTGATCGAATTACAGGAAACAAAAAAGAGACTTCAGAATAGTAAAATACTTTTAAAAGTTCCTTGAAAATTGAAAACTATTTATTTACATCAAGTAAATGATTTTGGTACAGTGTTATGTTTGATTTACATTGCAAACATAATTCTAGAGCCATGGCTCTAAAGAAAAGACATTTAAATATATTTTTAAAAATAATACAATGTACTTTAATTGCAACTACTAGTACCAATTAAGCGTTACATGGAAGTTTGAAATCCAATTTTTTGTCTTTGTTCCTTCATGCGTCAAGTCCATTGAGGGTCTAGGAAATAATTGATTATGCAAGGTGAAAGCATAATTAAGTGATCTAGATATCGTATAGAATTGAAAGACGGTAGAATTGTTTGATCAATTATGTTTTAGATAGAGAGAATTTGTATGTTTCAATTTTTTTTTTTTTTATTATCACAGATCTTACTGTGTCAGCAAAATTTTTAATGTGTCGCACAGATAAAATTTGAATCTTTACTGTGTCGGAGAACATTTTTCTGTGTCGGGACCAACACAGTAAAACAGCTCATGGAGAACCCTGCTTGTTAGGGTGTTAATCATGCAAACCTATCCACCACAAGCACTAATCATGCACTAACTAACAAATACCTTAATTACAATAATAACCTACACTCCTCTAAGCTGTCTAACTATCAACTAAAGCCTACTTACTAACTCAAACTACAACACAACTGCACCTACCGGAAATACTATACAAACTAAACCTAAGACTAAGAAACACCTTTGTAACGCTACTTACAACTACTATACACCCCATACTTTCTGAATGCAGCAGAAAACACTCCAGACTGACCTTCAGAGGTGGCTATCTCTGCTTCCTGTCAATTCAAACTCAAGAGGTCAAAGCCTGAAAAAGCCAACATCAATTGGAAAGCCATAATATTGGGAAAAGGTGCTCAGAGGTCAAGTATGAATCTTACCGCACTTTCTGCTCATGAACGCTGTTAAATGGGAGAGGGACTGCTCTTCGAGTCTTCAGGATCCTGGTCAGCCTCAAATTTCTTCTGCTTAAAAAGAGAAAACAAACACATCAAAGGAGAATCACTCACATTCCCTAACAAATGACAAACTTCATTTAAATAATCAATTTGTTACTTACAACCTTGAGCCATATTGGTTGCTGCATAGAGATGGGAAATGGACTCGTCATCTGTCTTCCTGCTGTTGGTCGACCCTGCTCCTCCATCGTTGTTCCTCTTCCCAGTCCCTGAAAGTATAAAACTGGCACAATGTTAGTAAAACTTCAAAAGAATGCAACAAATCACGAAAAGTTACTTACCACTTTGGGCCATGTTGGCTGCTGTATAGAGATGGGAAATGGACTCGTCATCTCGTCTTCCTCTGTTGGTCGACCCTGCTCCTCCATCGTTGTTCCTCTTCCCAGTCCCTGAAAGTATAAAACTGGCACAATGTTAGTAAAACTTCAAAAGAATGCAACAAATCACGAAAAGTTACTTACCACTTTGGGCCATGTTGGCTGCTGTATAGAGATGGGAAATGGACTCGTCATCTCGTCTTCCTCTGTTGGTCGACCCTGCTCCTCCATCGTTGTTCCTCTTCCCAGTCCCTGAAAGTATAAAACTGGCACAATGTTAGTAAAACTTCAAAAGAATGCAACAAATCACGAAAAGTTACTTACCACTTTGGGCCATGTTGGCTGCTGTATAGAGATGGGAAATGGACTCGTCATCTCGTCTTCCTCTGTTGGTCGACCCTGCTCCTCCATCGTTGTTCCTCTTCCCAGTCCCTGAAAGTATAAAACTGGCACAATGTTAGTAAAACTTCAAAAGAATGCAACAAATCACGAAAAGTTACTTACCACTTTGGGCCATGTTGGCTGCTGTATAGAGATGGGAAATGGACTCGTCATCTCGTCTTCCTCTGTTGGTCGACCCTGCTCCTCCATCGTTGTTCCTCTTCCCAGTCCCTGAAAGTATAAAACTGGCACAATGTTAGTAAAACTTCAAAAGAATGCAACAAATCACGAAAAGTTACTTACCACTTTGGGCCATGTTGGCTGCTGTATAGAGATGGGAAATGGACTCGTCATCTCGTCTTCCTCTGTTGGTCGACCCTGCTCCTCCATCGTTGTTCCTCTTCCCAGTCCCTGAAAGTATAAAACTGGCACAATGTTAGTAAAACTTCAAAAGAATGCAACAAATCACGAAAAGTTACTTACCACTTTGGGCCATGTTGGCTGCTGTATAGAGATGGGAAATGGACTCGTCATCTCGTCTTCCTCTGTTGGTCGACCCTGCTCCTCCATCGTTGTTCCTCTTCCCAGTCCCTGAAAGTATAAAACTGGCACAATGTTAGTAAAACTTCAAAAGAATGCAACAAATCACGAAAAGTTACTTACCACTTTGGGCCATGTTGGCTGCTGTATAGAGATGGGAAATGGACTCGTCATCTCGTCTTCCTCTGTTGGTCGACCCTGCTCCTCCATCGTTGTTCCTCTTCCCAGTCCCTGAAAGTATAAAACTGGCACAATGTTAGTAAAACTTCAAAAGAATGCAACAAATCACGAAAAGTTACTTACCACTTTGGGCCATGTTGGCTGCTGTATAGAGATGGGAAATGGACTCGTCATCTCGTCTTCCTCTGTTGGTCGACCCTGCTCCTCCATCGTTGTTCCTCTTCCCAGTCCCTGAAAGTATAAAACTGGCACAATGTTAGTAAAACTTCAAAAGAATGCAACAAATCACGAAAAGTTACTTACCACTTTGGGCCATGTTGGCTGCTGTATAGAGATGGGAAATGGACTCGTCATCTCGTCTTCCTCTGTTGGTCGACCCTGCTCCTCCATCGTTGTTCCTCTTCCCAGTCCCTGAAAGTATAAAACTGGCACAATGTTAGTAAAACTTCAAAAGAATGCAACAAATCACGAAAAGTTACTTACCACTTTGGGCCATGTTGGCTGCTGTATAGAGATGGGAAATGGACTCGTCATCTCGTCTTCCTCTGTTGGTCGACCCTGCTCCTCCATCGTTGTTCCTCTTCCCAGTCCCTGAAAGTATAAAACTGGCACAATGTTAGTAAAACTTCAAAAGAATGCAACAAATCACGAAAAGTTACTTACCACTTTGGGCCATGTTGGCTGCTGTATAGAGATGGGAAATGGACTCGTCATCTCGTCTTCCTCTGTTGGTCGACCCTGCTCCTCCATCGTTGTTCCTCTTCCCAGTCCCTGAAAGTATAAAACTGGCACAATGTTAGTAAAACTTCAAAAGAATGCAACAAATCACGAAAAGTTACTTACCACTTTGGGCCATGTTGGCTGCTGTATAGAGATGGGAAATGGACTCGTCATCTCGTCTTCCTCTGTTGGTCGACCCTGCTCCTCCATCGTTGTTCCTCTTCCCAGTCCCTGAAAGTATAAAACTGGCACAATGTTAGTAAAACTTCAAAAGAATGCAACAAATCACGAAAAGTTACTTACCACTTTGGGCCATGTTGGCTGCTGTATAGAGATGGGAAATGGACTCGTCATCTCGTCTTCCTCTGTTGGTCGACCCTGCTCCTCCATCGTTGTTCCTCTCCCGAGTCCCTGAAAGTATAAAACTGGCACAATGTTAGTAAAACTTCAAAAGAATGCAACAAATCACGAAAAGTTACTTACCACTTTGGGCCATGTTGGCTGCTGTATAGAGATGGGAAATGGACTCGTCATCTCGTCTTCCTCTGTTGGTCGACCCTGCTCCTCCATCGTTGTTCCTCTTCCCGAGTCCCTGAAAGTATAACACTGGCACAATGTTAGTAAAACTTCAAAAGAATGCAACAAATCACGAAAAGTTACTTACCACTTTGGGCCATGTTGGCTGCTGTATAGAGATGGGAAATGGACTCGTCATCTCGTCTTCCTCTGTTGGTCGACCCTGCTCCTCCATCGTTGTTCCTCTTCCCAGTCCCTGAAAGTATAAAACTGGCACAATGTTAGTAAAACTTCAAAAGAATGCAACAAATCACGAAAAGTTACTTACCACTTTGGGCCATGTTGGCTGCTGTATAGAGATGGGAAATGGACTCGTCATCTCGTCTTCCTCTGTTGGTCGACCCTGCTCCTCCATCGTTGTTCCTCTTCCCAGTCCCTGAAAGTATAAAACTGGCACAATGTTAGTAAAACTTCAAAAGAATGCAACAAATCACGAAAAGTTACTTACCACATTAGGCCATGTTGGCTGCTGTATAGAGATGGGAAATGGACTCGTCATCTCGTCTTCCTCTGTTGGTCGACCCTGCTCCTCCATCGTTGTTCCTCTTCCCAGTCCCTGAAAGTATAAAACTGGCACAATGTTAGTAAAACTTCAAAAGAATGCAACAAATCACGAAAAGTTACTTACCACTTTGGGCCATGTTGGCTGCTGTATAGAGATGGGAAATGGACTCGTCATCTCGTCTTCTTCTGTTGGTCGACCTTGCTCCTCCATCGTTGTTCCTCTTCCGAGTCCCTGAAAGTATAAACTGGCACAAGATTAGTAAGACTTCAAAACAATGCAACAAATCACAAAAATTCAAGTGAATAAAATCAGTACAACACAATTCGTTGAAAAATCAGAAAACAATGACAGTGAATTCAGGAAGACGAATGAGGGGGAAAGGGAAGGGGATGGTTAGTTATGTTAGAGTCAGCAGGGGCCAGGGGGTAGGGGAAAGAAGGGAGAAAATCAAAAATACTTCCATATAAGCTTCCTTTGCTGTTGCTGTGGCTTCTGGTGATGTTTCTTCTGAACTGTCTCAGCATTTCTGCTTCCTGTCAATTCAAAATCAATAGGTCAAAGCCTGACAAAGCCAACATCAATTGGAAAGCCAAAATACTGGGAAAAGGTACAAAGAGGTCAAGTATGAATCTTACCCCATTTTCTGCTCATGAATGCTGTTAAATGGGAAAGGGACTGCTCCTCACTTCAGGATCCTGGTCAGCCTCAAATTTCTTCTGCTCTTATAAAGAGAAAACAGACACATCATAGGGGAGACACTCTCATTTCACATGAAGTATGAAACTTCATTTAAAAGCATAGATAATCAAAGATTATGAAGCTCACCTCGACGAATGTTATCAGTTTAAGTAATGCAAATCTCACATCATATTTCCTTAACAGTTAGTATTTATCCTGACAACAATATTCAAGCAAATTCTGTTTAAATAGGTTTTAAAGTTCATTGAGGATTGACATTTTCCAAATACTTGAACCTGGTCACTCGTTTGAAGAATGCAGGTCAGATCCAGCATCCAAAGCAAGTTTCAAATGTCCATCTTTAGAAGCTTCATCCATGCAAGTTTGGTCAGGGTAGAGCTGAGTTGGGAATAATTTCATCACTCATCTGGAAAAAGTAGGTCAGATCAAGCATCCAAAGCAAGTCTGGTAGTGTCCATTCCTAGATGCATCATCCATGCTTGTTTGGATCGGGTAGGACTTACAGTTTCTTGGGAATGGACCTGCTCCAAAAACCTTAACCTGGTCACTCATCTGGAAAATGTGGGTCAGATCCAGCATCTGAAGCAAGTCTGGTAGTGTCCATTCCTAAATGCATCATCCATGCAATTTTGGTCCAGGTACAACTTATACTTACTAGAACATGGACTTGCTCCTAAAACTCTACCATGGCACAAATGCTAACCCTGAGGCTGGTGTCAGGGTATAGCATAACTACATCTTGACTTTGTTGAGGTAAGTTCAAGTTCAAAATAAAGCTTTAAGGTAAAAAAAATTTTTGCATTTGAATAACCTTCATCAATATCTCTAATTTGATTGTGATTATTCAACAGGTTAATAGTTATATTAGAATGACTATTTCCAAATATTTCCTTGCTCCAAAAATTTTGACTCTTTCACTCATCCATAAAATGTAGGTTGGATTCAGAATCTAAAGCAAGCCTGGTAATGGATCCATGAAAGATTGGTCAAAATAGGCCTTATAGTTACTTGGAAATGAGACTAGCTCAAAAAACTTTTAACCTAGTCACTCATATTAAAAATAAAGGCCAGATTCAGCATCTGAGGCAAGCCTGGTAGTGTACTTCCATATATTTTATTTTTTAGATGTACATGAACGATTCTTGTAAGTTTGGTCAAAATACTTGGAAATGACACCTGCTTCAAAAACATTAACCTGATCATTCCTTTAAATTAGCTGAAATTGCAGTCTCTGAAACCCTGGTTGGTACAATGAAACACATTTGAAGCATCTTACATACATCCCTTAGGGGCTAGGACATAGATGTACTTAAAAAGAAGTCTGCTCCAAAAACTTTCATCTGGGACACCAACACTTGCACTGATCCCATGGGTGTTACTAAGATTCCTGTCCACATCATATTGGTGAGCAAAAAAATGATTAAAATGCATATTTTTTATGCCATCTCTGATTTGATGAATAAAGAACTTTATTCGGTAATAACCAATATTTGCCCCCTAAATCAAACTTTGATGAAGATATATTTAATTAAGTTCTTAAATAGTGGAGTGTATGCTGACTTCAAAGCGCTGAATATTTTCATAAGGAATGACGCCATATTTATGTAATGACGTCACAAACATGACGTAAATTTCAGTTTTTAATGAATTTTACAGAAAAATGTACATATTTCGTCGATATTTTGAGTAAAAGTCACCGAGCGCATGTGTGTTCAGGATCAATATTTTGATATAAAGTGTAGATTGATAATATCAATGAAATATGTCAATATTGTTCCTGAACAAACTTGCGCTCTATAAATTTTAAAGCTAAGATTGTTGAAATTTTGTCCATTTTGTCCTCTTTCTGAAAAAGGATGTAAAATCGGACTACTTTGTGACGTCATGAAAACAAAAATTGTGAATACACTGCTTTGACACTATAATATTTTAATGTTAATTTATATTTCTCATACAATTTATTGAATTCAGCACATTTCAGGAAGTTTTCAAAATTTGACTTTTGTGGGGGCAAATATATGCAATATACCGCATATATGCAAGAAAAAAGTCATGCCGACAACCTCACCGCTTGATTTCCAGCAGAATCCGGAAAGGGGGCAAAACATCAATTGGCTGGGCGATTCCATTTGAGAAAAAAGTGACATTTGGTTGAAATTTAAAAACAAGAGGCCCATGGGCCACATCGCTCACCTGAGTAACTTGGGTGATGAAGTTCTTTACCAGATTTCCCCTCTTGCTATACCTATCATGCCCCCTTACACCGTCCCTTTTCCAGATTTTAATATTTTAGAATCTACAATACCCCAGGATGCTTCCACATAAGTTTCAGCTTTCCTGGCCCAGAGGTTCTTGGGAAGAAGATTCTTAAAAGATTTTTCCTAAATACAGTGTATATCTGTGTAAAACTTGGATTCCCTATTGTGGCCCCACCCTACCCCCGGGGGTTATGATTTGAACAATTTAATATCTACACTACCCAAGGATGCTTCCACATAAGTTTCAGCTTTCCTAGCCAAGTGGTTCTTGAAAAGAAGATTCTTAAAGATTTTTTCTATATATTTCTTTGTAAAATTTGCATTCCCTATTGTGGCTCCGCCCTACCCCTGGGGGTCATGATTTTAAAATTTAATATCTACGCTACCCAAGGATGCTTCCACATAAGTTTCAGGTTTCCTGGCCCAGTGGTTCTTGAGAAGAAGATTTTTAAAGATTTGTTCTATATTTTTGCATGTAAAACTTGGGTTCCCTATCGTGGTCCTGCCCTACTCCCGGGGTCATGATTTTAACAATTCAATATCTACACTACCCAAGGATACTTCCACAAAAGTTTCAGCTTTCCTGGCCCAGTTGTTTTTGAGAAGAAGATTTTTAAAGATTTGTTCTATATATTTCTATGTAAAATTTGGATTCCCTATTGTGGCTCCACCCTACCCCCGGGGGTCATGATTTTAACAATAAAATATCTACGCTACCCAAGGATGCTTCCACATAAGTTTCAGCTTTCCTGGCCCACTGGTTCTTGAGAAGAAGATTTTTTAATGACCCCACCCTATTTTTGTCTTTTCTTGATTATCTCCCTTTGTAAGGGAACTCGGCCCTTCATTTCAATAATTTAAACTCCCCTTTACCCAAGGATGCTTTGTACCAAGTTTGGTTAAAATTGGCCCATTGGTTCTTGAGAAGAAGTCGAAAATGTGAAAAGTTTACAGACGGACAGACGACGGACAAAATGTGATCAGAAAAGCTCAATTGAGCCTTCGGCTCAGGTGAGCTAAAAAACTATAATTTTGTCATTTTTCTATTTATGTAAATAAATATTAGTTTATCTTTTATTTGCAAGGTACTCATTGACTTTTTTACTTGCATATGAGGTATTAAGGTACAGGAGTACCTCCCTCTTTTTCAAAAGGGAGGGGAGTTTAGTGTGGTATGAGTGTGTGCAGGTATGTGTTAACTTGACACTGTGTGCAATGCGCAAGTGTGAGTACGTTGTTGTCTGTTGTGCATGGAGGTGTGTAGATCTAGTCACATGTATTGCAGGAGAGATTGCGTATTATAATATTGTAAGTCTTGTATGATTAATGCTGAATACAAATATAAACAATTACTATCATTGTCAGTTTATACATACAATACTTCAACATTCACTCAATCAGTATTTGGAGCACGTCGTTTATATATTTATTTGAACATCAATTAGATTATACATTACAGAGTCCAAATATATTATAACCAAATTTTGTTTGTTTTGATTGTCTGTTGGAAATCTTCTTTGGTGAAATTGGGAAAACACATACTTTTTGCCATTATGAATGGAGCAAAAAACAGGCCCCTTCGACACCCTAAAAATGCCTGTCAGTAAAAATATTTGCATTATCAATACACAGTCGATTCAGGGCAAAGTAAACCACACTTAGGATCTGATGTCCCAAACTTATACAGAGTCTAAAAGCACAATACATTTTCAAACGATATTTCACTTTTTTGTTTTATAGATTAATTCACCTGTAGGTTTTAAGCTGCTGTCCCTTTCCGCAGCTTAAAAATACTTTATCAACGTTTTATCAATACGTGCATCTGAATCCGACAAATGTTATTTCAAATAATGTTAACTGTTTTCCCCAACCAACTCACCTGACCGTCCACTGACGCCAAGATTTCCTGTTCGCGCCACATGTCAAAATTTAAAACTCACAATTTCGATCCCGATGCAAATAAATTACAAATGCATGCAAGAAACAAATAATAAATTTATGTATTAATCAATCCCCCAATTATAAAACAATTTTAGCAGTTAATCTAGAATATGCTCTACCTCTGGGCAGGACAAAATATTTATGTCTCAAACCTGTCTTGTTATATAAGCGACTTTGCTAGGTTACTGGAAGGATGGGAGAGCGGGGGGGGGGGGGGGGGTCTGAGATAATTTTTTTTAAAGAAATGCGTTTCAATTTTTCATGTATTCGGTTGATTTTTATGGATTCTATTGCATTTTGAAAATGTGAATAACCTCTTAACCGAAAGCCTTTTTTTTTAATGCACATTTGCAAGATTAAATTAATGCGACGAATATATCCTGTCCTATTTATTCCCTTGTAACTACATTTCCCCTAAAATTGCAGACTATTTCGTGTCATTTGTAAAACTATCTACAGCTGTCTAAGGAGATCTGGAAGTTGTGTCGTTTGACCACTGACCAGGGAAAAATACCCTTTGAAAATGGCGGGGATGTCAAAATATACAACCTTCCTCAGAGAAATTAAACAAATTCTTAAACATTTTTTATTACAACAGCTTTAGAATATTTACCTCAATTTTTGATCATCTCTGGGCTCCTGTAATGCACTTTCGACTGAAAAATGTATTGAACTGATCTGAAAGTCTGCTGCGCAGTTACCTGTTACTGCTTTGTGAATTCAGTTGTGAATTATGTTCAAACATCATGCTCAGGTGATTTAATTACGTATTCATCATTCATTACACTACTGCGGTCATTAAATCGTGAAATATAAACTAACGCTGCGAGTACACAATTTTTTTGTTACATGTATATTGTAAATTTTAACAGAAAATCTTGTGCGTGGGTATTTTAATAAACTTTTTAAAATTACAGTCATGAATTACATTTATATGTAACAGTTATGTTTATTCAAAATAATATACCGATATAAACATACATTGTAGACGGTAAAATATTCATGAATATACTTTAATATATAGGGTATATCAATCTATAATTGCTTGCATGCTTATTTTGAGTGCAGAATACCAAGTCATAATTATATTATATTTCAAGATTAAAAGCATGGCCTAGACTCCCAATCATAGTAGGACATAGGGATGTGCGATTTTATCGGTATACCGGTATATCGCGATTTTTAGCCGGGCTTATTGCTCAAAGAGCAATTGCCGGCTTATGTGATCCTGTTCAATGCAGGAAGTCAACCCCACAGTCGCCATTTTAAAGTTACGTGCAAAAATATAGTTCTTACTCTCAACCGCTTTTGAGATAATACAAACGCTAAATAAAGCAACAAAAATAAAAGGAAGTTTTATCTATATAAATAAACATAAGTAGTAATGACTTTGAAAACTTCAGTCCTAAGTCAAAGAACATAGTTCATTAGCGTAAGGATTTTTGATAATCAGTGTTACCGTAGTTCTCCACACATACAAGGTGAAGCAGGAGAGGGAACCAGACTGGGCTGTTTGTTTACATTCAGCTGCGGTACCAGACTAATTCTGATTCTGACAAAATCGGACCGTGGTATTAGGATTGAAAAACTCACTGTCAATGTCTTATCATTTATATTGATAGTTTTAAAATAATTTTTTCATCAGAATATAAACCTGATTCATGTAAGAAATTCATTCTACTCTGTAAATGAGCCTGGCTCTCTGTACTTTTGAGTACTTTGATTTGTTGCGTGATACGTATCGTGATACGGAGACCTAAATACCGGTCTTTAGGTACATATTATAAAGTCCAGAAATTATTCATTTAATTGTTCAATCTTTCAAATTACAATTACAGAAAGTATAAAAAATGTTGTAAAAAGTGAAAAGAACGGCATCTTACCGTCCAAACATAATTGATTTTATAAATTCAAGAAAGTAAAATTTTGTTTTTCAAGCATATTTTTTAGAAAAATAATGACTTTTCCTATAAAATCATTGTAAAAACTTCTTTTAAAAATATCATGATATTATCGTGATATTGTGGGAAAAAATCGTGAAATATCGCGATACAAAATTTTTGGCAATACCCATCCCTAGTAGGACACAATAAATAGGCCAAGATTTTTCCTCAAATTCAATTTTTCTGAAACTTTGATATTTTGTTCTAGGATACAAAATCTCTCTTCATATATGATATGAAAGAAATTCAACCACACATTTTTGCCCAAATAGTCTGAAATATGGCCTCTCATTTAGTAAAAAAAAGTATTTCTTAAAAAAAAAAAAGTGGTCCATCCGGGATCTGAACTCAGAACCTCTCACATGCGAAGCGAGAAACATACCACTAGACTACGGAATCGCTTTACATGGCATTAAGTATATGCAGAAGTGAAGTCACATACATGTAGATATTCATGTTCGGTATTGTCAAAATTTTACACAATCCATGGTGTTTGATTTATGTAGCCTTTATTAAATTAAACAGTTCTATTAGATGTACGAGGGTTGTCCCGTAAAATCGTGGACAAGTTGTCTAGTGTGAAAATTAAACATCACTGCGTTCTGAAATTGTCACCTTTTTTTAGTACATATTTTAGTAATATACACAGCAAATTTCTGATAAATATATGCATAAATAAGCAAATTATAAGATTTTATGCCATGTATTGTATCACCTTACGGCGCATGGATTATAACGTCAAAGTGTTTAAAACAGCGTCACGTTTTATCTTTGCTGAAAATGAAGTTGGATGAGTCCGACTTAAATTTAGGAATTTCATTGATACACATTCTTTAGTCTCCATAAACAGTTGAAGAACCAATTGGCACCCTCATGCGATCTTCTGAAGATTTATAAGTAAGTTACGGACAATATTCTCACCATCATATAAATAATAGAAAATCTCATATCGGCGGTCTACTGTAACAGCGTCTTTTGCTATTACATTAGGAGTTTGTCCGTATGTTTTGTACTCCCCAGAGACTCGATCAAAAAAGACTTCGCTAAGAAAACTATTTCATTTGTATACTTATGATATGGTGATATTTTTATAATCTTTTTTCTTCTATTGTCATTTAAAGTCTCTACAGGTGTCATTACAACATCGAAATAAAACTGAACTGTTCTCCGGTGCGCCGTAACGTCATAAAACGTCGCCATTTTTCGTGTGTTATGTTTACCACTTTCCCATTTCGAATGCTCGAGAAACTGCCAAAAATTAACCAAATGCCTTAAATTTTTTACAAAGACTTCAAAATTCTTTGTGGAATTGAATTAGAATAATTTTAATCCAAATCTCATGTATTTAAAAAACTTTTATTTTGATTTCAAACTTGTGTATTCTTTAATAAAACCTTGATTTTTTTTACCATGCGCCGTAGGACAATACCCCGTGCACATTCAAGCATAATAAAATCTTTATTTTTGCCTATATTTTTTCAAAAAAATTATCATGCACTTAAATATGATAAATAAACATTTACTGAAATTTTCGGCTTAGTGCGCCCATTACTTTTCGAGAAAAACGCTTTGTCCACCATTTTACGGGACAACCCTCGTAATAAGAACAAAATGTCCGCCGAGAACCTGTTTTATACGCAATAACTCTCCTCATGCCCCTGTGCTAAAAATAGCGACATGTAATACTATAAATACTAATAAAACAAACGGGGCGGGGCACTTTGAGAGGGATGTGGGAGTTCCTAGGTAGTTTTGGTATAAAATTACATTGCATAAGCTCAAAATCTTCTTGAAATATCGCCCGAAAATGATAGTGTTACACACAGACAGAATGTATAAATACGACCTTGAACTTTGACCTTTTGACCTCAAAATCAATAAGGGTCTTCATTAGGCCACAGGGAGATGCTATGTAAAATTTCATTGCAACAGCTCAAATGGTTCTAGAGATATAGTGTGGAAACGAAAGTGTTACAACAGACAGAATTTGCTTATTTATGACCTTGACTTTGACTTTTTGACCTCAGAATCAATAGGGGTCTTCTTTAGTCCATAGGAAGTTGCTATGCTAAATTTCATTGCAAAAGCTCAAAGGGTTCTCGAGATATCGTGTGGAAAGAAAGCGTTACAGACAGACAGAAAGACGGACGGACAGCTAGACGGACGGACAGAGGGACGGACGGACGGACGGACAAACCCAAATTAATGTCCCCCACTTTTCTAGCGGGGGACAAAAAAAAATTGTGAGCTTTATTGTACTTCATATTACGTGCATTGTAAGCTTAACACATATAAAGGTTCCTACTACATTAAATGTTTTATAATTACTTGTAAATACACTTATCCGATACTTTTTGATACGTGCTTTATAGATATTCATTATGTTATGCAGTTTTGTGGATATCAAGCAGATATTTCGTTTCTTGTAATTTCTGTATTATTCTACTTTTTGGATTTTATATGTGATATGTTTGCGGTTTACTAATGTTCCTTTGCATTGACAAATCCCTACTTTGCGATACTGTAACTTCATATGCAAATTTACGTTGTAGCATCCATTTTGATATAATGGAACTGTATTCACAATTTTACAATGTTTAATCCATTTTTGTATAAGGGAACTATAATTTGCATATCAACATTTTGAAATCCATTTTGTTATACTGGAATTATTTTTAAAAAGTTTGTATAAGTTTATGATTTAATTTGATCAAAATATTATTATATTTTGATCAATAAACTTTTTTCAACACACATGTGAGTTTGTCTAATTTTGATGTGTAGATAGGGAAAGAGGAGGCATAAAATTACTTATAGCCGACAGGATTCTAACCAAAATTGAAAGTTTAAGTTTTCTGTTGATCCAGAGCTTAAATTAGTCTTCATGCATACATCCTTACATGTATAATGATTTATTCTTTCATAATACTGCATAACACTATTTATAAGAATGCACTATAATACAATGAAAAACAGATTATTTAAAATTTCTTACTCAAATGCAGACAACACATTTGTTGAAATGTTAAATGAAGATATTTTTATTTTTATATACCTTGATAAACTTTTGGTAAAAATACATTTTACATGCCTTTCAAGTTTTAATATCAATATACGCTTCAACTTGACAAATAATGCTTTTGAAATAATGCGATGAACAAAACAAAAAGATGCTTGCAATAGCGAGTGCACTCGGTTTTCATGACAAATAACCTATACAATGGAAAAAAATCAATTTCTGACATGCTTTCTCTAAAGCCTCAAAGATTTGTGAACAGATCTATATTGCCATCTTCACCTTTCTCATTCTATTGATAATGGAAAAAAATAACATGAGAACATTACATATTTAAAGATAGTATAAACAAAATACAAGTGCTTCACAGAGATTTGTTAAGTGTATCATTTATAAAAACTTTAAAAGCTTTTGTCGCTCGTGTGGCGCTGTAGTTCCTGAATAATTTAATTTTAGTTGTAACACGTTATTTGATTGGATAAAAGATTTAATCCATTTCGTATAACATAAGTTGCCTACGTCACAATGAGTTACGTCAAAAAGGCATTACTCCACTTGACGTTACTTTTAAAATAATGCTCAGTTTGAAGCCTTATTCTGGAGGAAAATTGTCTACAATGAAATTAATTTATAAGGAATGAAGCTTATTTCAACTTATATTATCCGATATAACAACACTTGAGGCAGTTTACGCTTTTTATAAACCGATTCGCGGTTTATAAAGCGTAAACTTCCCCAAGTTTTGTTATATCATCTTAACATAAGTTGATATAAGCATCATTACTTAATTAACT